GTTGGCTGACTGAGTTTGCTACTACGCTTAGCCAATTAATACATCCAGATATGGATGGGATTGATTTCATAATTTGGAAGAGTGAGGGACTGAGCAGGGGCTTATCGGTCTGTGTCAAAGTACTTGTAAACAGTGTGATACTGAACTCAAGGGTGGCACCAAGACTTTTTTTTAACCATACCAATTACAGTGGGCAGTACTGAGTATTATTCTTACAGTGCTCCTTCTTTTAAAACCTATTTTATCCAGGTCTCTTTAGGAGGTTTTATAATGAAATTTATTATTGCCAAAGAAATGTCCTCTTATAGGAATCCGGTGCATTTTTGACATAGCAACCGTACATTAAGGAGATTTCTGTTTTATGGTCTCAGGGTTTGGACTTGTGAAGCTGGAGTTGAAGACCAAGTCCTCCAGTGGGGTGGTAAGTAATTGCCTTGTACCTTCAAGTTTTTGACTTCCATTGTCTATGTTCTTCCTTGTTAACTGGTTCTTTTCTGCTTGCACGCTCTCCTGGAAATCCTGAAGATGGTAAGACCACAAAATTCTTCAAGGGGATTAGAGCATCAATAGCTTGTTGTGAATCTCACTGTTTGCGTAGACTTTAGAAGATACACACATTTCCTATTCTGTACATTTGCTTACGTTTTCTTAAAAACAAACAAAAAATGTATAGCTTATTAACGCATGTATAAAATTTCGTTTAATTAGCTAGTTGGGAACGATCATAGGATTTTCGCAAAACTAATTTTTTCCAAGTGTGCCCAGGGATTAAGAATGTATCAAGTAAGGATGAATAATGTGAGACTTTACTTTTAGCGAAAAATATTATTACAAATATCTCTGTCTGGGCAACATTTCAAGCAGAAGCACTGTACATACAGACTCCTACGCACATGGCCACTTCTAAAAGCAGAAATAGTCATGGTGGTTGGCGTAACCCTTTAGATGAGTGGGACTGTCTGTCTGATCTATCTCTCTCTCCACTGGGAGATTCTCGAGTCCCTATGTACCGTATATCCCTTTAATTATGTGTTCATTTTTATATGTCCATGTTCATTTTGCTTGATTTCTAAAATACCCTTCATAAAGGCTGATTTGTTAGGACAGCATTATTCTGTCGTCGTTCCTTAAGGAGTTGTGTTTATATGTTACTGCTCTAAGTACCTTTTCATGTTTATTGAAATATAAGGTGCTACAAAAAATATCTTCTTGAATCTGCATATTTAGGAATTCACTAGCAGTGGTTCATCCAACACTGACACAGGGAAGGCAACAGGCAGCCTTGAAACAAAATACAAACTGAGTGAGGCAGGCATCACTTTCACCCAGAAATGGAACACGGACAACACCCTGGGGACTGAAATTGCCTTGGAAGACAAGGTAAGCTGTGTCTTGTGGTTTTTGGATGGGTGAAATACATCATTCGGAGGATGAGAGGTGCAATGTGATGTCTCTTCTCTCCACACAGCTGGCTAAGGGTTTGAAGCTATCTCTTGACACTACATTTGTTCCCAATACTGGGTAAGTCATTCCCTATACGTGTCTCCTTGTTTTGAGCTATGTTGGTAATCCTCTTGCATGTAAATTTCTCACTTCCTTTATGTTTATGCTGGATTGGTTAAATGTTATTCTGTTTTGTATAACTGTTAGATTACATGATCTCTTGTTACATAACCTTTCCTGTCATTAGAATTATGTTTAGTTATCTCATCTACTATCCTCGTATTAATAATTACTATTAGTGCATTGTGCTGCACAACACCAGGTGGGCTTGCTCTGTTTATATATTCATATATATAGAGGTAGGTAACTGTTGTCTAGCTAATTAGCTGATTGCTTAGTTCTGTTGATCAAAAATATTTAATTTGGGTAAGGCGCACACACACATTAATCCGTATGTGGTGCCACTAAGGGCAAACCATTAATTCTCTGTTCGTTATGCCATTTGAATAAAGCCTTTTTCATGTAATTCCATCGTTTTCCTTTAGCATTGCATTGGATAAGCGGGAAATAGAAGCACTGTATAACATTTCTATGCTGCCTACTGATGCAAAAGAGATAACCTATACCAGTGACACACAGTGAGCTAAGATGGAGGCACCCAGTTGCAGTAGAGTTATGTATTTGAAAATATTAAATATACAAATTAAAATTTGTTTAATAATGAGGATATAGAACCCTAATGTTAAACCTTCTGGGAACTGACAATCCACATATAAAATACATTTTCGAAGTACAAAAAATTGTGACATTACAAAAAATTTATTTTGCAAATGGAGCCTTCTCATGAATGATCAATTTACTGGGAAAGATAACTGATTGAAAACCAATTTGTGCAAAGACGACCACTCAAAAACGCACTAGGATGATCGCTCACACTCTTATTTCTTTTATTACCATCAACTCCTCTTTGTTCTCTTACAGGAAAAAAAGTGCTAAACTTCGAACCTCCTACAAGAGAGACTATGCCAACCTGGGCAGTGACATTGACCTGGACTTGGCTGGCCCCACCATCTATGGCTGGGGAGTTCTGGGATACCAAGGATGGCTGGCTGGCTACCAGATGGCATTTGACACAGCCAAGTCTAGACTGGCACAGAACAACTTTGCACTGGGCTACACAGCAGGAGACTTCCAGCTGCACACTAATGTGTGAGTTGTAAACAACATCTGTAAATATGTTTAATGATCCCAAAATCAGTTTGTATAACAGAGGAGGACAGGAAACCTGTAAGTTTGTTCCATGATGTGTAATGGAGTGTATTTTAAATGTATTACACTGTTGTTGCACATTTATTATGAGAGAGCTGTTGAAGTATTTTTATTCACTGAGGGCATTTTTCTCTTTATAATAGTCTACCAGTATCGGTACCTACACTTATGAAGTGTCTCTAAGTAGGGGCCAGGAATATGAATGTCATCTACTGTCTAGCTAGCACACGGTATTTTCAGATAATGGCATCATTATACTTTTGTAGCAGTTTGTCAAATATTTTCATGGTTTTCTGCTAACTCTTTTTCAGAAATGATGGCACTGAATTTGGAGGTTCAATCTACCAGAAGGTCAACAAAGATGTGGAGACTTCAGTTAACTTGGCATGGAGTGCAGGCAGTAACAACACTCGCTTTGGTATTGCTGCTAAATACCAACTGGATTCCAAAACGTCTGTCTCGGTGAGTGGGGGGCTATGCTTTGGTCTGTGCTCCTTTTAATGACAAGAATGTTACTCAAACTACTTCAGGCTATTTGAGTTGCTTACAGCAAGGAAACTACCTTTTGACATTTTATGAGCATATTTATGTGTGGTACTTTAGCCTTCCTCTGCCTTTGTGTTTATGTCTAACTTTTGTTTTCTTTTCCCTCCCTCTCTTTTTTTCCATTCTTAGGCCAGTATATCACAGATTTTATATGCTTCTAGCCAGTGTTGTTTTTTTTTTTGTAATTTAGTTTTTTTTAAACAAAAGCATGCAGTTTGGTACTTGATTTGGTACATGTACTTATACAATTTTTTTTTAGTGTCCCTAAAAGTCCTATAAAAAATGTTTTTATCTAGTTATTTGTATTAATAAAAATAACCACCTCCATTCCGTTCGCACCCGTACGGCCAACTCACGGGTGGCTCCCTTCCTATGGAATAGCCTACCTACCGCCATCAGACGCTCCCCTAGTCTTGCATCTTTTAAGAAGTGCCTTAAAACCCATCTCTTTAGGAAAGCTTATGGCCTCCCAGAGTAACCTCTACCTTACACACCTGTCACTTGCTCTCTCCTAAAGGGCAGCGCTCTACCTCACTCCCACCTTATTTGATTGTGAATTCCTGTCCTAATGTGTTTTATACCCCACCTCCTATAGAATGTAAGCTCGTTTGAGCAGGCACCTCTTCAACTTATTGTTCCTGTAAGTTTTTAATTGTCCTATTTATAATTAAATCCCCCCCTCTAATAATATTGTAAAGCGCTACGGAATCTGTTGGCGCTATATAAATGGCAATAATAATAATAATTATTATTAATAGTTTTTAAAAGAAATACCATTTTTTTTTTTTTTTTTTTAAATTATATACTTGCTCAACACATATTTCTGTTTGGGGGGAAAAAAAAGAATGGCAACCTGAGTATATTTGGTTACATTCTGATGGATTGGTCTGATTGCATCGGGCCTCAGGGTTATTCACTAAATTGTCTATTTATGTGGAATTCTATAGGTTACATATTAAAATGTGGCTATTTTGACCCTGAAGCCTGCAATTCCCATAATTTCAAGTTAAGTGAGTAATGCTGACTTTCTGCAATCACATTTTTAAACAATAATTGAAATTCAATTTACAATGTTGCTATTGCTCTGGCACTTCTGAAGATCCGATATATTGTGGTGATGGGGAGACGTTAAATCTATCTCAATGTATCGCTTCCTTTTGCCTTAGATATGTTTGGAATACTGTCCTCAGTTCCTTAACTATACATCAGTTGCGTTTTCAACTTGATGAGCTTTTCTCTCCACGTTTTTGTTTTTCTAAAGTATCTGATACATTATATTTAATAATTTGGTTTAGGAAATGTTTAAAAATGTGTGCACTTTTTTTCTTTTTTTTTTTTGTTTAATGTATTTTTATATATATGTGTGTAAATTAAATGTATTTTCTCTTTCTCTGCAGGCTAAAGTTAATAATGCCAGTCTGATCGGCGTGGGCTACACACAGACCCTCAGACCTGGTGAGTACTCTGTGAAAACCGATCTGTTTCTGATTCATAATATGTGGATGCTGATTATCTGTACAAGTGAGGATGGGAGCACTCTATCCCCAGTTTTAAACCCATCTTTGCTCAAACGTATTGCTGATCTACAAACAAATGCACAGTTTGAAGGACTGAAATTGTCAGAATGCATTTTTGAGATGCCCAGCACTTGTGTGTTATGTCAGTATTAATGTATGTTTCCTAATCAATCATGGCAGCATTTACTCCTGGGCTTGCTCCTGCCCTCACAGCAGAAAGGACAGGAAATAGAACTTTGAAGCTGGTATAAATAGATCCTCCCCCTTCCCAGCACGTGTTTGTTATGGTAGTATTGGTGTATATTTACTAGCTCTCTATTACATGCATTTGTTTGGTAAGATAAAGGTTAGTTCTGACCAAGGTGACTAAACATTGCTAAAAATACTGTGTGTGTGTATGTATTCTCACTAAATTGTATACAGTATAGTAAGTCATCAAAACGTGTCACATTCAGTTAACGTTTCAGTTCCTCATAAGAACTTTCCTCAGGACAAACACGGAGGACAAAATAAAATAAGCAGCCGTTCAAAACTATACACTGTATCAATCCTCCCCTAAAAGGGTAAAATGACCTAGAAGGTGAGTTGACACAGGATATATGGAAACCCCAAAAATTATATATAGAAAACAAATTCTACAATAAAACTGCAAGAAAACAAATAATATATTAAATAAATATCATTGCATTTTATTAGATTCTACCTTACCTTACTAATAGGAGTGCTCACACTACAAATGTATATTTCAGTTTTTTGTTTTCTTTACCAAGTCGCTCTTCTATGTGTGAGGCTGCCTGCAATTACTTATTATATTCAGTTTATTATAGTGTTGTGTTTTGTGGCACAATATATATTTCATAAAACAATACATGTACTCTTATTTTAAATGAGTTTTTAATATTCAAATCCTAACCTGGTTGACAGGCTTCCATGCCAATAACTTGCATAGTGTTCTACACAGTTCAAAAATAAAAACATGATCCAGCTGAGTATCTCACTTTTTTTGTTGGATACCTTTTTAATAATTTTGTAAAATGAGACTTAATATGCACAAAATATTGTAGCGAATTAAACACTGGTCACTAAAGTCCTATCTCTTGCCTTTGTCTGATACTACTTTGTCTACCTTTTGAACTCTCTGGTGGTAGATCCTGGATAATGAGTTTTTACAGTTAAGTTCCCAAAATCAACACTAACATACCCTTCTCAAAATGAAGTCATGAATATAATTTGTCATAGCATTTTTTTATTTTTCTCTTCAGGTGTCAAGCTGACTCTTTCTGCCCTAATCAATGGGAAAAACTTTAGCTCTGGTGGCCACAAGGTGGGTCTTGGCTTTGAGCTGGAGGCATAACTGGAAGAGATTCTTATGGAAGATTGTTTGGACCCCTGTCTAACCTCCCTTATGAGTTGACCACAAAACCAGCCACACAGAAAATAATGAGAAAATACACAAGCAGTGCCAACATTACTCTGTAGCACCAGGAACAGCGTGTGGATGTTCAGGAGTAGGTGTTACCTTTTACTTGTGTAGACGATGTGTAAAATGCCGATATATGGTGACCAACTTGGCCTCCTTTCTAGGAACTCCAAAGACCCTAAAACTTTGAAGAACTCCCTAAATATCCCCATGACTTTATCATTTCTGTTTAAACATGTGTAAAATTACTCTACCCTGTAAAATACTACAAATTATCCAGCTAGCCCCTCTTAGGCATCACTACAGTCAGCTATTTTATTTATTTCATTAGGCCCCTATGACCTTTTGAGCTCTAGAGAGCAGTTTTCTTTTTAAAGCTCTCATCTCTGTAATCAACACTGGGGATTTCTCTTGATTGTGCTATAATAAAAAATTGGCTTAGATCATAAACATAATTGCTACAAATCATGTTTGTTTAGGTCTCCCTTAAACAATTTGCCATAATGATGTTAAGTAGATGTTTGGACAAAACTCTTTAAATGCTTTTGTTACTTTGAAGAGAACTCCCCTTTTCTTGAATCAATCAAGTTTTTTTCACATGTGTTATATAGTGATGATCTCCTGCTTGCCCCATTCTGCATAAATGTAGATGGTAGGGGCTGGAGTTGTTAGTCTCAGGCCACTGGGGTATACATATTTTGCTGTCTCTTTGAAGTGATTAAGATGCTGCTCACCCATTCTGATTGAAAAACAATAATGCACGGCCCATCATCCCAAGTGTTGTCATGAAATAATGTAATGTTTAGATATCACAATAAATGGCCACCTGCACATTGGAATGTCCTATGTACTCACTACTTTTTCTTTTGTATAACTAAAGTGAATTTCAAAAGAATAATACATGAAATATAGTGGGGAAATAAAGAAAAAATAAAAGTAAAAACTGCAAAGGGACAAAGCTTCTTTAAACAATGTTCAAATGCTCAACCAGGAAACCACAGATCTGTAAACTTGAAAAATGTGATGGTTGGAAAATTATTTAAAGAGCTGTTCAGGGTTAATGTAGAAGAATTAATTCAGAATAATATTAGTAGGAATAAACATGGTTTTATGAAAGACAAGTCATGGAAACTAATTTAATTTTATGAATAAGTTGAAATCTAGATCAGGCTGTTCAGATGTGCTCAACGCGGCAATTTATTCCGTTTAGTAAAACAACTCCAATCTTCATTCATCAGTAATTTTAAAAATCCATCAAATAGCAGTATAACCTGCTTCCACCGTGTAGCTGCTAGTAGAAATCCGGAAGTCTACACGTTTTGAGGTAACACAGCAGTTTATCAAGACCCACAAACAGTGTGCGGCTCCCACAGCTGCGTGTCCGTATAAAACCACCCACCTAGGCACATCGGAGGAGTAAAACGGAAAGCCTGGTGCCCGACCATAAGGCACCAGATCCTTATAAACAATACTTTTTGCATTCATATACCCTACATACAGCAATACAGAGGTGCCACTACTGAATGTTCATAAAAATATGGAGAAATATTATTGGGGCCTTTTTTGTACCTGCAACAAAGTTTTTTTTGGTCTTTTTTTGTTTTGTTTTTTTCAGCCCTGAATACTATGTAACTAATACTTTAAAATCTCACGTACACCTGTTTAACTGAATTCCTAACCAAGCCGACAGCAAGAAAATGTGTTGAGAGTACTCACGTAGGCACAATCTTCCCCTCCAAAACTGGTAATTCAAGTCTCAGTTCAGAGAAACCAAAGTTCAAACAGGCCATCACAGGTCACACATACTATTGTTGGCTGGGGAGATTTATGTATTGATTGTTTTTTTTTTACCTCTTTTTTGGCAAATTCACAAACATTTTTTATTTTTATTATTATTATTTTTATTTCATTTTATTATCTTGAACATCAAAAGAAAATTTATATTACAAGTCTGGAGGAAACACTCCAGACTTGTAAAATAATGACTGGAAATTAGAATGAAGTAGGTAATACCAAGATAATAAAATGAAATAAAAATAAAAAATGTTTGTGAATTTGCCAAAAAAGAGGTCAAAAAACAACAATCAATACATAAATCTCCCCAGCCAACAATAGCTGTACCTCCCTAATGTCTCAGTTGATTAATGTCAAATCAGACTTCCGACTTTAATATTACAATCAGTGTCAATGTCTGGAAAAATATAAAGATATAAATATCATAGACATCAATTCTAAGTTAACACAGTATTGGTATCAAATATATGGCAAACTTGCAGCAGAAGTTAAATGTAATGCTGCTGCCTCATTGTCCAAGTTATACTGTGTTAGTCCTGTAACTAGAGGGGGGTGAAAATACCCTGTTATATACTATTCAACAGGCTTATCATTTATGTAACTGTATATGGTATTGCATTCATTGCGTGGATACCCAACAGAAACAAAATATCCAGTCAAAAATTCAACGAACTGATCGTGGCTGCCTGTGATACTAGATACAAACAGGTATCTTTGAAATCACTCCCCCAATAGTAAAAAAAAGTGAAGAAAAACCCGACGCGCGTTTCAGCCCCTGACGAAGGTGCACGTTAGCGGCACCGAAACGCGCGTCTGGTTTTTCTTCACTTTTTTTCTCACTTCACAGGGCACACGGTCACATGTGCAGGGACCAACATTCTAAGTATGGTCATGCACATTAGCACGCACTAATTGTTTTTCTTTCTCCCCTATTCCTCCTGTATATTCTTTCCTTGTACTATTGGGGGAGTGATTTCAAAGATACCTGTTTGTATCTAGTATCATAGGCAGCCACGATCAGTTCGTTGAATTTTTGATGGCAATGTTGCTACTTTTATTGTGCATTTTCACGGACTGGATATTTTGTTTCTGTTGGGTATCCACGCAATGAATGCAATACCATATACAGTTACATAAATAATAAGCCTGTTGAATAGTATATAACAGGGTATTTTCACCCTCCTCTAGTTACAGGACTAACACAGTATAACTTGGACAATGAGGCAGCAGCATTACATTTAACTTCTGCTGCAAGTTTGCCATATATTTGATACCAATACTGTGTTAACTTAGAATTGATGTCTATGATATTTATATCTTTATATTTTTCCAGACATTGACACTGATTGTAATATTAAAGTCGGAAGTCTGATTTGACATTAATCAACTGAGACATTAGGGAGGTACAGCTATTGTTGGCTGGGGAGATTTATGTATTGATTGTTGTTTGACCTTTTTTGGCAAATTCACAAACATTTTTTATTTTTATTTCATTTTATTATCTTGGTATTAGAATCTATCCTATCCATAGATAGTTTTTGTTTTTTTGAGTAATGTTTGTAATCCTGACACTATAGTGTTCCTTTAAGGTCAAATAAGTGAATTGGAAAAATTCTCTTAGTCAGCCATAAATTTTCAATGCACTTTGAATCCTCACTTTAGTAAAAAACAAAACAAAACTCAATATAAAGACCTTTGAAAATCAAATGTCTTGTGAAGGAAGTGGCTCTATTGACTGTGTGACAGTTGCTTGACGTTTTCTTCTACAAAAGGAACAGCATGTACAGACCAAGACAACTACATTGAGACGCAGAGGTTTTGGTGGTGAGTGGAGCCACCCCCCACTTTATCCCCTTGTTTAGGAAAATGCATAAAAGGGAAGAAAAACCAAGACACAAGGACTAAAAGGGGGATACATTTAATAGCAATCTCATGGTTTTAATAAGAAATTCACCAACCCAGCACCTGTACTAACAGGAAAATATTTAGCAATATTGAGCCTCATGTTACAGTAATTTAGATTACATTAACAAAGCACATATAAATAGGAAGGTTCTGGGCCTTTGAAATCTAAAAGCAAGACAAATAAGAGCATGTCTTGTTAAAACGCCATAAAGCCTTCATAATTATGACCTCTATTAACATCACACAAGAAATGTAGAAAATCTCCATCATAATGAGAGTTCTGTTTAGCAGCTACATTCCCTTAGCTTATTGGCTTCCATAAGATACAAATATTTTAAAATACAATAAGCTTCAAATGTAAACAAAAAGCTTTGTGGCTATCCTAAAATAATACCCACATGAAAAATGACAGGCATTCAAATCCTCTCACGGAATAAATATGTCCATATGGGTGGGACTGATCACAACGAAAAAAAAACCCCCCAAACCTCATATTTGAAGTTGCTGCACCTGTAATTAATTCACAGTCTTTAAACTTTCAGCAGTGATCCTTGCCCAGACAAGGAAATGATCAGCCAATCATAATGATGCAATATCTTTACAGCAGACCGTTGAGTATTTCTTTAGTATTTCTAGAAAATGTAGTTCATTTTTCCAGCTTTCAAAGGGACACACTGAGTGCTATAACAATTTATTTTATAGTTCCAATGCCTGGAATCCTTCGGCGCTAAGAAATTGTCACCCACAGCCCAGCTCCCACTGGACAGATGCTTAAATGGCCACTATAGTTACCAGAACCAGTAAAGATTACTGTAGTGATTCTGAGTATTTGGTTCGCATGAACACTTGCCTCCTAATGCTTCCCAATAGGGAAGAATTGGATTGGCTAATATCATCAAGGCTGATGGTCTCAGCCGGAGAGGTTGTGTAGCTGCACTGAGATTGGTTCAAGTAAAACTACCTTTTCAATTCATTCATTCATTAAGGAAGCTAAATCTAAACAGGTAGGCTAAAAGTTGTGTTGGTGCCTTAAGTGTTCCTTTAAGCTTACATGTAAAAACATATGAAGTTATCAGCACCTGCCTCTTCTATGAGAACATCACAAGAACATTACTCCTAGAATGACAACGGGTTATATCTCTGCTGATTATCAGATGTGGTGAACACTGTCTTTGGAGATAATATCATTGCATGATTACTATAACGAGACATCTCTTTTTAAAAAACAAACAAACACCCTCTCCCCAAGAGGGAAACCCTCCCTCCAAACAATATGGTCACTTAAAATGTAAAACAACCGTATATAGTCCATTAAGGATTAAATGGAGTCACACATACACACTCAAATAAATCATTGTTTCTGTAAGATACCTATAACTCATGAATGCATACAACTAATGTATTGTTCACCACTGGAGGGTTACATATGGAGAACAGTAACAATCAGGAAATGAAATGTATTAGTGCAGATATTTTCAATTCATTCGCTCCGCTCATGTGGCTCACGGTATCTATACTGGATGTAGTCAAAGATGTCTTTCTCGCTATCTATAGGGAGAGCCTCTCCAGCTATCCCTGCAATGAGAGAAGAAAACGTAATCAGTGACCGTCAAATTAACCACGAGAGAATAGCAGAGAGCTAAATGGTCTAAATGTGAAACTGACTTGTCAATTCTACACAATTGCTGGTTAAGTGGATAAACAATTTGTCAAGCCTGCATGTACAGAATATTGTGGGTACACAATTTCTGGACTGAAAGATCTAATGGTAATTACACAATTCAGTTAGTAGAAATAGATATATACCAACATTGTCACATTAAAATTCCCAAAAACATTTTTTTTTTTTTAAATTTAGAAAGGGAAATACTCAAAATGTTTGTGGAAGTGTACAGAATAGATTACTTTGTTTCACTTGCAATTGGTATAAGAACTATATGTCTCACTGTAGGAACAGCCAGAGAGAACTGCTTGACAGCATCGGACACTGTACAAAGTATTAGGAGCATTACAGGTGCCAGGATACATGCAGGGGCACAGTATTACCCTAAAAACAACATCTGATTCACCTTACTAAGGGCATACAGAAATAATTTACTAGCATTTTTAAGACAAACTGGAGAGTACCACGGTCTCCTAGTATTCCTAAACAAACCTGTGACTCCAAGCGGACGAAGAGTGTATTCATTTAAAGTAAAGCCTTGATCCAGAGCATGAGAACGCATATTCTTGTTGAAAATATCACTGCCAGTGAAATAGAGAACCCCACAGTAATACTGGTCTTTTGGAATCAATCTAACAAGAAACAGAAAAAGAAAAGTTGTAGGATGTAATATGGAAGAAAGAGCAGCAACTCTAAAAAAGATAATCCTAGCGTCTTTATTCCACAAAGAACACTTATCACAGAAGATAGTTAAAGGCTTTCTAAAGTGCTTTGTGTGTCTGGAGTCTCAATTTTTATTTCAACAGTTTGTAAAATGTGCCCTCCATTGTACTGATCGTTAATTTATAAAAGTGCCAATGAAAAATATAACGACACACTCTTCACTCATAAAGCACTACAGCAAGCTAAAGTGCTTTAGTTGTATATAGCAATGATATTTGCCCTTCTAGTGCAAAGTGTCAAGTAAAAACAATGACTGCTATAATGCTAAGCTCCTATAAAACATCCTCAAATGCCCATTACTAACAGTTATTCACTGAAGTGAGATTTCGAAAGTGTAAGGTCAAAACAGCTGAACCAGAATTTCTTTCCAATTCAGCTATGCATTAATATCAGCTACTTTGGCCTTAAACATGAAATGCAATTTGAATTCTCACTTGTAAAACCTTCAAAAGGAACAACCATCAGAAAGAGGCAAACACACGAGTGCACGTTTTTTTTTTTATAGTGGACTAGTTTTAGTTTGTTTTATGAGGGCTGCCTCTGATATACGAGTTTGTCAAACACAAACCAATGAGATAGCCTTGACTTCTACTGATTTATGTTCCTCGATCGTAAAAATTGTATACTTTATACAAGATGCATCATGAGTATATTATTTATAAAGAGCAGTATTGATTACTCCTCCTGCCCTGATAACCCCCATATTAATATTTATTACAGGAACACTATAGTGTTAAGAATACAAAACTGTATTCCTAACATTAAAGTGTCCCTCTGCCTCCGCAGCCATCAAAGGGTTAAATAACCATTTAAACATTTTCCTGATTCTATTATGAAATCACCCGGCGCTGCATTGGGCTCCACCTTCTATGACATTAGCTGATGGGTGAAAACCTAATGCACATGGGTGGCATGCGCCTTAGGCCTTCCCAATAGGAAAAAAACTGACTCAATGCTTTCCTTTGGTGACTTAGATGACGCTGGACGTCCTAATGCGGGAGGAAGTTCAGCATCATTTCACAGATGTGAACAGCAGGCACTTCCTGCTGTTTCAGTGAAACAAAAGAAGGTGCCTAAATTCAGCGTTAACCCTGCAATATAAAGGTTTTACATTGCAGGGCTAAGAGGGCAGGGACAGTGCACCCAGATCACTCCAATGAGGTAAAGTGGCATGGGTGCTTATATAATCCTCTTAAACACATGTATTTGTTTAAAATTCTAAATTAAAAAAAAAAAATTGTCATTGTGCGCCAAAGTCTTAAAACTAAACAAATCTAATTTGTATTAGTAGTGCATTCAATAATTTGCTTTACTTCACATAAGCTGCAGCAGATACTTGTGGGAGAGTTCAAAATGCAAGTGATATGCATAAACTGATCACTGGCACCAGACAGGTAAACAAAATAGGGGCCCATTGTACCTTACCTATACAACATTTTCAATAGCGAGTGGACATTTCTTCAGGTTTCCTCAGCCTTTCCTGAATATTTACTCATATAATGGCAATTTGCTAATGTTCTACTCACTCGTCCTCTTACCACTGCCCTCTGTGGAGTGGTCCAAGGTCTTTAACAATATTGATGCTCAGGATAGGACCCAGCCCTGACCAACAAGTCCTTGTCTCTTCAATATCAAAATGAACAGGATGAACAAAACCTGAGCTCAACAGGAGAGATGGCCCCAGGAAGAAGAACTTCACTTACCTTATGTCAATTCTGCGGAATGGATGTACTTTATCTCCATCAGATGGCAGCTGGCCAACACCCTGTAGGAAAAACCAATTGCAAATTAAATGCCTGATTAAAGCAGGCCCTCAGCTTCAAAAAGATAAATTCAGTTGCTAGCTGCCTTGGTTAGCAGACTTACCATGAATTTGGTGTCTCCCTTCACCAGTGTGTCTGTAATGAATCCACACTCCTCCAAGCACTGCACTACTTGGTGCAATAGGTGAGGCTGGGGAGTAGAGTATATAAATATAGATCGTTTAGAAATAACATAATCCTCATATTGTTTCATTTTCTTAGATTACCTGCATAACAACAAAATACGTAACTATTTTATAAAGCAGAACTCGGTACAGTTTTATTTGGTTTTCTCATTACTGCTTAGTCAAACTAAGGAGCACGTATCTCTGAGGAACAGTGATGCACTGTGTAAAAGGCAGGGGCTATTTTGTTTTGTTATATTACCCATTGTTTTATCCATGATATTTCTTGTTAAATTCCATTTATGGACAATCTATGGTTAACCACAAATGTGTTAGTCAAAGTATTCATGTGATTGAAAAATATACTGCATTTTCATTTAAAGCAAAAGCTTCAATTTACTTAACGCAAAGTTCAACAAATTACTTTATACAAGCTTAAAAATATAGAGATTCTGTAGTGGCAACAAGGTGTACAATTATACAGTCAATTGTCAAGGTTTTAGGTTAAAAGATTAAAGATTAAGATTAAAACATTAAAGTACACGTAGGGACTTTAATGGGGGGACATGGATACCAAATTAGTAATGACAGTCATTATGCATACCCACGATAATCCAATCAGACATGATGAGAAATTTACCAAACTTTAAATAAATGGTAAGTATAATAATGATCCACACAGTACACATTTTTGTACTAATTTATGGTCAAAAGATGTAAGCTTTCCTCCAACAGCAAGGAAAAACCTCTTAACTCTTTCACTACCAAGCGGTTTGCAGAAAACCCACCTCACCCACTGAATATGCAAGTAAAGGTGAGATTTACTTATCTGAAGCTGTCCCCCACAGGCGCAGTCATCTTGCTCCCGCAGGTTCTTTTCAGAGTGGACGTCATAGTTGTATGGAGGAACCCTGCAGCCGTCACTGATGGCGGCTGTTGGGATTGACACTTAACTCCCTAGTAGTCCCTACAGTGCCACTTTAACATTTTACATTTGGCCATGTTACATATTTTTTTTTTTTTTTTTTTTTTATTCTTTATTTTTGTAGTGCAAAGAAACTTAACAGAACGTGCATGCGGTACCCCAAAGGCAATCCTCATGCTTTTTTCAAACATTAAGTACAGTGAGGTATATATTAGTTCTTGCACATTTTTACTGTTAGTTTAAGTAAGATTAGGCTATAGCAGGACTTTGCCCAATTCTTGGCACATTAGATACAGTCTAAACAACAGGCTATACAAAAACGTCTGACCACTTGAATTCTATCCTATTCTGCTTAAGTCATCGACTTCAAAGTGGATGCTTAATACTATAATTAGGCTTAGTCTGCACGTTTGCTGGTCAGTTGACATCATAGATTATGCATATAGCATTAAGATTAATAAAATTAAGAAAAGAAAAAAAAACACAACAGGCTATACAGTAACATCTGACCACATGAATTCTATCATTCTGCTGAAGTCACCGACTTCATAGTGTATGCTTAAAACCATAATTAGGCTTATGTTGCACGTTTGCTGATCTGATGACATCATTGACTATGCATAGGTATAAATTCAAGTGAGTACTACAGGCTTGTACTAGGAACTGTCTGCAACTTTAAACTGCAGGTTATACTAGGTCGCACGTTTGTTGGGCCTAGGCTGTAGCATTAAGATTAATAAAATTTAGAAAACACAACCGGCTATACAATAATGTCTGACCACATGAAGTCTGTTATATTCTGCTTACGTAATCGGCTTTAAAGTGTATGCTTAAAACTATATTTAGGCTTAGTCTGCATATTCGCTGATCAGTCAACATACTGTGCTAGGCCATTTTGTTCAGAGTGTTTCATTAGCTACTACTTTATGCTAAACATCATGTCAAGACCCCTACTGGGCCTAGGTGCCAATACGAATAACATTGCTATATGAGTATTATTCTGTATGAACTTATATGGGACAGTCTGTGCGGTGGAGACCTGCAGTATTTCGCTGGGCCATGTTACATATTCACTGTAGTTCCATGCATTCAGCCTATGTTCGGCCATGCTACATATACACTGTGGTTCAGTACATTCAGCCTAAACTGCTCTACATATTGTCAAGATAAAAGAACACACAGTGCCTTAGTAGTGACTAAAGATAAAATAATTGCGAATAAAAAATACGTATTACTGGGCCTTAGAGTGGCCGGACTTAATGTCAAAATAGAATAGTCTCAGACAAGCCAAAGTCAGAGATACAGAATGAGACAGGCCAAAAGGTCAAGGATAGTAGAAAGAAGAATAGTCAATAATAAGCCAAGGTCTAAAAAGCTAAGGAGTAATTCAAGATTAACGTGCTCTCTGATAATAAGTAAATGGACACCACGCAGGGTGTCAGAAGGAAAGCCAAAACAAGTTAGCCATAAGAGGTCAGTACCGCCTCGTGATGCCAAAACGTGTGTGCACCGTTGACACAAGCACTTTTGTGTCACTAACTCTATCAGAGGGTACAAACGGCTCAGTCGAGAAGCAGTTAGCATATACTAGAATGCCACAGAGAGAAGGGGCCACATGGGAGGCAGACCTGAGCGGCATCCACGACATGGTAAGAAGCCACGTGACATACACATGTACATTTTGCCACACTACATATTCATGATGTTTAGTACATCTGGTCTACGTTCAGCCACACTACCTATTCACTATGCTTTCAGTACATTCGGCGTCCGTTTGGCTGTGTTACATATTAACTTGGTTCAGTACATTCGGCCACGCTACATATTCACGGTCGGTCAGAACATCTGGCCTACATTCGGGCATGCTACATATTCACTTTGGTTCAGTACATTCGGTCTGTACGGCCATGCATAATTTTCAGATTTAATAAATTAGGCCACTTTTGGACGTGCTACATTTTTTGTTTCTCTATGCTCCCAAGATCAACTTTAAAAAAAAATAAATAGATAGATTACGGACCTGTTTGGTAGACTGTGACGTGAAATTTGGATGCGTTAGAAGAATATCCATATCCCCACTGGATTCTGCACCTGATGAATTAAACATAAGGAATATAAACATTTGTAGAATATGAAATATCTTTACAGAAAGAAATTAGAAAACATGTTCATGTCTGTTTTTAAGGACCAGTACTGGATTCTGAAGTCACATCCACATGACTGGGACAAAAATTGTACTACAGATTCCAAATTTAGTTATGTGTAAAATTGCAAGAAAATACATAAATAAAACTGTTGAACACTATGAAAGTGTACCGCACTTCTGACAGGGAACCCATAACTGTGTAATTCATAGTATAGCAAACATATTACTAAGGTACACTGTAGATGTAGGAATACATATCTGTATTCCTAGTGCTGCAGCTCTGATGCCCCTTATCAATTACTCACCTTATCTCTAGCTGCCACGACCTCCTCCTCGGGTTGCATCATTCTGGAAGCATGCTGCCAGGATGATGGGCGAATCTAATGCTCCTATTAGAGATGCTCCTTGGGAGAGAACACATTTCTGCCATAGAGAATCATTGAATATAGCGATTCTCTATGGCCGACGTTGACGGTACTGCACATGGGCACGTGACATCACAGTATATAACAGTATTATAGTTGGGAAGTAAGAGAGTCATGGCTCATTTTCAGAGGGCTTGAAGCTGCGCTTCCAAACCCTCTAATTAGTGATCCAAAGAACTAAATAACAAAACAAATAAAATAAGTTGTTATAGTGCCTATAGTGTCCCTTTAAGCCACAAAACCAATAGATACACAGTCTGCCACATAGAAAAACACCTGCTGATAATTTTACCTGTAGAAACCATCACTTGTTTTATGTAAGCCAGGATTAGGCAACCTTTGACATTCCAGATGCTGTAAACTATGCTTCCCTGATGGTTTGCTATCATTTTAGCTGTAAGAGTATAATGGAGTGTCAAGGTTGCCTACCGCTGATCTAAATTAATCACTAAACCAAGCTTCTACCTGTTCTCAGTGGACTAAAAGCATTAAATTTGTGAGGGTTTTTTATTTGTTTGTAATCTTTTATTTTCCATATATTGCATTAGTACAATAAGTTATTTGCACCATAATCAATTATCTTTTTTTGTGATGCTCAAAAGGATACTTTAAGCACCAAAAACAACTTTAGCTTAATGAAGCAGGTTTGGTGTATAGATCATGCCCCTGCAGTTTGGTTCAATTCTCTGCCATTTAGGTGTGAAATCACTTGGTGGGGATGCTCGGTGAGATGTGGCTAGGACTTTCTTAGAGCAAGGGTAGGCAGGCTTCGGCACTCCAGATGTTGTGGACTACATCCCCCATAATGCTGGCAAAGCATCATGGGAGATATAGTCCAAAACATCTGCAGTGCCGAAGGTTGCCTATGCCTGGCTTAGAGTATCCATTTAATTTCTACCATATACTAATCACATAGGGACTTTAAATGAGCTGTAACTACGCAAGGAATATGTGTTTTAGTGGTACACATTACACAGGTAGTTCTTCTACTCTGTCACAGGCACTCTCCACCTCCCGCCATCGCTAACATGACTGAGCTGAGGGTTGGTGTCATGTTAGTGTAGAACCGAGAAAGGCAGTGTGATGGCACCATTCTCAGAGCTTGACAGGAGGTACATTTTAACCTAATATGTTATTGGGCAGTGTGATATATACTTGACCATTATGATCAATGATATATGCTTTGCATCATGAGGTATTCATAATCAAATATTAATACAGTTCAGGAGTCCAAATGCACTATACTTTAATGATACAACTGTGCAATAGCAATATTTGGGATTTAGACAAAGAAAGATATAAGCTCACCCCGCCTGAAGCTTCCACACACTGTGGCAATGTACTTTGCATCCAGCTCATTCACCTCTTTTAAAACAATATCCTACACAGAAAAATATATCATTAGAAAGACATGCATTCATCTTAGGTTTTTACATAAGAAAAGCAGCAAATTCTGTACGACAGAGGTTTATTTTAAAAAATATATATATTTTTGTATATTAATATGTGAATATAGAAGTACATTTATGCATATGTGCTCATATAAATACAATGGAAAAGAAACAAAACCATATGATGTATACATTCTCATTTAAAACTTAACAAGATGATGATTACTAGAATATAATCCAAGATGATCACAGGCATATGTCCATGGTGCAGGGTAAATATCATTAAAAGATAATAATGCTGTTCAATGCATTCGACTCGATCCACTTCAACAATCATTAAAGCAACACTAGGGTGTAGGGAATACAAATACATTCCTAATAGTGTAGTGCTAGGCTACCTATTTAGGTATCTCCCCTAAAATTGACTAGGTTGCATTGCTTCTAAATTTTAAAATGTACTTTATTTGTATTGTATTAGTGTTTATATACTTAGTATACAACTTTGCCAATATCTGAGAATGTTAAAATCAAAATACAAGACATGTTATGGGAATAGAGAATATAAACATTACACGTGGATTAAAACTCAAGGAGATAGCTAACATTGCCTATGGTAAAGTGATGGGTAAAATTATATGCACACACAGATATTCCAAAACGCATGCTATAAAACTATCTATAGTGGCCTGGATGTTATTGGCCCACTAAGGCCTTGAAAATAGCTTGCGTATGGTACCACTATCTAGTCCCTTAACAGGTCTAGAGTTGCCTTCTCCAGGATTATTGGCCCTTGGTGGCAATGTCTCCAGTGCTTCTTTTTCCTTTCTTGGTAGGGTCGTTAGGCCCAAAGTACGAAAGAGTGCTCCTGCGTCGTCAGTGGAAGAGTGAGTGAGTGTTTCTGCACTTTCAGCAGAAATCCCTCCGCTCTCCAGCGATATTTAATGGAATGGTCATATATAGACTCCTGGCAACCAGAGTCAACTTTCTCTTTACTGTAAGAACGGGGAATGGAAGGTCGCTGTAAAGCGTTGCAGAATGCCCCTCAAAGAGCAATGTGCCCATGTTTCTGGAGCGATTCATTATGGCAGATCTCATCGTTATGTCTCTGGTAACAGCTATTATGTCCCTAGCTGCTCCTATAGGAGCGGTTGCGGGCTTGTGGATGCAGAAAGATGATGTGATATATGACAGATTAGAATTCTCTCTGAGACCCATAGAAGCGATCAAGCTCCGCACAAACGAAAGCAATTCCACCCCTCCCACCTCCTCGGCTATTCCCCATATGCCTACATTTCGGCATCAGTGCCGGGTCTCCAGTAGGACCACCGCCTGATTTAGCTGTTGGACCTGGCCTTTGAGCTTTTCTAGCTGACTCTTAGTCTCCTGGAGTTGAGTGTGTCTAGAGATTTCCCTCTACTCCACTGCCTGTACTCTTTTTTTGGACTTCACCAATCTCGGCCTGAGTCGTCTGGGGATCTGCTTTCCACACGTGCCTCATATCAATTAGCAGCCTTTTGATGTCACCCTTCGTGGCGGGAGAGGAGTTATCGTCAGACCCTGAGGAGTGGTAAACACTGCCAGAACCAGGTGATTAACTATGCTCCTCTTCCTCCAAGAGCTCTGGGCTGTGTTGGGCCTCGGATGCGATTTTGGAAGACACCATCGGGGAAGGCCTCTCAAAAGGAGAGCCTGATGTCTGGCTGTGTGTTCGTCTCCAAGCGTGGGCGTCGTTTATGCTTAAGCCCCATGGTATTCTCTGTTGGGGGATGCGTGAGTATCATCCGAAATCGATTATTAGGGCTATATTCGTCTCTTGTAAGTAACAGTGCAGCAGACAGCTCAGTAGCTCGGCTAACCCCCCCCACATTTTCGTTTTTTTTTTTTAATGAGAGATCATAAAACAAAGCTGTACCTGCATCTGAACCATTTCGCTGCGAGGGATGCGCATTTCAAAATCTTCAAAGTACCTAGGAGAAGAAAACATATAAACTCTTCAGCATCTCCTCAATATATTTGAAAACAAAATGGTCAGTGTCTGAATTATTATAAACTCTTCTCTCTCTATTATAGCTGTATCATTAATTAAATGTGCCTGTACTGGGTATGTTGCACTTCCTATTCTTTGCATTAGACAGCACATTGCAGCTCTTGGGCAAATACTCACTTTAAACCAATCTTTTGATGATGATTCAATTTGTGTTCATTGTTCCGGAGGTCTAAAAAAAATAGATGCTTTTAACGGAGCACAGGGAAATGTGACATTTACATCAAAATCACCTAATAATTTATTTACTCCTAAAGCAAAAATCGTACATGAAAGAAAAGAAGAAAACAAAACAAAACACAATCTCTATGATATATGGTTCTCTGATATGGCTCTTGGTCTGTCAGCTTTATATCTCCTTCTGTTTCCTTATAGTAAAAATGTGTGAGTGTACACTTTACCTTTTTCAAATCATTAAAATCTGTCCCCCAATTACACAGCACAGTTTAGTCTGTTTTATAAAAGTACAGACTGTCTTTAGTCCTTCCACCAGCTTCACCCTGTTACTTTGAGTTTAAAGTGTGCCTCTGAAGAGCGAGCCAAAGACTTTTACTATTAAGGGAAACAGCTTGGACAATCATTAAAGCGTCAAAGATCCAGAAAGCAAAATCATTTTAGCAATCCAAGTTTATTTTGCCATTGTGCTAGCAAAATAACCAACATATATATAATAAGTTATTTTACTTTACAATGATGGGCTTCCTGTGCCATGCTGCCCAGCTCCTTAGTACTACAAACATGGCCATTCACTTAAAAGGACCACTAAAGTGCCAGGAAAACATACTCGTTTTCCTGGCACTATAGTGCCCTGAAGGTGCCCCCACCCTCAGGGTCCCCCTCCCACACGGCTCTGGGGAGAGGAAAGGGGTAAAAACGTACCTTTTTCCAGTGCTGGGCGGGGAGCTTTCCTCCTTCGATCCTCCCATTCGGCTGGCTGCGCGCACATTCAGCCGGTCGCATGGGAAAGCATTTATAATGCTTTCCTATGGACGCGTGCGTGCTCTCACTGTGATTTTCACAGTGAGAATCACGCAAGCGCCTCTAGCGGCTGTCAATGAGAGAGCCGCTAGAGGAATTGGAGGAAGGATTAACCCATTTGTAAACATAGCAGTTTCTCTGAAACTGCTATGTTTATAAAAAAAATGGGTAAATCCTAGCTGAACCAGGCACCCAGACCACTTCATTAAGCTGAAGTGGTCTGGGTGCCTAGAGTGGTCCTTTAAGGATGTGTCCAAATACTGCAATCTCCATGAATCATTGGCAATAATCTGCAATATTTGGTGGCAGGTAGCTATGTGCATAACCAGTCACATCATTTTATAGTTGCTGTCTTGCAGAAGCAAATGCAGTCATCATTAAATATATTATTTTATTTTACCAGCAACATGCAAAGATAACACGTGAATTGTATGAAGTCCAGTTATCATACAAGGGATAGAAACAATATCAAAATACCTTCCAATGTCTTAATTCCTTCTTCCACCAGTTTCCGAGCAGCAGCCGGCCTGTTAAATATAACACAAAATGGAATATGAGAGTCAATTATTTAACATTAAATTCTCATTCTTTTTCCTTCGTAAAGAATGGCCATATGGTTAAACATTCCAATACTTAGAACGACTATTCACAAGTGAACAAACATTTGACAGCCTGAGGCTGGCTTTTAGTAGACTTAAGGAGATATAAAATGCCACTTCAAGTTTATTACATAAAAATAACTAATGACAATGTACTCAACTCTTCAAAGTTTAAACGGACAGATCCGGTAAGTGGGTGTGGGATGCAGCAGAGGTTGGTGACTTTAACTAACCTCAGGCTGTCCCTTGCAGATGCCATCTTCAGCTCAAGGCACTTCAGTTGTCTGGAGCCACAGCAGTGTTGTACTCTTGCGCATTCGCAAAACTACAACACTGAGGTCTATGGAGAACTGTAAGAGACCCTCAATAAACAAAGCCTGAATCCCACAGCCATCATTTGTGACTGCTGTTAGGATTTAACCAAGTTGAGAAAGAACACATATATATTTTTGTAATATAATACAAACCTAAAATATGTTCAATGTGCAGTGTTTGGCAAAACACTATGTGTAGACTTTCACAGCTTCCCAAACTAAGTTAGGAGCCAAAGTGACTTATTTTTATTTATTTTAATAGCCAGGTAAGTGATCCTGGAAACAGATAAATTTGTGCAGATGTGAAAAGTTAGAAATGGTTACTTACCCTATACCACTGACCCTTGTTAGGAAATTAATTGAGGAACTTGTATCATCTTGTCGAATCTAGAGTGAAAATTTAGAAATTAAAAGTATTCGGAATAAAGGATATAGCACAACATTAGACATGCTGACCTAGATATGAAAACAGCTAATTATTTTACAATCCTTAATTCACATTGCTCTGTTCAATGCTTAACCAAGTCATTGTTGGCAGATTATTTTGTTAAGTGTTGAAAACACTAACACTACTCATGTATCATACTTAAATACATTTTTATCTATCAAAGTCCTAGCATGAGAGTTAAATTTTTAAAATACATTGTTAAATGGAGGGATTATTTCAAATATGAAACAATCAAACTATTTGGTTCCAAACCAAAGCGTATGCCTCCTTGAGCATAGGAAAAGAGAGAGCCTTGGTAGAGTCTCCAGAAAGAGGCATAAATAATGTATGTTCGTATTGACCACATAAAGTAGCATAGTACAACACTCTCTAGAGGACAGGCCTGATCAGTTGTCAAGCAAAGTGAGTGGTGGTCATACCATACACTGTATCTCAAAAGTGACAGTCAAGTTAGGAATGCTCTGTATCTACAAGGGTAAGTGGTAATTTTACTAATCAAATGCAGCAAAAGCATTTAAATGCATATTTTGAAGAAGCAAAAATTAAAATAGAAGATTAATGCAACTGAATGCTGTACCACGGAGTATATAACATATACCAAATATATTTATATTGTAGGAACACATATACATATATATACACACACACACACACACATATGCATATATATATATACACACTAGCAGATAGATTTTGGGTGGGGTCAGAGGTAGGTAGTATAAAAGCCATCACTGAAATACTAAATAATGCCGATTGAATATTTTACCTTTTCAATTTTGCGTAGTTTTCCGGTGGCCAGGAACTCATCAATCTTCTCTGCTATTTTGGCTCCGACACCATCCTACAAAATAAAAGTAAATCTTAAAGATCTCTTGTCCTCAAGATTTCCACGAAAAACAAACAGGGCTATTCTTGTTTCTAAATCCCCTTTCTTTAAAAAAAAAAAAACTCTGTTCACAGCGTATTTTCGATTCATACTGCCACTCCAAGTTTATAGTCAATGGTTTCATATAGAATGTCACAAATTCTTTAGGGGTATTGGAGAGGTCAGTGCCAGTACTCACCAGTTTTTTTGCTTCTGCACCACTCTTTATTTTTGTGGGGTATTTAGAAATAACAGATGCTGCCTTTCTGAAAAAACAAAACAAAAAAAGTTATAAAATCACAAGACACTAATAAGAAGACTGCATTGAACAACACATTTCATGATGAACCGGGAAAATATGCTCTGTAACTGTTTGAGTCCCTTTCACTCCTTATCAGGTGACGTGCCAGGGAACTCATAATATCATCAATGGGCTATGTAATTTGATATGATCAATCCAACACACAGAAACTACTACTACATTTGTAGATCGGAGACATCAGTAACGAATTTACATGGAATCTGCACATCAAACCATATACACACACATACCTGTATGCATTGTACTTATGGATGGCTCTGTTTACATTTCGTTCATAATTAGCCAGCTCTGGAAAGACACAAAAAGTAAAGGTAAGCTCAAGCCTTTATTTTGTAATTTAAACCCGCAAGCACTCTTTAGAAAGTGGTGGGGTTTTGGTTAAAAAAAATACAAACATTATGGAATACCAAAAGTTTTTCATACAATGGTGCTCTGGGCAATGAATAGGGAAGCAAATATACATGCAGAAAGATGAGTGTTATAAGTATATATCTTTACCATGCAGTCAGCTATGATTATTACTTTTAGGGCACGGCTAATTTTGCAGCGCTGTACAATAGGTGGACGAACAAACAAGTAGTTGCAACAAGGCAGCTTGGACATACAGGGACAGAAGATGCTCAGGCGATTGCTCAAATGCAAACAATTTGATAAAATGCAGAGCTAAAACTAAGCAGACGTCTCCTATGAAAGTTACCTAAATAAAAAAGCATGCAGTAAAAAAATCAGAACATACATTAAATAAAATTGTCAGTGTGTAATTCCTAAACACAGCATCAATGTTGAAATGTAGAAAAGAATGAGAGCACACAATTTATGATAAAAGAATTTGATACTTTCCACAAAAATAAGGGTTGCACTACAATGCAACAACCATGATCTGGCAAGCCTAATGCATTAAATTTTGAGTTACATTGTTTCTAATATAAGCAACTGCCTTTATACATTTTCTGTGTGTGTGTACTGCCATCCAGTGGCAAATTTATTGTGCATTTTGCTATTTTTATACAAGTATAAGCTCCTTGTATTACTGCAAACATTTTTCATTAAGATGATTTTAGAAAGATGTCCTCTTTTTATTAATATGCTGATTAAGTATGTATTTTCTTTTTTATAGTCCTCAAGCAGTCTACCGTGCAAACAAGAATTCATTATGTATCACAAATATATATCTATATCTATATATATGACAAGTTAACACAAATTTAAAAAAAAAACAAAAAACGAGAAGTGAGGGTTTCCCTTTAGGGCTATAGAAACCTGAAAATAGTTTGACGAACTCCTGAGGGACTACACCCAGAGTCTTTGCATCATAACCACTACACCTGTCTGCAGTGGTTATGGTGTGTGCAGTGTCCCTTTAATAAACACAGATGATGATGGCGATGGTGCATGCTGGGGATGTGGATGTGCATGCTGTGCTGGGGATGTGGATGGTGCATGCTGTGCTGTGGATGTGGATGTGCATGCTGTGCTGGGGATGTGGATGATGCATGCTGTGCTGTGCTGGGGATGTGGATGGTGCATGAGATGTATTGCACAGTGCAGTGCATGGTTTGGTGTCCAGCTCATGGTGTGTGTGCTCCATGCAGGGCTGTCCATACAATGCCAGGCCAGGCCCAGCTCGCTGGATCCCCTCCACCCATCTCACCAGTCAGGAAGTCTGTAATCCCATCGTTCGGTGACTCTTGCGGGGCCTTCCTTTTACTCATAACGAATCCGGGTGTGATGCCTCTAAGACCGGCTCCGTTCTACACTCGAGCTCCCGGATTCAGCTCTCCGTACAGGCCGAAGATGGACTGCGTGCTACGTCATCGCGTTCGCTGACACGCACACGCCAGCCAACGTGCATGGGGGAGTCTTGTGACAGCCATGTTGGATTAGGGAACATGGCCATCCAGTGCTGGAATGTGTATTGCAGACAGTTACAATTAATGCAATGTCCAATACAATGCTCAGCTTTATCAGAGCACTGGCTGTCATAGCCACACCAGGGGATTCTCACAACCAAATATGAAATGCAATATTCACTTTGTTCCTAAATAAAACTACCAGGGATCCTTTATCAACTAATAAATCAGCTAAATAACCCAGTATTCAAAATAATCAACACTGGCCTTCATTTGTGAAACCTCTTATTAAACACTTCCCAGTAATAAAAGGATCTCCACTGCACTGGCAAACGCTATTTTACATAAACAATTTAGGGTATTTTCCTGGATTAATTAATCTCATCCAACCAATGGTGGCGATTGACCCACTAAATGATATGAAAAATAATTTGGGGTACAAAGTCGGAACCCATAAACAACTGTGTGCCATACCACCCGACATTTTAAACAGCCAAAGAGGGACATTTTAATAGGGTGCAAATGGGGGGGTGGCCAGGGCTGTTTTGAGAAATTTTAGGTGACTTACTTATAACAATTTATACAACTAAAATGTTATTTAGAACAAGAACAATGTATCTCATTTACACAGACTGACTGCTAAAAGAAAATGATCGTAGTTTCATAGTTGCTAACATTTGAAAAACATTTCCAAAGACCCTTAAGGTTTAGCCAACACTTTTGCAGCTAATTTTCTGTGAATGTTTGGCATTATGTATTCATTCTGTCTGCTTATTTTATCTGTTGTTTCTTTATTGTTTATATCTCACTCTTACAACATTTAAAAGGTTTTTTCTGCTTAGCAACTTCTGAAATCAACAGGTAATTGGGATTTATATAACACTTGCCTCTACCTTGGTTTCATTTTGAATTTATAAGCAGCCTCCATTGCTCTATAACCATTCCACCCCATTGTTATATTATTATTTTTTGCCATGTTCCTTTTTAATCATATTCCATTAATTGTGTGTTTTAAATGTTATTGCATTCTTATAGGGACTTTACTGTGTCCTTCTGGGTGGTGGCAGTGGTTTGTAAAGATGGGCAGAGGTTTGTAGGGATGGGCTGGTGTTTGTAGAGGAGCCAGGGGTTTTGTGGGTGGTGGCAGGGGTTTGTAGGGGGGAGCATGGATTTGTAATGGGTGGCAAGGATTTGTAGAGGGTGGCAGGGGTTTGTAAAGACAGGCAGAGGTTTGTAGAGGAGCCAGGGGTTTTCTGGGGGTGGGGGGTTGCAGGTTTGTAAAGTGGCAGGGGTTTTCTGGGGGTGGCAAGGGTTTGTAAAGATGGGTAGGGGTTTATAGAGATGGGCGGGGGGTTTGTAGGGGGGTGTCAGGGGTTTGTACAGGGGAGCAAGGATTTGTAGGCAGTGGCAGGGATTTGTAGAGGGTGGCAGGGGTTTGTAGAGATGGGCAGGGGTTTGTAGAGGGTGGCAGGGGTTTTTAGAAGTGGGCAGGGTTTTGTGGGGGAGCAGGGATTTGCAGAGTGGTAGGGATTTTCTGGTGGCAGGCAGGAGTTTTGTGGGGGGAACAGGGGTTTGTAGAGAGTGGGGAGCAGGGGTTTGGAAGGGGGGAGCGTTTTTTTTTTAGAGGGGGGCAGGTTTTTCGAAGGGGGACAGGGGGTTTGTTAGAAGGGGAGGAAATGCAGCAGATTGTGAATGTGCCTAGGGAGGTATCAGTCTTAATTAGAACTAAATAAATAAATATATATATATATTAATATAAAAAAATTAATAAAATAATAATGATTTAAAAAAACAAACAAGATATATATATATATATATATATATTCTTGAAACCAGAAAAAATTGTGGGTGTTTTTTTTTTTTACCTTTTAAAGGAGGGGGGGTGGGTGCCCCAATCACAGGATTCGTCCCCGGTGCCAAATACTCTAGGAACGCCCCTGTACACATGTATACACACAAACACTATTACACATACACAAAACATATGTAAGGGTAGGATTACCCAGCTTTTTGTCTTACAATGTGTAAAGTATATTATTATTTACATGTACTATTCTCACCCAAACAGGCTGAATTTTTTTTTAAAAGGCAGTAATGCTAATATTTGGGTATTAATGGTGGATTTTCACTATAGAGTCAGGAATACGTTTGTGTTCCTGGCCCTGTACTGTTCCTTTAAGAAAACCACTAATTAGTGAGACTAATTGCAAAAAAAGGTTTCAATTTGCTAGGGAGTGTAAAGATTGGACTCTGGAGCAATGGAAGAAGGTCATGTGGTCTGATGAGTCCAGATTTACCCTGCTCCAGAGTGATGGGCACAACAGGGTAAGAAGAGAGGCAGATGAAGTGATGTACCCATCATGCCTAGTGCCTACTGTACAAGCTTGTGGGGGCTGTGCTATGATCTGGGGTTGCTGCAGTTGGTCAGGTCTAGGTACAGCAACACTATGTGCCCAAAGAATGAGGTCAGCTGTCTACCTGAATATACTGAATGACCAGGTTATTCCATCAATGAATTATTTCTTCCCTGATGGCACGGCCATATTCCGAGATGACAATACCAGGCTTCATCAGGCTCAAATTGTGAAAGAGTGGTTCAGGGAGCATGAGACATCATTTTCATACATGGATTGGCCACCACAGAGTCCAGACTTAAACCCCATTGAGAATCTTTGGGATGTGCTGGCGAAGGCTTTGCGCAGTGGTCCGACTCTCCCATCATCAATACAAGATCTTGGTGAAAAATGTATGCAACACTGGACAGAAATAAATCTTGTGACATTGCAGAAGCTTATCGAAACAATACCACAGCGAATGTGTGCTGTAATCAAAGCTAAAGGCTTTCAAATGAAATATTAGAGTGTATGACCTTTTTTTTTTTTGTGGCAAATTTTTTTTGGCCAGTAAGTGTATATCAACATGTTAAATTAATTTTAATGACTTGATGACAAAAACTATTTGTTTACTGAGTGAAATCCAAAACTTCTACACAAAGGTATCAACTCTTTTGAAAATAGAATGCCCAAAAGTAGATAAATGTCAGCGCTGTGCAATAGCCCCAAATAAGTGTTTGTGGGGAAGCTGGGCAATGAGATAAATGTGTATGATTTCCACCTCCACAGCGGTGGTTTAGGAAATTAGGAGTATTCTGTGTAAACTGTGTATCCAACAGCAGTGATCACAGTAACGTATCTTCAAAGATACAAACCAAGCAAAGAAAGTGTAACACAGTTTATTAATGTCATGTAAAAATAAAACTCCAACACAGTTTAAATAGAGACACAGGGAACAAGAAATTGCGTTTATATTTGTCTCTATAACTGTTGTTTCTGCTCTTGCTCAAGATTCACAGAGGAGTCCAGACAAGAAGAGCAGAAAGTAAGTGCAGAGATGCCTGAGCTGCAGAAGAAGCACAGGGCCGGCGGCACTGTAGGAACTTAAATAAAATGTAATAATTAGACACATGCAAAATACATTTCATTTCATCTCATACTGTATATAAACATCTTATGTTCACAATTTTTCTTTTTTATGAGTCCGCTGGTGTTTAACAAGAACAGAACTGTATGTAAAGCTTTTGCCACACTCAGTGCAGGTGTACGGTCTCTCCCCTGTGTGAGTCCGTAGGTGTTTGACCAATGAAGATGTCTGTGTGAAACATTTCCCACAGTCTGTGCAAGCAAATGGTTTCTCTCCTGTGTGTGTTCTCTGATGGTTAATAAGCGCAGAAGTTTGAGAAAAGCATTTTTCACACTTGCTACAAGAGTAGGGTTTTTCTCCAGTGTGAATGCGCTGATGCTTTACCAGTACTGAACTGTGAGAAAATTTCTTCCCACAGTAGCTACAGGGATAAGGTCTCTCTCCTGTGTGAGTTCTCTGGTGATTGGCAAGAGCAGATTTATCAACATAGCTTTTTGGACACCAGGTACAGTCATAAGGTTTCTCATCGGTGTGTGTTCGCTGATGCTTAAGTAGTGCTGAACTTTCAGTGAAACTTTTACCACATTCAGTGCAAACGTAAGGCCCTTCCCCCGTGTGTATCCGCTGATGCCTTACCACATGAGATCTGCGGCTAAAACGTTTTCCGCACTGAGTGCAAGAATATGGCTTCTCTTCTGTGTGTGTTCTCAGGTGGGTTAGCAGGTTTGAGCTCTGGGCAAATCGTTTCCCACATTTACTGCAAACATATGGCCTCTCCCCAGAGTGGGATCGCTGGTGCCTTGCTAGATGTAATTTGCAAATAAAGCTCTTCTCACAATTGATGCACACATAGGGTTTTTCTGCAGTGTGTGTCCTCTTGTGTATAGCAAGCTGGGAACGATCAATAAAACTCTTGCCACATTTACCACAGTAACATGGTCTCTCGCCCATGTGAATTATTTTGTGCCGTAACAAATGTGAGCTACGATTAAAACTCTTTCCACATTCAGTGCAAGAGTATAGTTTTTCCATGCTATGCACTGTGTGGTCAGATGTAAATTCTGATTTATGTATGCTGATATCATCCCTCACAATAGTTTCATATTGGCTGTTTGCTACAGCCTTATCTAAATGGACAGCTGCATTATCATCCTTGTAAAAGCACTGGCTATACAGTCTGGCAAACTTTAGACCCAGGTATTCACTTCCATGATAATCTCTTTCATCTTGTTTTGCTTCCAAGGTCCTCGTTGTGTCCCATTGCAGTCTGCAAGCATCATTCTCGACATACCAGTATTGTGTATGGTCAGAGGTAAACAGATCTGCAGAACAAACAGGCACACTCAGCTGTTTTTCATCAGTTCTTGTGGTTTCAAGGCTGTCTGAAGAAACAGATTTTAAGAAAATATATGAGTCTGTCATTTGACTGCAATAACAACGGTCATTCATGAATTAAAACTCCTCTCAAAAAATATAGATTGTATTGGGATTTGATCATTGCTATTTTTAATTTTAATGTTATGTTGCTGCCAGAAGTGTAACCCCTGTGGCAGTGTCATCCACAAACTCGGAACAAGGGCTCCAGAATGACTAGTGTAAATTCTGTGCATATACTGTTTTCACGGAGGGTCATTAATTGAGTGAGAGCTCTCAGCCAATGAATGACCAGCAGGATTGGCATCCAGCTTCTGTACCTCTACAGAAATCAGATGCACGTCTAATGCACCTGGCATTAGAGGAGGCTTGAAATCTGGCACCACCAAGATAAGATGCAAACCATTTCAAAACAGGGAATTTTAATATGGAAGGGTGACAATATACTACTAGCATTATAGCAGGCCATAAAATAAAATAATAAATTGATGATGTCATACATTTTCATTCATTTTGCTAAATTAAATTTATATATTCATGTATACTCTAGCTATGATTACCAGCCTGTAGATGAACACATTTCTGTGCATGAATATTTTTTTGCTTATTTGAAATTGCAGGAAATGAACTATCAAAACACTGCAATGTGATGGGCTTGGAGGTAGCTTCACACTTACAATAATAGATGTATAATGTTATACTATAATAAAGTAATGAAACATATAAATATAAAATGACTGTCATTTGTGCTACATGTGTTTTTACAGTATATCCCAAACGTAATTCATCTAGCTCATATTATACGTTGAGCTACATTTACAATCCTAATGAAGCATTTTTTTTTGTACAATTCTTTTTATTACCGTATATACTCGTGTATAAGTCGATCTCATGTATAAGTCGAGTGCAGTTTTGTGACCAACAATTGTGAAATATGCTATGCCTCGTGGATAAGTCGAGGGTAAAACTTGGGGCTATGAAATTCTGTGATTTTTATAATTATATACACACACACACTCATACAAACACACACTCTGTATTATATACACACACACTTATACAAACACACACTCTGCATTATATACACACACACACTCATACAAACACACACTCTGCATTATATACACACACTCTGTGTATATAATGCAGAGTGTGTATATAATGCAGAGTGTGTGTGTTGTGTAGTGTGTGTGAACTGGGTGGGGGGAGGGCATTTTGATTATTTTAATTTTTTTTTTATATTATTATTTTTTTTATTATTTTAAAAAAAAAATTGTCCCCCCCGCCTGCTTGTTAACTGGTCAGGGAGGGGGGCTATCTTAATCCCTGGTGGTCCAGTGGCATGGGCTGGGAAGTGGGGGGACCGGCAGGAGGCATTTACTTACCTTTCCTGCAGCTCCTGTCAGCTCCCTTCTCCTCCGTTCCGGTCAGCTCCACTGTAAGTCTCGCGGTCTGGTTGCCGCGCGGATCGTTGCCATGGCTCTGACGGCCGCGGCTCTCTAAGTTGCCATAATACAGACAGTGACTCGAGTATAAGTCGAGTGGGGGTTTTTAAGCACAAAAAATGTGCTGAAAAACTAGACTTATACTCGAGTATATACTGTAAGTTTTAAACATTCTATAAAGCATAGACGTAACATGAAAATTGACACATTGTAAATATATATATATATTTTTACCACATGACAGGAGGCTTCATATTTGCATATCTTTCTTTACTCAAAACTCCAGCAGCATAGTAACATAAACAACCAATCAGAAAAAAGATATAATGCCCATAAAAGGCCCTAACTATGACATCACTTCCTCTTTCTTTGCTGCTCCAGCCAACATCAGGTCAGAGTATTTTGCCTCCCTGGCAATTGCTTACATATATTGTTTGTTTCTCTGTATTTTGGATGGTATTGTTCTATTTTTACCTAAGTTAATTTATTTACCTAAGTTAATTTATTTATTTAGCTAATTTATTTATTTCATTTACTTATTTCATTTAATTAATTTATTTATTTAGTTTTTACTTTCGCTGTTCCCTTCTCCCTGTCCCTGCAGTTTTCTTTTGGGCCCCTATTGCTTTTCACTACCGGTACCCGCGAGCAACGGCTGTCAGTGCCGCGCGCCGCGGGCCGGCTAACGTTTTTCCTTTTGTGGGGCCGGCAAGGGGACGGGTGGAGGGGGACTGGGAACTGCGTTCCCTCGTCATTCCGGCGCCGAGCGGTCGATCGCGGCGCTACTTCACACGCGGGCAGCGGCCATCTTGGATCTCGCGGCTCGCGAGATACCGGACGGCCGCCTTCCCCGCTTGCCCGGCGGATCGGTAACTCACCCGACCGCTGGGCTCCACATCTTTATACCCTCCCTAGTATGTACTAAGGGAGGGTATTAGGTTACAGTGGATTTTTGCCTTTCTATATATATATTTGCCCAGTGCCTGCCTGCTGTGCTGCCTATCTATTATAAATGCATGCATTAAAGAGACAAACATTCCCCCCTTTTTTGCCAGCTTCAGACCTTTATGTCTCTAGGCCCTGCTTAGGGTCATATCAGCTACTATACCCCAATTAGGGTTATACTATACATGGTTATAATCTCCTCAGGATCAGACGGCATACTGGCAAAAAATTATATACAATTATTATTTTTTATTCTCATGAGCAGGCACACAATCTATGTATTATTGTGAAGCCATACAATATCACAGTCGTTATACAAAACATATACTGTACCTATATCAAGATCAACTATATCACTGTACTCTACGAAGGGCATATTATGTTACTGTACCCTACAAAGGGCATATTATATTATATTATTGTACCCTACAGAGGGTCATATTATATTACTGTACCTGACGGTGCAAATTTATGTGGGTGTCCTCTGGGTATTTTTTCATGGCACACCACCTGGGGTGACCCCCCAGATATGCATGCAAGGTCACTGACAGACCATTACCTTTGATGTGGGTGTCCTCTGGGTTACCATGGCACACCACCTGGGGTGACCCCCCAGATATGCATGCAAGGTCACTGACAGACCATTACCTTTGATGTGGGTGTCCTCTGGGTTACCATGGCACACCACCTGGGGTGACCCCCCAGATATGCATGCAAGGTCACTGACAGACCATTACCTTTGATGTGGGTGTCCTCTGGGTTACCATGGCACACCACCCGGGGTGAACCCCGATCATATGCATGGAGGCCTACGCCTCAACTTTACCACTGATTACTACAGACATATATGGATGTTTAACCCTTAACTATGGATGTTTAACTTTGGAATAAAAGGGAATCATGACATGTCGCACATCTCATGTGTCTTTAAGGGGTTAAACACTGCCTGTCAGTTTTACATTAAAGCAACAGTACCATGCCGGATGCGATTTGATGGCAGGATCACTAAGAAAATTGAGTGTATTGCGGTGTAACCTTCACAGGGATACATATATGTATATTTTCTGTGCCTAGTGTACATATGGAACGTGGGTGTCCTCTGGGTAATTTTTCATGACACACCACCTGGGATGACTCCCAGATATGCATGCAATGCTTGTAAGGTGCCAATAAGTATAATATGGGTGTCCTCTGGGTTACCATGGCACACCACCTGGGATGAACCCAGCCTAATAGACATGGGTCCTGCGGCTGCAGACCTTATGGAGACAGGCCCCATGCGCCTATATAGTAAGCCTGTGTAGTTAAAACCCTGCATACAGCTCTGGCGTACATTTGTGGTGAACCCGGCTAGCCAGACCGACACCACTACCAGGCAGTCGCGCCTGCACCACGGCTCTCAGTAGCCAGATTAAACTAATAGAGGTGACCCCTCTTTTTACCTGGGTGATCCCCAGTTCTACCAGGAGTCTAACACCCCTACGTGCTGACCCCCACACTATCTCCCAACAGGACGGGAACGAGTCATGGTGGACACTCTCAACGTTCCCAAGATTTCTAGACAATGATAAACGCCACAGTAACGGCCTCAGTGGAGAAGGTTCTGTTATGAACTCTACCCCACACCGCTTGATGGAGACCTCAGGCCCACAAGCCTTCAAGTCAAAACGGCAAGGGAAGGGCTCCAGCCCCCCTGCCACTAAGGTCAAGGGCAAGATGCCCATCGAACAGACCAAATAGGCGGAACACCGGGAATCCAAACCCCGTCCGCCACAATCTTCCGACAAAAAAGACTATTACCCACCACGTACTTTGGACATGGTAGATGAGCGACACGAAGACAGCTCACCGTCTGAGGAAATGGAACGGCAAGACCTTCCCCACACTTCCTCGAAGTAAGTTAGGGAAACCTTACTCCGTGACGGCGGCTGAGGCAGAGATAACTGTAGCGGCACTAAACCAGAGTAGCCGAAGACGGAACGTTCCTGGACGAACACTATTGGCTGCACAACCCTCGGGGGATGGAAGGATGCGCACGCCTCAAGACCGAGTTGCCCCAGGGTACACAACTCAACCCTACCACCTCCAAAGAATGGTCTCAATGCTCGATATGCCTCCTGGGCAACGTAAATGACGCACTATGCGCCGACAGACGCAAATCTGTACTGGGCCGCATCGACAACACACTATTGGACCTAGGAACGACAAGTATTCGGCCCAAAAGCACAAGGCCTACTATTCGACGTAGTGTTCATTGCAGTACTCAAAAAACACGTGAATTTATTCACCACACTAAACCCAGACCTCGCTAAAACAAGTCTGAACCCATCCGCTTCATCTACTAGTGTGTCAACCTACATAACTAACTGTTTCCAATATTATGACCGGCAACCTGTCTCTGTTTTACAGAATTGGGAGACGACTACCAAAGTCACCTGGGTTCTCCAGACAGTACAAGGTTATGTCATAGAGTTTTATCACAGCCGTACAGGTCGCCCCTTCACCTCCATTACGCACGCTGGCGGAACAGGAACGCCTCGTGGACAAGAAAATCTGCACCCTCTTCAGGAGGTGCGCAATTCAACACGCAACGGAGGGGAAGGCTTCCCCAACAAATTTTTCCTGGTCAAGAAGAAGCCAGGAGACTACATCAATGGAACTCCTACATGGTATAAAAATGCTGCAAGATGGAGGAAATTCGTCTTCTACAAGACCTCCTAGGCGATAACGACTGGTTTACACATCTAGACCTCAAGGACGCACGCTTGTCGGTACCCGTTGCCCTGGACTGCCGAAGTTTTCCTCCGATCCCGATGGTGAGGACAAACACGGCAGTTTACGACTCCGTGGTGCTCGCGAACCTACTGTAACCAGTGAGGGCACACATCCGCAAATTTGGGCGTGCGATGCCTCGTATACCTGGAAGACTTGCTGATTCTTTACGAATCCAGACTACATTTGCAGACAGATTTGTCGTTCACTTTCGGGACTCCAGGGATTTTTTGTTGTACACAGACAAAGATCGCTTCTCCATCTGAATCGGGCCAGTTCCTCAGTTTCGACATCGGCTTGGAGAACTATGTTCCGCGTCAGTCTACGGCAAAGAGCGCCTCTATAAGGATAACTGTCGGATTGTGGGATTCCTCTCCTCCTCTCCTCCTCCATACAAGCGTTATTCCCTGGCCCACTACGACTGATGGTGAGATACGTACGCACCGCTCACTCATATGACCACTGGATCCCACTGTCGGCGGAAGTGAGGATGGAATTTCGATGGTGATTACTTCACATACAAACTTGGATTGGCAAAACGATCTTTGACTCTTCCTTCGGATACGGGGCGATGGATGAACCCCTGCAAACGCGACCCAGCCGTTTCTCCACAATAGCAAAGGTGCTTCAATACACACACACACTCACAAGATATCGCTCCTGCTCATGACACCCCTCGGGCAGGGCCAACCGTGATTTCCCGGATCGCCTGGAGATGTCTCGCGAAGACCCTCTACTACTCCCTACCTTCCCTCTACTTCTGACGGGACCTCGAGGGGGAGCCCACTCCCTTGTCATGGAAGGACAACTGACACTAGTTGCCTGGACGGCTTCAGGGGCTCCTGGTCAGATCACGACCTATTGCATCAACTAAGACCTCCTATGGGACTCATAGGCTCCCGGCACCAGGAAAGGCTATATTTCTGCCTGGTCGGCCTGGAGTGATTGGTGTGTGGAAAGGGATTCCGATCCCTTTACCGCACCTGTCCCACTGATCCCCAACTATCTGTCACACCTGGTCTCGTTGGGTCGGTCATATCGATCCCTCAACATGATCAGATCCGCCATGTGGGCGGCGCACGTTCCGGTACAGGGCAGACCAGTAGGTCAAGATACACTGGTTTGTCGACTACTGCGGGGTGCCGAATTGTCGAGATCCCGGCACCCAAATATTCACGCCTCTGGCAGGTGGATGTGGTGCCGAGATTCCTTAGGGAATGGCCGGACAATCCTTGTTGGTCACTGAAGCAACTTTCAGCCAAACTAGCCTTCTTATTATGCCTCGTCTCATTTAGACGGTGGCGGACGTTAGGGCTTGCGATATGGATGGTTTCTCTCTCACACCAGACGGGGTTACCTTTACCATGTCGAGACAAACTAAGTCTGATTCGTCTTCAGTGTCATACCCATGCTTTGTGTCAGACGCCACACTATGCGTGGTCAGAACGCTAATGGGGTACACCAATATCTCTACCCCCTTCGAACTCACTCGACGGATCACCTTCTGACTTCTTACGTAAACCCTCATGGACCGCTGTCTACCGCAACACTGGCCAGATGGGTCCGCGGGGTTTTGTCTTTAGCGTCGAACCTTGTTTCGGAGCCCACTCGGTCAGGGGAGCAGCGGCCTCACAAACCTTTTCGGCCGACGCTTCCCTAGCCGACATTATACGCTGCGCGGACTGAGCGCGAGAGAGTACGTTTAGAACGTTCTATTTTCGGCAAACATCTCATGCTTCCTTCACATTGGTCAATTCAAAGCTTTAAAAATGCAAATATGAAGCCTCCTGTCATGTGGTAAAATTGAAGATTATACTAGCTTTAGTGTACTAATAATCTTAATTTTAGTAATGACAGGAGGCGAATATTTCCCACCCTGTAGAATCCCTCCCATGTTCCTCGTATTGAACAGAATATGTCCTTTATGTTCAGGAAGGTAAGTACGTATGGTTTGTATGTTTGCTACTTAGACCTGTATCTTGTGGGTCTTGTATTGGCTGAATATTAGACGTGAACCTTGCATTATGTTGTGTTTATAGATTCTTAAATATCATTGCGTTAGAATAAATATATATTGATATGTTTCACACTCTAATGTTCGCTGGTATGTCAGATGCTTAATGCTTATTGTATGCGGACAAGTTATCACGCCAGATACCTTTCACCTTTTTCTTTTTCTTGCAGCGTGAACGTCTTCTCATCGTGACAAAGATTCACCTTCTATACCTCTGCATCGCGGAACTAGTGGAGTTGGATATTCTAATATGTTGTTGAACTGTTGACGTAATATGATTATGTCTCCTATTGCTATTTATTGTTTCGCTTCAAAGAAAGAGGAAGTGATGTCATAGACAGGGCCTTTTATGGGCATTATATCTTTTTTCTGATTGGTTGTTTATGTTACTATGCTGCTGGAGTTTTGAGTAAAGAAAGATATGCAAATATTCGCCTCCTGTCATTACTAAAATTAAGATTATTAGTACACTAAAGCTAGTATAATCTTCAAATATATCTCATCTCTTGATTTTAACACATACATACAAATATTAAGCGATGAGTTTCTATTCAGTCCCCCCTTGGCTATTCACTTTGTGTAATTATAAAAAAACAGTTGGAAAGATATAGTTATACTGTATATTATTCTAGGGGGTCAATTCGAGAGGGAAAGGGTTTAACATCCACAATTATTCAGAAAAACCATAAACAACACCAAAGAGACATCTCAAACATTAGTGATCTTTTTTTATCCACTGATCAATATTCTTTCTTAGTTTTATCCAATTGATTTATTAATCCTCTTTCCATTTTAAACTGGAAGAATAATTGTTCGTTAATAAGAAACCAATTAGGCATTATGTCTTGTTTCCAATATCTGGCTACAAGAATTTTTGCTGCTATCAATATATGAATAAGGTACATTTTTAAACTTCTACAAAGAAACTAGTCCTGCGCTCCAACTCCCATTACTCCTGGGCGGCAGCAATGACCATAGTACGCATCAGCCAAAATACATATAGTAAAAACCAAAGACATAAAAATAAATAGATGTGTACTATGGTCATTGCCATGTGTTCCCTATTAAGGGGAAATAAGCATGTAGGGATGTATATAAAAAATACCCCTTTCTGTCTCATTAGAGATATTTTTGCCAGAAGCTCAAGGAAGCAAGGCAAATGGTTAGAGTTAGGACCCACCTAAGAGGTTTGCCATTGGAGGTAACTAAAAACCCCCATTTGTTTAAAAAATGTGTAAACTTCTATTGGTGTTAATTAGCTCAAAATGTAATAGGAAAATTTCAGAGTTAAATGGCAGATCTAAACCTGATCTGTTGAATCTGATAATGTAAATTTTTCCAATAAATTTGAATTAAGTCGCAGTTCCACCAAATATGTATAAAATCTCCTCTTCCTGCTTTACATCTTTATGTTCCCAATTTGCTGTAGTGGTTATGGTGCAACAAGTGCACTGGCGCCCCCCTCATTTGTAAATAGTGAAACCATTTTACCCATCTCCACTACTACCGATTGTGTCTGAGTTAAGCCCAGTTGTACAGAGCTTAGCTCACTGGCTGAGAGTGATCAGCTGACGCTTTCAGCCAATGAGCTAGACCTGCATTGCATTTTTTAGCTCAGGAGTTTTTGGCTCTCAGGTAAGAGGGGAGGGGGCAACAGAGCACTTCTAGGATGCTGTAGTGGGTATGGTGCTTGGCGTGTTCCTTTAATTTGTCCATACAATGGAACCTCTACATTTACATCAAAAAACAAACAAAATAACAAGGTAGGCATTTCTGCATCATATTTATTTTTATTATTACGAACACTGGCTGATATATGATATGTGATACTTGAACTTTTCTCTCTTGACTCAGATGAAATAAATCTAAATGTAAACTGTGAGGTTGATGATGGAACACTACTAACCTGTGTGTGCAGACAAGTTATATGGTTCATGTCCCAGCAGCATCTTGACTATCACATCTGGTGTTTCATGGACACAGCCTATTTATGAAAATGGACACTCATTACAATTTATAGGAATAATATATATAGTTCCACTGCACTGCATATCTAGCACCAAAGGCCCTGCTTGCAAGATAATAAGTAATGGAGGACAGGCAAGACACAAAAATGGTGGATCAGAAAATCGGACCTGTAGGTGGAAAAGAACACAGTCTTGTAGCTAGACACGGAGGAACTAGATTTTATTGGGTGTTGCATTCTCCAGATATTGTACAGCTTAAACAGTTTGGTAAGATAAACAAAGAGCATTGATATGAAAAGTGGTCGATCATAAGAAGATGCACCCAGAAAGTCTAATCTCAATGAATGGTGCAGTGACCCTATAGTTTAAACCCTCTAGTTGTCATGTGACAAAATGTTGTTCATAGGAAAGCATGGAGTTATTTAGTATAAAAAATAAAGTTGTATAAAAAAAGTATATCTGACTCTTTAAAATAAAATAAATAAACAATTGAAGCAAATTTCAGAATATAAAATTATTTCAAAAGTTTACCCAAACATATTGTATCATTTGAAACGCTTATCCTAAATATAAGGGCAGGCAAAAATCAGGTATCAGAAAACGTCATTAACCAACGTTTCGGTTGCACTGTTGTGACTTACCAAGACAGCATAGAGTATGGTAATTATCCAACATAACATCCATGTACAGTATTTTCTCTCTCACTCCTAAAAAGTCCCACTCCTCCTCAGAGAAATACACTGCCACATCATCAAATGATAGGGGAATCTAAAACAAACAAAAAAACGGGAGTTGTAATTTGTATGGTGATAATGATGGAGGTAGAGGATAAAATGTATGTGGGTTTCTCTTTACATCCATACATCAAGCTTTCTTGCTTACCCCCTTGTTATACTACCCTATATCTACCCAGAAACCCTGCTACTTTGTTATTCTGCTATTCTTACACTGAGCTTTACTGCATAATATTTTATTATACTGTGGTCTATCAACCCAAACATCAAGCAGTTTTTCATAGTATTTGATTAATGCTGCTCTGTATACACCCGGACATTCTGCTATCCTCCACAATATTTTGTTAAACTGTTCCCTATCTACCCGAACACCTGCTCGAAACCTTGAAATACTGCTACAGTTACAACCAGACAACCTCCTACCCCGTCACAGCCTTGAATTATTGGCTTGTTAGAGTAGTGATGTCACTGTCTTAGACCTGAGGTTTGAATCCTGGTCAGACCACCTCAACAGCAAGTGTCCCTAGGCAAGACACATAATATATATCCACCTATCTCAAATCCTCATAGTTTGTAGGCTCATTTCAGCAGGACCTTCTTCAACGATGAATAGCCCCTTTTTATAATTGGAAAGCACTGCAGAATATGTTGGTGCTTTATAAATGCTAATAATAATGAGAGCACTAAAAATATCTACAACATACCTCTTGATATAAGAAATGTGTTTGCATCTTCTGATTTTTAATTCAGTCTATGAATTTAAAGGTGACATTTAACTGTAAAAAAATAACAGAATAAAAACACAAATATCAACACTTTTCTAAAATGTCCAATACGTAATATAACAATAAACGGCTCAACTGTATTTAGAAAATAGGAAAGGTACTTCCTGAATAGCAACAGAATGACCAGAACTTTCATTTGTTAGGTATTATGATGGGCCAACCTCCAAATTGTAGTGAAGTGAATATTGAAAAATAAAAAATGAGGTTAAAAGTGGTGCCTATAGCATTTTTGGATTTTTTTTTTTCAAATGAGGTATTTTAGCTTAAAATTTGCTATTCGGATTTCAATTTATTACAGGCATACATAAACTATCAGCAGGTAGGCTGTACATTATCTACATCTTCCTCTTGCTAGAGGATGTAATGCTCCACTACGTACAGCTGCCATTTCATTGCCTTCCTTCCTACTATTTGGAGGTGTACATGTATCGTCAGGTCTCTTGTGTCCCATGTTTTGATTGCCGGACTTATTGGATATACATTTTGTTTAACCCCTTAAGGACCAAACTTCTGGAATAAAAGGGAATCATGACATGTCACACATGTCATGTGTCCTTAAGGGGTTAAAACAGTTGCCTAAGTAGTCCACAGAGATGAAGCGGGAGTCATGATGCCTCACTGACCAGACACAATTAGGGTGGCAGCCAGCATCACAGGTGAAGACCTGGAGCTTCAGCTCCTGTATTAATCTGCTAAAATTATCTAAAATCTTAAATTAGAGGGGCAAAGGTTTAAAAATAATATCAGGAAGTATTACTTTACTGAGAGGGTAGTGGATGCATGGAATAGCCTTCCAGCTGAAGTGGTAGAGGTTAACACAGTAAAGGAGTTTAAGCATGCGTGGGATAGGCATAAGGCAATCCTAACTATAAGATAAGGCCAGGGACTAATGAAAGTATTTAGAAAATTAGGCAGACTAGATGGGCCGAATGGTTCTTATCTGCCGTCACATTCTATGTTTCTAAATTAGGACAGTCTAAACCCTCTCAATACAAGTGGATAACTGTGTGTGTAAAGATTGGAGATGACAGCAACCTCAAATATTCTGCTCTTGTATTGCTCCCTACAAACTAAATACTGAAATCATTCCCATATGTCTTTATCACTATGTATACTGAGATACACAGTATATACAATGTCCCATCATGAATAGTTACCTGGGAGCCAACAGCAGCCAGTTGCCCACTTCTCTTTCCCCAGATAGTAATACAGTCAGTACTATACTGTGCAGGAGGGGAAGGGGGTCAGAGGGGGGTCAATGGGGGCGGTCAATGGGGTATGGGCAGATTTGCAGTCCTTCTTATATTCAGCAGATGGGTGTTCTCCTCCCTTTGAAGGACATTTAAACATGGCTATTACCATAACCACTTGCAGGGATAGTCTTCCTTACAGCCCTTCTCCCATCCAGAGTCACGGTAAGTCTGGGGGGCCTGTGTCTCTGTAAACGACTACAACTCCCACAAGTCTGTGTGAGGAAGATATGATGGTCCAGGAACATGGCAGCTCCTCCATATATTCTGGGGGTCGTGGTCCACCTGGCTTGAGGAGAATTAAATGAATATCACGAGATGAACTACAACTCCCTGCGACCAATGCGCTAAATCGATATAACGTCACACGAAACTTTCCGCTACTTCCAACCAACGGAACTTCGGGGCATGTAGTTCTATGATTCACGCAGGCCGTTCCAAAGCTGCGGAACAAAAACTACAACTCCCTAAAAACATAGCGGCAGTCGCGTTGCATCCAGCCGCAGCCAATCGTGGTAAGCATTTCCGGCCACACCCCCTTTCGCTTTACACACAAAGGCTGCAATCTTTTCATAGGTAAGAGGTAGCTCAGTCTGTAGGGATGGGGGATCTGATTAAATTGTATGAATTGGAATGGAGACTCTGGGCAGTGGGTGCACTCATACCTTGTTGGATTGCTGGCAGCATTGTAATGATGGCTGTAGGGCTCTGATAGAGCAATGCTGTCATGGGATCACATGAGTCTTCCTCTGGGTATTTATAGCAGATAATGTGAATATATCAGTGTATGTGCAGGGTAAGGCAGCCATGCGCAAACACTAAATGTTGTCACCCTGGATAAGCATGTCATTTAACACAACACAAGGTTATATAGTATAATATCATCTGTTTTATTTCAGACTCTCTAAAACTGGAGCGCCCAACCATAGCCTTCCACCTGTTGCTAGACTTGTTGCAATTACTTTATATTTTAAATAGAATGTAAGTAACCATTGGTCCTCTCTTCTAAAACACAGTTGCTCAAGTGTGAATGCATGCATTTTATACTGTATGCACAGATACACATGTGTTTGTGAGTGTGTGTGTATATTACCTGTTAGATGTTTGAGTAGAGTTGCTTGAAAATAAATTAAAATATACAGAAATATATCAGCTTTTATTTTTTTTATATTAAAGGATCATAAATGAACTGTGCTAAATCATACAGAGTAACTGGAAATCAGTTTGAAGCCCATTTCTGTTAAAATGAATGTTAAGACACAGGGAAAAGTGACCTTGGTATCTGGTCTCTGAGTAACTTGTAATATAATTAACTATTAGTAACCATTGCTGTACTAGTCCCCAAACCCCCCCCCAAAAAAAAAAAAACAAACAAACAAAAAAAACAATCTAAAATTCGCCTTGTTTCAGTGTTGAGGCCAAGTTCTACCTTCAGCATGATCCTCTACAGATGACGTCACTCACCATCACCAGTGGGAGAGGAGGGGGATGCATGCTGCCATTGGCTGTCTGGCTTTAGCATGCTGGCATCAGACGCCACATTTGCACAGTGTTCACATTAGTCATGCAAAACTCTTGTACTGGGTGGTTAATGACCCCCACCTATGACTCGGTCAGAGGTAGAATTACATCTCCAGCACCAGAGGGGATAAACTTTGCATGTGCAGCATTTCATCACGAAACGCTGCACATACAGAATAATGGTACCATGCCCAATTTAAATTAGTGACCCTTTAACTGCAGTCCAGAAACATCTTAGGTCCCACTTAGCCTTCATTGGTCTAGGACAGGGGGTAGTTAGCAGTACTGTGCCAAAACAAGAGTCTGAAGTCCCTTGGTATTCCTACAAGATGTTTGAAAATTAATTTGCGTGTTTGTTGCTGTGTGCTGCTTGTGTTTTGTATTTGGGCTGTACAACGTGTTTGAATGTGGACTGCTTGAGGGATTGTGTTTGTGGTGGTGTGTGTGTGTATATATGTGGGGGCTACTTGGGGTATTGTGGGAAGCTGCTTGTGGGCTTCTATGTGAGTTATTAATAATGCATTTGTGTTGGCTGTTTGAGAAGCTGTGTGTATTTGTGTATGGGCTTTGTGTAGTTTTGTATGTATGTAGACTTCATGTGCACTTTTGCGTGTGTGTCTCCAACAAAGGTTCAAAGACAATGACAGACACAGAAATACATTCTAGCAACACTCATGGGATACTCACCCAGTCACCAAAGACACGCACATCTAGACAAACACTATTTACTTAATACACCTTGCCACCGTGCACACTGCCAGGCTTCCCTCTAATGCACTAAGCCAGGGCACACAGTTATGCATTGCTACACACATTCAATCACACAGCTAGACACAAACAGCAAGAAACACACTACACCCACACATTGACAATGCTGTTGGAAAATAAGAGAAAGGAAGTTTATAGACTTGCCTGCCTTGTCTCCCATTCTAATATTCTTGCATTATATGTAAGATTAACTAAGCAGAAGATATCTTTGCAAACTACCAGCAAATTCACCAGCAAAGTCCATTAGGTATTAAAATAAGTCCATTAGCTATTAAAATACAGTATGTTGAAAAGTCAATGTAATACCACCTTATTTGTTTTTTTTTTTGCTTTAATCATTTCCATTTCTTTCTTTGCAGCTTGTTTATAATCCTCACCTTTTGAACTGGTCATTTCAAAATGTCTGATTGTGAATCTAGTTTTATTGAGGAGCACAGATTAAATAACAAGCAAACTCTGGATTGTAATAATGAGGTAAGCTTTATTCATGCTTACTATATCTGCAAATTAAGGGACATAAACCAGGAAATAGAGACTAGATGATATACTGGGAGTTGGATTTTTGGTTGGACACACAGGAGATACTCACTAGATTTTATACTGGGAGTTGGATTTTTGGGTGTTCTGGTACCAGTGTAGTTGATGTATGGGATGGTAGGGGTTAATTATACACTGTAAGTTTTACTTTACTGAGTAAACCGGTATTTTGTGCTCAGATAACAGTGACTTTGTATGTTTCGGGTAAGGAAACCTTTTATAAACACAATTAGGCACTCACAAAAACACACGTACATGACTAGCCATGGATACTTACACACACACATGCCTAATTAACCGGTACTTTTTTTGCAATAACTATCGCTAATCAGTCAAACTAACATACTAAGAATATTACAGAATACATTTTAATATTATTTTAGTTCCCCTCTCCTCTCTCTGTTGATCACCTCTGTCAGTATGAGGAGAAATTGGAGATTGGGAAGTGCTGTTCACTGGTTAATGGCTAGGCCGTGATAGCAGAGACATCTTTTGGCATTTCCTTGCTCTCCACTGCTTATCTGTTCACCCTGACTGACAGTTCTGGGAGGAAATACAATGATGTTACATCCTTCCATTGCAGCAGACAGAGGCAGCCTGCTTCCTTGGGCACATAGTGACTAGTTAGGGGAGATCTATTAATAGCCAGGCTAATTCTCAGCTTTATGGCACTACTGCATTATTGCAAGGTGGAGATTTATTGTAATAGTGTAGCAAGCTTAGTAATACTTTTTTTTTCTGCTGGCAGAGATTAGGAGAGTTTTATAGTCCATTAATAGCTCATGATCAAATAAGTGTAGACATTCACACCTCTTGATCCTGCAACTTTATGCAACCATCTAAGCCCCCTGTCAATCATTGTTATAAGGTTTGCATAGAGAAGGCACACAGTTAAGAGGAAAAATGAAACATTGTTCTCCTTTTCATTTGCGGTGTTTGCCGTGGGTTTGTTTTTTCTGAACTGCATTGCGGTGTAATTTGCTATGTGTGTAAATTAAATAGATGTGGAAGCTGCCTTTTTAAAAAAGGTTTAAACTTTCACTCTCATATTTTTTCACTATGACTTAGTTGTTTTCATCATTAATGAACATTCCATGCAACATAACCACTACAGAATGCTGTAGTGGTTATTGTGTCAGAAGTGGACCCCCCAGTATAAGTAGTCAAGCTGTTTTAGAACGGTTTGTGATCTTACCTGGGATCCGCATGGCACACTTCTCACCTCCACTACCTTAGCCAGAGAGCTTCCATTATCTCTCTTAAAGGACCACTATAGTGCCAGGAAAACATACTCGTTTTCCTGGCACTATAGTCCCACTCCCGCCGGGCTCTGGGGAGTGGAAATGGGTTAAAACTTACCTTTTTCCAGCGCTGGGCGGGGAGCTCTCCTCTTCCGTTCCTCCTTCTCTCCTCCCATTCGGCTGAATGCGCACGCGCGGCAAGAGCTGCGCGCGCATTCAGCCGGTCGCATAGGAAAGCATTTACAATGCTTTCCTATGGACGCTTGCGTACTCTCACTGTGATTTTCACAGTGAGAATCACGCAAGCGCCTCTAGCGGCTGTCAATGAGACAGCGGCTAGAGGAATTGGAGGAAGGATTAAGCCATTTACAAACATAGCAGTTTCTCTGAAACTGCTATGTTTATAAAAAAATGGGTTAATCCTAGCTGGACCTGGCACCCAGACCACTTCATTAAGCTGAAATGGTCTGGGTGCTTACAGTGGTCCTTTAAGCTGAGCCCTGCACTGCAGGCTCTTTGGCTCAGGTGGTGAGTAGGAGGGGCCAGGGCACTTCTGTCATCATAACCAGTTGTAGTGTTCCTTTGAATTGTAGTTTTTTAGATTTACTGTATGAGAAAAATCTTGGGAAAAAAACAAACAAAATAAAAAGTAACTGAGAAAAGCCATGCCTGACTTACAGCCCAGATAGCTTACAGTTCATAATCTCTAATTCTCTTTCTTTAGATTCCAGTTATGTATTATGAAGGTGAAGATTTCTCAGAGACTAATCACAGTTGTTTGGAAGAAAACCATACCATTTCAAAAAAAGAACAAGACTGCAATAAAAAAGGTTTGTACAGATGCGTTAATCAGTTCACTCTTTAACACAGTAAAACTTTGTTGTCGAGGGAGCTCCAGTAAGATGGGAGCAAATCTTGTGGGTTATTGCTTGTGTTTCCTCTTTATTTGTCACTATGTGTTCCACCATGTTTACAAAAATGGATACACTGAGAACATGCAAAGTTACATATTTATAGTAAAACAAATTAAAATGCTGTTTTGCACTTATGCTCAATTACATGCTATTTTCACAAATAAACCAGCAGGCCTTTTTGTACACTCTAAATGGCTTTTGGTAGTGTTAAGAGTATGATATGAAATAGAATAGGATGCAGAAACTGTAAGCCTTGGAACTTCTCAAGGACTTGTCTTGTTTTTCACGCATGCTTTCTTTAATGCATTTGTTTGGTGGTGGTTTTGGATGAACTCTAGCTTTGAGTGTCTGTTTAAAGGAGCACTATAGGGTCAGGAACACAAACATGTATTACTGACCCCAAAATGTTAAAACCACCATCTAGCCCCCTTGGCCCCCTCTTGCATCCCTAAATATAGTAAAATCTTACTTACATTCATGTCTGCAGCTGCTAGCTCTGCCCTGATCTGCCTCTTAAACTGCCTGCTGTATGCTGACATCATCAGAAGTGGTGGGCTAAGCCAATCACAATGCTTCCCCATAGGATTGGTTGAGACCGTTAAGGAGGCAGATCAGGGGCAGAGCCAGCACAGGTCAAATACAGCCCTGACAAATCAGCATCTCCTCATAGAGATGAATTTAATTAATGCATCTCTATGAGGAAAGTTCAGTGTTTGTATGCAGAGGGTGGAGACACTGAATGGCAGTACTGCACACTGTGCAGCACTGCCCATGGAAGCACCTCTAGCAGCCATCTGAGGTGTGGCCAGTGAAGATATCTCTAGGCTGTAATGGAAACACTTCATTTTCTCTGAAAATAAAGTGTTTACAGCAAAGAGCTTGAAACATAGAATGTGATGGCAGATAAGAACCATTCAGCCCATCTAGTCTGCCCAATAAAGGGAATGATTATACTCACCAGAACAAATGCAATAAGCTGTAGTTGTTCTGGTGACTATAGTGTACCTTTAAGTCACCATAATACTTATAGTTATAGTTGAAGGTTTCTGTTTTTTTAACTTCCCCCTGCTTTGGGTGTCGGGGAATACTGTGGTTTTTGGAAAACACCAAAAAGTCTCCTTCAATATAGACTAACTCTCTGATTTGCCATAGGTCTAGATTTCTTCTTTGATAATGTTAATGGCAATTAGCATTCAAGAGAACCATTGTGTTCCAGTATCATATCCAAAAGAAACATTAATAATTACCCACAGATGAATATGAATTTTGTATTGGCTGGAGTTTCTGTCCTCAGGTGACTTTCTCAGATTTATCCCTGGATAGCTAAATTGTGCTAAATTATATTTTGTGGGGTTTTTTTTGTCTTATTTACCTGGGAGACCAAGGCATTTATAAATTGTCTTGGTGGTGGCAGATAGGGTGCGTTTGTGACACAGAACACCTAGAACCGAAACTTTGGTAAACACCTCCTCTGTTCTTCTCCAGGTCAAATTCAATGTTTATTTTGTTATAATCAAATCCTATTTTAATAATTAATTAAGCTTATTATTATCTTCCCTTAGGGGAGGAGGTGTCACCTGATGTAATTAACTATAGTGTATTTTTTTTCTGTTCTACTTTTGTATAGATTTTGTGATGATCAATGAAAAGGGTGAGCCTTGTACTCCTCCCAGCGCCATGATTTTAACTGTAGAAGAAGACGGTCAGGAACTTGACTCCCATGAACAAAACCTAACTGGAAACTATGTGTTCAATTTGCAGCACCCCACTGATCTAACCTACAGAAGGATGGGCATAGATAGCTATAGTGTTTTTAACTCTATTGATCCAAAAACAGGGGAGATATCAGAAATGACAACCTATTTGTGTATTGATTGTGGTAAAAGTTTTACCGATAGCAATCTTTTTGCCAAACACCAGAAAACACACACAGGATACAAACCCCACTCTTGTAAAGTATGTGGAAAGACCTTTTCATACAACTCACACTTGGTTATTCACCAGAGAATTCATGCAGGAGAGAGACCGTTCTCCTGCTCCTACTGTGGTAAGAGTTTTACTGACCGACCATCTCTAGTGAAACATGAGAGGATCCACACAGGGGAAAAGCCTTTTGAATGTACTGTGTGTGGAAAGTGCTTCACAGACAGATCGAACTTAGTGAAACATCACCGGATACACACTCGAGAGAAGTCATTTACTTGTATAGAATGTGGAAAGAGTTTCACAGACCGTTCTAACCTTGTTAAACATCAAAGGATTCACACAGGAGAAAAGTCCTTTGAATGCACGGAATGTGGGAAAAGGTTCACAGAGAACTCCACACTGGTTGTCCACATGAGAAGCCACACAGGGGAGAAGCCATATGTATGCAATGAATGCGGCAAATCCTATTCATGCAACTCACACCTTATTGTACATCAGAGGAGCCACACTGGAGAACGGCCATTTGGCTGCCATGAGTGTGGAAAGACTTTCACAGATAGCTCAACACTTGTTATACATCAGCGAGTACACACTGGAGAAAAACCATTTGTCTGTATTACATGCGGGAACAGGTATACAAAGAAGAGTGCTATGGTTAAACATCAGAGGACTCACACTGGTGAAAAGCCATTTGGTTGTTCACAGTGTGGTAAAAGCTTTATTGATAGTTCATCTCTTGTTAAACACCAGAGGACCCATACAGGGGAGAAACCATTTGCTTGTATCTTGTGTGGTAGAAACTTTGCTGCAAGATCTACTCTGGTCAAGCATCAAAGAACTCATACAGGAGAGAAACCATACATGTGTAAAGAGTGTGGGAAATGCTTTTCATGTAATTCACATCTTGTGGTCCACCAACGATTTCACACTGGAGAGAAACCATTTCCATGCACAGTATGTGGAAAAAGTTTCACCGATAGTTCCACCCTAGTCAAGCACCAGAGAATTCATACAGGAGAGAGACCTTTTGTGTGTAACTACTGTGGGAAAAGTTTTATAGACAACTCAACTCTTATTAAACACCAAAGAATACACACAGGTGAGCGGCCATATTCCTGTAAAGAGTGTGGGAAGTGTTTTACTGACAGCTCAACATTGGTAAAACATCAAAGAATCCATACTGGTGAGAAACCTTATACATGTAATGATTGTGGACGGAGTTTTACCGACTGCTCAACGCTTATTAAGCACCAGAAAATACACCGGAGGGGGGATCCATTAACTAATGCTGGTGTTGCAAAAAGTGAACCAAAAAATCTAGTTACTATTAAAGAAGAAAAACCTTGAAGATGTATGGATGAATTTGATGTGCACAAATCCATATCAAGAACGTAACATTGTTACAGGAAGGAAAAGATCCACATGCATGTTTAAAATGAGTTCCTTCCACAAAGTTGTACAGTGAATGGTCTTGCCACATGTGAAAAAAAAATATCTGCAATGTTGGGCCAAAGAAAGAGTTTCAACAGATCTATTATTACTTTGTTTCTGTGTACCCAATTCCTACTTTTTTTGTGATGCACATTTCATGTATTCGGTCTCAAGCAATCAAAACTAAGACAATTCCCTCTCATTGGTAGTACTCTGGCATGCAAAAACATTTCCAGAACTTTTTTATGGGTCAAGAATTCCTTACTTATTTTGCGGCTTGTGCCCAAAATTGGAAGAGACCTTACCTGCCATTATCCTTTATATTTCATTCTTTTAAAAAGTGGAGGAATCCTTAAGACAGAGAACGTTGAGCATAACTAATAAATTTGACATATTTCTACATTTTTCCTACTCAATGTATGAATGTAATTTTAAGTATTTTTTTTTTTTTTTATATATATATAATCTTAGTGATTGGTTAGTTTTAGAAATCTGGATTGACAAAACTCACAGAGAAAAAAAGAGGAGACTTCATTAAGGAAATGAATGTCTTTATGGTAAACAAAGGATTTGAGATGCTGCTATGTAAAATATTCCCATAGATTCATTTATATGATTGTATTGAAGAGTATATGGAGAAATTTAACTATGTTATTAAATATCTATATGGGAAGGGCCAGGGGGATCAGATATGACAGCATACTTTGGAGAAGTGCTGTTTAGTGCCAACTAATAGGAAACTAAAATCTAGAGCAGCTTTGTGAAGAGGTAAAAAGTTAAAGAACTAGACCGAGATGGTGTTTTGTTTTATTTTTAAAGATCCTCACTGTTGTATAGGCTGAACCAAGACATTTTATGTACTAATAATGAGCACAGACAGATCAAATCAAGTTTTCTCTTCCTGTTTTACTTGTTACTTGCATGGCGTTAGCCTGTTTACACTTTGTGTGAGAGCCAGGGTTCACCCTTTGGTGTGCAGACCAGCATGGGAACTATTAAAAGTTTACCACTCAAAATCCATTGTGTAGAATCACATGGAACATCTTTTGTTCCGTAAACTGCAGGGTTGTTTTTTAAGAATCTTGTGTTTCAAACAGTTTCAGTGCTATGCTTTAAAGGTACAGCGGAGGAAGTGGGATAGGAAGAACATAATTGGTGCTGAAATGGTCCTCTGTGTCACTAGTGAGATAATGATAGAAGAGGAGCAGACCTCACCTGTGATGGCAGAAATGTACCTTTGTATGTATTCAGTTTCTCCCGTGACAGTGTCTGTGCATCCTGGTTATCTGTCCTCATACTATGTACTGTATATTCGATCTGGAAAGTTAAAATATGCATATATTATCTGTTTTTTATTGAAAATAAATATTACATTGATGTGAGTTAGTTGTGTAATTAACTAATCAGTATGAGCTAAACAATCTAACATGTTACACTTCATTTAAAATTGTTAACGTGGACCCCCAATCCATTTGTATGACAAGGTCAATGTGTCAATATGACAAGGTAATAAAATGTAATCTAGAAATTGAGAAGTCACCGTACAGATTAAAATATATATTTTCTGCTGTTCGCACAAGATAGTTGCTTCGGACGATGCTTAGTGCAGCAGCCTAGAACAACAAACTTAAAGCGGCATTGTCATGGCCGAATCCAGTTTTTTTTTTTAACCCTCCTCCAGACTCCACTACATCTAATTGTCCCCCTAGTTACCCCTAAATGCCCTTAACCCCTTAAGGACACATGGCATGTGTGACATGTCATGATTCCCTTTTATTCCAGAAGTTTGGTCCTTAAGGGGTTAAGCCCTCCAGTTTACTTATTTTTTTCATCTTTATTTTGTGCCCGGACCTAGGTCCTGGGCGCCGCCATCTTTGTGTGGGTAGATGAAGTCCCTGTGGGACACGTCATCTGCCCACACTGGATAGCACTGTGAAATTCCCGCGCATGCTCAGTTAAACACATGGACATTCGAACGGGAATTTCATCTATTCATTCATTCGTCAGAAAGACGAATAAATTAATAGAAATTTCAAGTGAATGAATGAAGACCTCTTCGTTTGGTTGGTTTATTACAAGGAGGGAGCTACCGGCGCGCAGCTCCCTCCATGTAGTATATAAAAATAGAAGCGACAGGGAGCAGAAGCGGCAGCTCCTCCCTCACTCTATGGGTGCCAATATGACCCCCATAATAGCATAAGGGAAGTTAAAATCTCCCAAATGCTACTACTCGCTATGCCGCGAGTAGGGGCATGTTTACTATCACTGTTGTAAAAAAAAAAGCCCCCCACCTAACAAATGGCCCCATGGTGGGGCATCTATTAACTAGCGTACCCCGCGGGTGGGGGCTATTCAAGTAAACGGGGGACATAGGATCTCCCTTGGCCCCCACCCATGAGCGGCGGGTGGGGGCCCTAAATGAAAATGTAGAGGGACCTATTGACCTCCTCCTGGCCCCCACCTCTGAGCGGGAGGTGGAGGCCCTAAATTACAATAAGGGGGGGACCTATTGTCCTCCCCCCTGGCCTCCACCCATAAGCGACGGGTGGAAGCCTATGGGCGATGGGTGGGGGCTAAATGTAAACCCCCCTCCCAGGTGACTAGGGGTCCCCAAGCCCCTAGTCACACCCCCCACAACCAAAACAAATTAAATAAATTCCTACCTACCCCCCCTTACCCTAAAAATAGTAAGGGGGGAACTGTTTCAAGGGGAAATGAGTGTTAGCAAGATTGCTGGTTTGACTCAATGCACATCTTGTTGCATGTATGGATGCCTGGATGTACCCGTGCAGGGTCCATACCTCTGTGATGGTTGTGTGCGAGTGGCTTCTCTGGAAGCTCAGATTGGAGATCTCGAGAAGCAAATTGCAACTTTGAGGGAGATTGACAATCTTGAGACGAGTCTACTGCTCACTGAGCAGAGTTTAGTGGGGACAGGTAGTGGAGAGGGAGGAGATAAGACAGATGGGGAACAGGCATGTAGCTGGGTGACAGTGGGGCGAGGAAGCAGGGGGGGAGGGAAGAGGAAAGGGCTAGCTAGTCCTGATTTGGTGCAACCTAGCAGATTTGCCCGTTTGAGGGAAGATGTTGGGAGCATCAGCTCAGGAGTAGCTGTATTAGAGGAAGCTGTTACTTCTAACAGCCGAGCTAACAGCCCCCCTAGTACGGGTGGGGATCAAAATGTAAGGAAGGCAAGACAGGTTGTGGTGGTAGGGGACTCTATCATTAGGAGAGCAGATAGGGCAATCTGCCGCTCTGATCGGCTCAACCGGACAGTTTGCTGTCTCCCGGGTGCTCGGGTCCGGCATGTTGCTGACAGAGTGGATGGATTATTGGGAGGGGCTGGGGATGACCCAGCGGTCATGGTCCATGTTGGTACCAATGACAAATTAAGAGGAAGATGGAAGGTCCTAAAGAATGATTTCAGGGAATTAGGTAGCAAACTTAAGAAAAGGACCTCCAAGGTGGTATTCTCTGAGATATTACCTGTGCCACGCGCTACTGTGGAAAGGCAGCGGGAGATTAGAGAGGTCAATGCGTGGCTTAAGTCTTGGTGCAGGAAGGAGGGTTTTGGGTTTTTAGAGCACTGGGCCGACTTTGCGATTGGGTACAACCTTGGATTGCACCTAAACGGGAGAGGGTCTGCAGTGCTGGGGGATAGGATGGCTAGAAGGTTGGAGGAGATTTTAAACCAGTAGTAGGGTGGGAGGGTCATAGCAATCTACAAAATGGAGATAGGACAGAAAGAAGATGGGCTTTAGCACAGTATAAGGGGGGTGGAAACGGGGGGAGGGGCAAGCTCAGAACAGAGAAGCTGTGTAATGGTGAAAATTCACAAAATATACAAGTGACGCATAATATTAAATGTATGCTTACTAATGCAAGGAGCCTAAATAACAAAATGGGGGAACTAGAGGCATTAGCATACACTAAACAATATGATATAATAGGCATAACTGAAACATGGTGGGATGAGACACATGACTGGGCAGCTAACTTAAATGGGTACATGTTATTTAGGAAGGATAGGAAAAACAAGAAGGGTGGTGGGGTATGTTTGTATGTCAAACATGATTTAAAGCCAAATGTTAAGCAAATGGAATGCGAGGAGGATAATGTGGAAGCTTTATGGGTAAATATCTGCTTGGGGGAAAAGAAGGGAAACCAACTATTGGTTGGGATATGTTATAAACCACCTAATGTTAATATTGACGAGGAACAACAGCTGTTTGAGCAAATTGAGAAAGCTGCAAATCTGGGTAACACTTTAATTATTGGAGATTTTAATTATCCAGATATAAATTGGGACAGAGGGACTAGTGCCTCAGCAAAGGGAATTAGGTTTTTAAACTTGTTAAATGACACCTTCATGTCACAACTTGTACAAGCACCAACTAGAATGGATGCTTGTCTGGACCTGGTTTTAACAAACAACGTTGATCTTTTGAACAACATTCAAGTAGGTGAGCACTTGGGAAATAGTGATCACAATATAGTGTCCTTTGAAATAAACTCAAAAAAACAAAAGCACATGGGGAATACTAAAACATATAATTTTAAAATAGCCACCAAGGGACGCTAAGATACCTGCTCTCAGGCACTAGAGAGTTCGGTTAATCCCTGCACGCAGCAAATAACCTGTTTATATACCCAGGGGTACACTCAAGCATTTAAACATATAATCTGTAAAGCGTGATACCATTCTACTCAATAATCCTTTATTACCTTGCATTTATTTTATGTATTTTATTCAACAGACGCGTATCAACCCTAGCCTGGTGTGTTGGCACTATGTTCTCTAACCGAGGCCACAAACAACCCAGCGAAACAAACGCAAGAAAATTATAGCAAGTTAAAAATGTTATGTTATTGATCCCACTTAAGATTAGCAGAGTCTTTTTAGCTCCACACATAATGCATATATGTTTAGTTTTAACCAATGCTACGTCAGGGGCCTATCAGCTGCATATATGTTAGCCCATATTATGAACACTAGATAACGCTAGGGCAGACTGTGAGCTACTAAACTGTGAGTTAACAGACTGTGAGTTTAGGACAGAAGCAAGCATGATAAGACGTTACAGGAGGGCATGAATGTTTATGCTAGAGCATTGCTTTCACACATATGTGTATCCCTGTCTACCAAAGCTGTTAGGATGCTACAGGCATATTTACTCTTAAATAATTGGTTATCGCTTAGACATACCTACATAACTAATATTACGTTTAAAAAATGTGCAAGTTTTCAGAGCCACTGTTCAACCTATGTTTCCATATTATTCTTCGCTGTTGTGGCGCATGACTATGTTTTGTACTCACCTGCACAACAAAAATAAAGAATTAAAAAAATAAATAAATAAATAAAAAGGCCAATTTCAATAAGTTAAGGGAAGCTTTACAATATATTGACTGGCATAAACTCTTTAGTGAAAAGAACACCAAGGATAAATGGATCATCTTCCAACAAATATTAAAAAGGTACATTTCTCAGTATGTACCGTTGGGAAATAAATATAAAAGAAACAAATTAAAACCAATGTGGCTTAGTAGAGAAGTAAAGCAAGAGATTACAACTAAGAAAAGGGCATTTAAAGCATTTAAATCGGACAAATCAGATGCATCTTATAAAAGATATAAGGATGCAAATAATGCGTGCAAAAAGGCAATTAGACTTGCTAAACTTCAAAATGAAATAATGATAGCTGAAGAGAGCAAAACAAACCCCAAAGCATTTTTTAAGTACATAAATTCTAAAAAAAACAAAATGAAAGTGTAGGTACACTAAAAACTCTATTTCTCTATTTCTATAACACTATTTCTCCTCCGTATATATTAAGGAAGAATCCATGGCAATAGATGTGCAAATGATTGCTACTAAAAACCTGCAGAATAATTGTAATTGGTTAACTCAAGACATGGTGCTGCAGCAACTAAAGAAAGTTCATATAAACAAAGCTCCAGGGCCTGACGGTATCCATCCACGTGTACTTAAGGAACTAAGTGCAGAAATAAGAGAACCTCTGTTTTTAATCTTTCAAGATTCTTTTTTTTCAGGAAGTGTTCCGGAGGATTGGAGGAAGGCACAGGTCATGTCAAACGAACTTGATTGCGTTCTACGAACAAGTAAGTAGAAGTATAGATCAGGGTGTTGCCGTGGATGTGATCTATTTGGATTTTGCCAAGGCATTTGATACAGTTCCACACAATAGATTAGTGTTCAAACTCAAGGAAATCGGTCTAGATGAAAATGCTTGTTCTTGGGTAGAACATTGGCTTAAAAACAGAGTACAAAGAGTTGTCATTAATGGTAAATTTTCAAGCTGGACAGAGGTGGCAAGTGGTGTCCCTCAGGGGTCTGTTCTGGGACCCCTTCTATTTAACATGTTTATAAATGATCTTGAAGACCGCATTGAAAGTCATGTTTCAGTGTTTGCAGATGACACAAAACTTTGTAAAATAATACAATGTGAGCAAGATATTACTTTGCTGCAGAGGGATTTAGATAGACTGGGGACTGGGCACTCAAATGGCAGATGAAATTTAATGTTGAAAAATGCAAAGTTATGCACTTCGGCGTAAAGAATACACAAGCAACGTATACCCTTAATGGAAGCGAATTAGGGATAACAACACACGAAAAGGACTTGGGAATTGTTATAGACAACAAACTATGCAACATTGTGCAATGTCAATCAGCAGTGGCCAAGGCCAGTAAGGTATTGTCATGCATGAAAAAGGGCATTCATTCTCGGGACAAGAATATAATTTTGCCTCTTTATAAATCACTGGTAAGACCCCATATTGAATATGCTGTGCAATTTTGGGCACCTGTTCTAAAGAAGGATATTATGGCACTAGAAAAAGTGCAGAGGCGGGCTACAAAACTAATAAAAGGAATGGAACATATCGGCTATGAAGAAAGGTTAACAAATTTAAACCTATTTAGTTTAGAAAAACGTCGCCTGAGAGGGGATATGATAACATTATACAAATATATTCGGGGCCAATACAAATCATTGTGTGGAAATCTATTCACAAACCGGACTTTACATAGGACACGAGGCCATGCGTTTAGACTGGAAGAAAGAAGATTTCGCCTAAGGCAAAGGAAAGGTTTTTTTACTGTAAGAACAATCAGGATGTGGAATTCTCTGCCTGAAGAAGTGGTTTTATCAGAGTCCATACAGATGTTCAAACGGCTACTAGATGCATACTTGCAAGAACAGAATATTCAAGGATATAATCTTTCAATGTAGGGTAATAACTGCTTGATCCAAGGATAAATCTGACTGCCATTCTGGGGTCAAGAAGGAATTTTTTTTGTGCTTCAAACTGGTTTTTTTTGCCTTCTTTTGGATCAACAGCAAAAAACAAATGTGAGGTAGGCTGAACTTGATGGATGCAAGTCTCTTTTCAGCTATGTAACTATGTAACTATGTAACAAGAAAACTCCACGTAAATAAAAAATAACTTACCATTTGATGTCTTCTTTTTTCTAAACTCTTCTTTTTTCAGCCCCAAAAAAGGCCAAAATACAAAGGCGAAGATGCATTTTGACACCCCCCTTTAAAAAAAAGTCTTCACCTATGTGTTTCATAACCCCCTTTTGAATTTTTTACCATCTTTGTATTTTATTCCCCCTTTACTATGTCTTACACGCAACTTCAAATGCTGCTATGTGATGCCTGCAGGTAGACAGGTAATTGGAAAAATCCTAGTCCACAGCCAGAAACAGGGGATTCAGATTTTTGCTCCCCCCTGCTCTAGCGCCCTAAGGCGGCTGCCTGTGCCACCTTATGGACACGTCGGCCCTGGTCAGGGTAGGGGACAATAGTAACTATAAGGGGTCTGTTATTTCATGGGATGGAATAAGGCCTTTTTTCTAGGTGCTGATTTTAAATTTATAGTGGATGGGCCACGTGGAGGTACATTACCTCCATTAAAGTAATATGGTGATCTTAAAGGATTTTTGTTTAATTTTTTTAATGTGGCGGCTGGCTAGCAAGCGCTAGCCAGCCACCACATAATTAACCCTTGCTCAACCAAGAGTTGTAACTATTTGCCTGCTAGGTTTTTTAACCTGGACCAATCTGGTACAAATTTTCCTCCTTTCTTTAACACTTTTCCTTTATTTATATAAATCTTAATGCTCGTCTAGGCGGTCTACAGTTCCAACTCATGTATCTCACAACCATATAGAGGCTTTCTTATGTGCCTACTATCCCCACATAAATATTCCAAACCCTAGCATGTAATATTGTTATCAATTACAGTACAAATTATATATTTTGTTATACTGACTATATAAACTGTAACTAAATTACTGTGTAAGCTTGTCCATTTTTTTTCAGTAAAATTGTACGATAAAGGTTTGTGGGGTTTTTTTTTGTTTATTTATAGTTTTTTTTATTTTTTATAGTATGGCATTTATTTTTTCTACATAGGATATAGAATTGCTGCAATACCGGAAAACTGCTATAACTGTATTAATGAGAAAGAAAATAATTATATTTACTCCTTGAAGGTAGCCTCTTTGCTCGGATGGACTACTTATGTGCCAAGACTATGTGCAGTTTGAATTTCTGAAACTGGCCCAGAGTATGTTTTGAAATGATCAACAATTGTACATGATGTTAGGATTCATGTATGTACACTAGTTTTTGGTTACCTGCATGGTCTTTGGTTAGAAAAACTGTATTTTGAATCAGTATTCATACAAGTGCATTACTAAATAATAAACATAGAGGGTATAATACACGCGATATTTAATATCTTAATAATAAAGTATCACTTCACACTATTCTCCATCTTCGCACAAAACTAAAGTTAATAACCTAAACAGAAATACATTTTTGAATGATTACTCCAAATAGCATGACCACTTTTTGAAGATCTGGATCAGCAGGCTGCAAGGAGAACCTGGCACTGGATTGATGGTAAGTTTTTCCAGTACGGGTTGCACTATCCTCAAAAGTGTTTCTTTATGTAGTGAGCTTAAACATGATCAAAAACTAGTATTTTTTATTTGAATTTTTAAAGTATTTATTACTAAACAATTGAGAGTAGAATACTTGGTGCTTGAAATGTATTACAATTATTTTCTTAGATTCCAAAATCTGCAATTGCTCAACCAAAAGTAGAAAATGTTGAATGGAGAAACTGGGTATACATGCATATACAGATGTATAAAATATACATCACATCACAACAAATATTGATATAGATATGGAATCTATTCAAAGTAGTATCCAATACAGCATGGTTAGAAATAAAAGAAGAAACACAAAAATATCTTGCTATATGCTTGGTTTATGTTGAAATACGTACTGATCACATTATTTTACATAATTAATTCTGGATAATTCCCTTTTTAATTATAGCTTATAAATAATGTTTACATAGATCAGTTTATGTGAATCTTAATTAAGTTTCCATGAAGCTGTATCATGAGATCTCTAAGACGTATTCACTAACAAAGAATTGCAGCAAACTGAAATGCAAAAAAGGCTGATCTTGAAAAATCCTCTAAGTCATAACTTATTTGAGCCTGAATTCAGTGTTCAATTCACTACAAATCAGAGTTTAGAGAATAAACCCTGTATGCAGGGTTTTCAATTTGTATACTGCATAGCCATAGGCAATATGACATTTCCCTTACTCTTGCAGATAAATTAGGGTCTATGTATTAAAGGGACTCTCCAGTGCCAGGAAAACATATCCGTTTTTCTGGCACTGCAGGATCCTGCAGTCCCCTCCTCCCTCCACTCCCCATCCCATGTTGCTGATGGGGCTCAGTGACTTGCCTGAATCCAGCGCAGAGGCGCTGAGTCAGGCTCCGCCCACGCTCCTCCCCCGCCAAACGGCAATGCCGTGCACGCGCATTAGACCTCCCCATAGGAATTCAATGCTTTCCTATGGGGATTCCAGCGACACTGGAGGTCCTCATGCATTGCGTGAGGACGTCCATCGTTGTTTAAAAACACTTTTCGTGTTCTAAGAACATGGAAGTCCTTCTAGTGGCTGTCTGATAGACAGCCACTAGTGGAGGACTTAACCCTGCAAGGTAATTATTGCAGTTTATAAAAAGGGTAGTGGGAGTTGGCACCCAGACCACTCCAATGGGCAGACGTCTGGAGTAATCAGAAAATGTCAATCTTTGCTAAGTGGATGTCACCTGAAATAGGCATTCCTTCCAGTTACATATTTAGTATGAAGCTTTCTGGGTCTGGGATGGGATTTTAGGATGATCACATTTTATGAATTAGTGTTGTCTTTTACTCGGGGGCAGCTGCTTCTCAGGACCGCCATTTATTTTAATAAATATCCAGCTCCTCATCCCTCCCTTGTGCTATGCATCCTGTCTGTTCCCTTGTACCTCTCCAGCCTTGTATCAAGTGCCAGACAGCCAGTTAATGCTTTGCCCACTCCATAGTTGCATATGAGTGTGTATGGTTATTAACATGAGTTTAATTGGCTACCTATGAAGAAGTGTGGCTGCTAATGTGTGTGTAAGTGGTTAGTTATGTATCTATGCTGCTAATGACTTGTGGCTAGTTGTATATGTACATGTTAGAGTATTTTAGGTATGTGTTTAAAGGACCACTATAGTGCCAGGAAAACATACTCGTTCTGGCTCTGGAAGGGGGAAAGGGGTAAAAACTTACCTTTTTCCAGCGCTAGGCGGGGAGCTCTCCTTCTCCGATCCTCCCAGTCGGCTGAATGCGCACGCGCGGCAAGAGCTGCGCGCGCATTCAGCCGGTCGCATTGGAAAGCATTATCAATGCTTTCCTATGGACGCTGGCGTGCTCACACTGTGAAAATCACAGTGAGAAGCACGCAAGCGCCTCTAGCGGCTGTCAATGAGACAGCCGCTAGAGGCTTTGGGGGAAGGCTTAACCCATTTATAAAAGAATGGGTTTATCCTAGCTGGACCTGGCACCCAGACCACTTCATTAAGCTGAAGTGGTCTGGGTGCCTAGAGTGGTCCTTTAAGTAGCATATTATGTACTTTGACACATTAATACATTCACATACATATACAAAATATTTACATTACACAAAGACAAGCATTACACACACCGCTGATATAAATATGTATTGATATACTCAACAAACACATTTCACATTACTGAAGGCACATATATGCATCCCTTCCCACACAGGGCAGATTAATATTTTGACAGGGGTGGGTGGACGGGCCAGTATGAGGAGTGTTTGTGACATCATAAGGGGACCTTGGAAAAGTGGCATGTCAGCTCTTTCAGACCCACTAGTGCTATACTTCTTAAGTGTTCTGTCTCCAGGGCCGCCATCAGGGGTGACAACCATAACGGTTGTCAAGGGCTCGGTGGTCCTGGGGGCGTCTCGGGCCCCACATTTCCTCTCTGCATATATATAGCGATGATTGCTATATATATGTGCAGCTGTGGGCTCCATGTACTTGCAGGGTGCCCAGCACACTGCATCTGTACATTACAGCTCCCCGCGCTCATTAACTCTTGCGAGACGCGGCCGTCAGAGCGTTGCCACGGATTACCATGGCAATGCTCTGCGCGGCACACAGGCCACGCTTGCGAGAGTTAATGAGCATGAGGAGCTGTAATGTACAGATGCAGTGTGCTGGGCCCCCCTGCAAGTACAGGGAGCCGGGTGCCCCACAATGCCAAAGGACCACCATGGAATGGAATCTCAACCCTCCCTGGACCAGGTAAGAAACAGGGAGGGGGGAATAACATTTATTACATTTAATGTGGAAAAAAATGCTCCATTTGCACATTTACACAATATGCATATACTAGTACAATAGTACTCTTCTTTCATTACACTAACACACACATTCAAACACTCTGCATTCACTATACACAGACACTGCATCTAATACACACACACTACATCCACTGCATCTACTAAACACATTGCATCTAATACACACACAAACACTAAATCCACTAAACACACTGCATCAGCTTCACAAACACACACTCTGCATTTGCTGCACAAACAGTATCTAATACACACAAACACTACATCCATTACACACATTCTAATTCACTATACACACCACATTCAGTGCTGCATCATTGTGAGCGGACTAGGTAGGATTCCTGTTGGCGGACTCGTGGGTGGGCCAGACCTAGAACTTTGTCAGGGGCCCCAAAATTTCTGATGATTGCAGCCCTGTCTGTCTCTTTGTTCCTTGTACAGTATTAGCATGTCTAATGACGTGCACGTGTGCAAATTGCTACTATGTTTCTTTCATTTTAGAAACTCAGACCTTTTGGGATGCATGTTCTAGAACCCACAGTAATATAACTCACAGTACTGAGCAGTGTGCATGAATGTAACTCAGAGGTCCACTGTGAGTATCATGATAAATCTTACAATAATGTGCAGTGTGTATGGGCAGATCACAGATTACCTAGGCAAGAAACCCCACTGGTAAAGTATTTTTAAATTGCAATAAATGTGTTTATATAATGGTAGTACATGGAGTAGCCATGTTATCCTTTTATTTGGATGTCAGTGTAACAGCAGTAACACTTAAAAAGAAAAAAGAAAGAAAGAAAACTAGCAATAAATAGAACGACACTCTTTCTAGAATTTCCTCTCTTCTTCAGGTCTAGATCCATTTGAAGTGCACAAACTGTTATTTTGGCATTTTTATAAAATATCTTATTGCAAGTAATTACTTCCCCCCCATGAACTCCAGCTGCAATAAAATTCTTGATGAAGAGTAATACCCAGCTCTCGCCACATTCTGAAAAGATAAAAGGTTCCCCTTTCTGAGCATATACTTAAGGCGTTACAAAGCATTTTAAAAGGTGTTTGGTAAAATCGTCAAAAGAAAGTTAGATGTTCATCTTGTAAACTTTAGATTTATTCACCAGCTAGTGTGCTGAAGTCTAAACACTTTTAAAAGCCAAGCAGAAATATGAGGAAAGGTGCACTACAGTCCATTAAGTAAAGTGCAAATATGTAGTTGAAATGATCAAAAAAGCTGTTTAAATAATTGGTGAATCCAATAAATAGGTTATTTATGATGTAGTGATCAATTGATTACGTTTATTGTCTGATCAGTTTTTACAATTCTACTCATTAAAGTTTGTTGTCTAGAATGGTTCAATATGGACACAATTAAGAAGATCTGTTTGGCTTTTTTTAAAGCTAGATTATAAATGTATTTCCATTAACAAGACTTGCAAAGGTTTCAGAGCAAGGGATTTGCAAAATCGTTCAATGCACTAAACCAACAGATGTGGGTTTAGCCAGACAGTTTTCACCGTCTAACACATCTCAGCAATTAGCATGTTTTGGCCATAGAAGGAATTCAAGGTACTAATTCACACCTATAAAGCACTGAACAACTCTAGCCCCTCTTATATCTCCTCACAGATCCATAGGTATGTCCCTTCTTAGTCTCTACGTTCTGCCCGTGACCACCTCCTGTCCGTTGTCCGCACCCGTACGGCCAACTCACGCTTGCAGGACTTCTCGCGGGCGGCTCCCTTCCTATGGAATAGCCTGCCTACCGCCATCAGACTCTCCCCTAGTCTTGCATCTTTTAAGAAGTGCCTTAAAACCCATCTCTTTAGGAAAGCTTATGGCCTCCAAGACTAATCTCTACCTCACATACCTGTCTCTTGCTCTCTCCTAAAGGGCAGCCCACCTTATTTGACTGCAAATTCCTGTCCTAATGTGTTTTACACCCCACCGCCTATAGAATGTAAGCTCGATTGAGCTGGGTCCTCTTCAACCTATTGTTCCCGTAAGTTTTTTGTAATTGTCCTATTTATAGTTAAATCCCCCTCTCATAATATTGGAAAGCGCTACGGCGCTATATAAATTGTAATAATAATAATAACAATTGATTTTAATTTCTTACAGGTAGTACATTCACCCTTGTATTCTTAAAATGATTTCTACATATCTTCCTGCTCCAACAAATCCTCATCACCACCCTTTAGACACACTTGGTGTGTTTTCTGATGAGTTACTAATGCGGAATTGCGTGTGAAACAGTCACCACACTCTATACAAGGGTAAGGTTTCTCCCGCTTATGAACCTTGCAGTGAACTAGAAATTGGGATTTACATGTGAAGCTCTTTTCACACTTAGAGCAAACATAAGCCTTCTCTACTTTGTGAGTTTTTTTATGTGCATTGAGGTGAGACCTTCTTATATAGTTCTTGCCACACACATTGCATCTGAAAGGCCGGTCTCCAGTGTGCTTTGCCTGGTGTTTTACCAGGGAAGATCTGACAACAAAGCGTTTTCCACAGTCACAAACAAAGGGTTTCTCTCCAGTGTGGCTTCTCGTGTGTGTATCCAGATAAGACTTTTGAGTGAAGCTTTTTCCACACTCTTTACACGGATATGGTTTCTTCCCAGAATGTGTTTTCTGGTGGCTTGCAAGATTGGAGCTACTAGTAAAACATTTGTCACAGTGAGAGCAGGAGTATGGTCTCTCTCCTGTGTGTGTTCTCTTATGTAGCACGAGGTGTGAATTCCGAGTGAAGCTTTTTCCGCATATGCCACATGCATACGGCTTCTCACCAGTATGGATTATCTGGTGTCGAACATAGTTGGAACTATCTGTGAAGCTTCTACCACAATGTAAGCAATTATAAGGCTTCACCTCATTGTGAGTTTTTTGGTGCTTCACCAAACTTACATTACTGGTAAAGCTTTTTCCACACTCCAGGCATGGAAATGGTTTCTCTCCAGTGTGGGATCGCCTATGAACGACAAGATAAGAGTTCCGAGTAAAACCTTTACCACACTCAATACAGACATATAATCTCTCTCCTGTGTGTGTCCTCTGATGGACCATGAGATATGACCTATAGATAAAGCTCTTTCCGCACTCAATGCATATGTAGTTTTTCCGCTCCTTCTGAGTTAAGTGCTTGTAAGTACATTTTGTTTTATCCCAAAACCTTTTACTGCTATTGCTGGAGGTTGTGATCTGCTGGGATCCTTTTGAGTCCGCATGTTCTGCATCACTTTGATTACAGTTCCTTTTAGGACTGGAAACAGCTTGTGTTGAGGGGTCTCTGGAGGAAACGTCAACAGTGTTGTGTTGGACAAGGCAATGCTTTTCTGTAGGGTAATAAGCAGGGATTGTTTCTTCCATTGCCCACTCTGATGAATAAATATCAATATCTGAAACTCCGTCTTTGTTTTCACATATTGAGCCACAGTCTGTATTAAAAGGGAAAATAATTGATATGGTAAAGCTGTATGCCCTAAAAGTTAAAGATTACTACAATGAGAGATACACTTCAAGATTAGTCAAACTACTTAATCAGCAGAACTTAGAGTGGCAATTAAGAGTGGCATACATGTCTTCATTCATAACACATCTTATGTGCATTGATCATTTACAGAAATTCATAATTGAGATAGATTTGCAACATTTTATTGATTATGAGAGGCAGGACAACCAATAAAATATTGGAATTTTTTAAAATAAAATGCTACAGCCCCATTATAGCAGAACATAATACAAGTGACTAAAAAATGAACACTGGCATTTTTGAGAGTTCTGTCATTGAGCTTAAAATCTAGTTTATTGCCAATAAGACATTTTAATACACCGTAGGGTTTAAAGACGTATTTGCATGCTTAGAAAGTTAAATAGTTCAGACACTATATGAAATGTTGCAAAATAAAGGAAGCAAAAACCTGTATTTAGCGGCAGAGGTGCTCGGCCTCGTGGCTCCCTAAGTTGCTTTAATGCAGACTGAACAGTCAGGCTCTTAATCCGTGACAGGGGGCCTGATATTAGGAATTGATGTGTGTGCCGCCATGTGCGGTTTCCATCCACGCAATCTTCTCAGAGAGAGCCCAGCACTACTAGTGCAACAGAGGCATGGTCACCCCACAAACCATGCCGCAGTCACAATCGCTACACACTGACACTTATGTATGCACAACTGCAAGGCTATGCAACCATACCCCGCATACACGATTAGCATATTTGCAAATTAATTTTGTTTATAAATAATGCCATGACTTCAGTCAGAGAGCTCACGAAGCCCCTGAATAATAAATACAGAGACTAGCTCTCTGTATCCAACGCTGCAACCTCACCCTTCAATATAACTACAGCTCCTTATACACACATAATGCAACCCTTATTGTGGTCATTGCACGATAGATAGACAGATAGATAGATAAACTCTAGTGTTAGTGTCTCTACTAGTATATAAAAGTGGTTCCCAACCCAGTCCTCAAATACCTCCTAAAAGTCCAGGATTTAGGGATAACCCTGTTGTGTCTAAGGTGGTTTGAGGAGAAGAAGAAAAAACACACTCTGGACACAACAGGGTAATTCCCAAATCCTGGACTGTTAGGTGGTACTTGAACACTGAGTTGGGAACCCCTGGTATATAAGCAAACTTATAAATGTACTGGTAGCCCAGAGCCCTATCACAGGCATATTTTCTTAAACATCAGGATTGAATCGAACACTGATATCCTGAAGTCATCCTGGAATACAAGAACAGTTCCTGTATTTATAAAGTGAAAATCTACTAACCCACCTGAGACTGGATTTGAGAGGATTTCTCTCTGGTGAGGCTCCTCTGTGTCTCCTCCTTGGATGTTTAATCCAGCGCCAGGGTCCACACTACCACAGCCTATGTTAATAGACACAAACTATTCAAATCAAGTGCCAGACATTATTTTACATGGCTAGGTGCAGTGCTGGCTAGCTTTTACCGTGGTTACTCTTGTAAAACTTACAGCAAACAATATTAGAGGAGTATACACACAAAAAGAAAAAGGACTCAAAAAGAATGGTCTGAATGGTAACAGGGGTAAGGTTAAAAACTATGAATTATCTTAAAGTGGCAAATAAGTCAAAAGGAAATCCCAAATAAACACCAAACTAAGTGGCGCATGTGAAAACATATATACAATGCAGTGATTCTACCATAAGAAGAGCGAGGAAAGATCCTTAACCTAGGACAGGCATAGGCAACCTTCGGCACGGCAGATGTTTTGGACTGTATAAAAAAAAACTGTATAAGGGAGCTTAATGCATTCCTATCTCCCCAATATTGAGGTGGAGGTGGAGATGGAGCTGGTAACACATAACCTCCTGCATGCTGGTTTTCAAAAGACATTCAGGGTTATTTACTACACTTAAGGCTAAAATAGCCAAACTGGAGAAATTCTCCAAATAGACTATGCTTTTAGTGCAGCTATTTTGGGCTTAAATTTGAAATTCAATTTGAATTCCTGACAGTTCTCCCTTTACTGTATAACCTTGCTAGCTAACTCATTAAGTTCCTTTAAAGCTTCACTTTTGTAAGTGATTAATTTAGTAATGCATTATTGCATTGCTTCATTTTTTAATATATTGTGGATTTGTTTGAACCTACTGGTGCTTCCTTGTTTCCACCCTCTTGTATAATGTTGATAAATACAATGATTTAGATTTAATAAATGGAACACCAACAGATTGTGTCACGTTAAAAGGAAACTCTGTGGTCAAAATTAAAGGAACACTTTAGTGTTAGGAATACAGCTATGTTTTCCTAACACTATAGTGTTCCTCTGCCCCCACGGGCCATGCAAAGGGTAAAAAAAAAAAAACCTTGAAACACTTACCTGATTCTAGTGCCGATGTCCCTTGGTGCTGGATTGGGCTCCTCCTCTGCTGATGACAGCGATCCAGGAACCTAACGTGCACGTATTAGGAAAGAATTGAATCAATGCTTTCCTGTGGGTTTTTTTCAAGAGGCTGGATGTCCTCATGCAAAGCGTGAGGATGTCCATCGTTGTTTCATGGCGTGAAACTCCATGAAACAGCAGAAAGTGCACTCTAGTTCAGCGGTAAGGGAACAGGGACACTGCACCCACACAACGTCAATGAGATTGATGGGCAACATACAGAGTGCTGCCCTGCAGTATGTAGAAGTCAGATGCTACAGATTATAAATCAATCAGGAATACTGAACATATATAGTTAAATATATCGGCTGAAAAAGGACATGTGTCCTTTAAATTCAGCCTCACACCTGTTTTTGCTGTTGATCCAAAATAAGACAAAAATAAATAAATTATGAAGCACTTCCAATTTTGCAACAAACTAGGAATACAATTCCTTCTTGACCCCAAAATGGCAGTCAGATTATCTTAAATTCAAGAAGCTGTTACCCCACAAATTAAATATCCACGAATATTATGTTTATGCAAGTATGCATCCAGTTGCTGTTTAAAAATCTGTACAGACACTGATAAAACCACTTCTTCAGGCATAGAATTCCACATCCTTATTGTTCTTGCTGTAAATAAAAACCTTTCCTTTGCTTTACAGTAAATCTCCTTTTTTCCAGTCTACATGCATGACCTCGTGTCCTAGGTATAGTCCTGTTTATGAATAGATTTCCAGACATATATGTCCAAATATATTTGCATAAAGCCCTAATAGCCCCTCTAAGGTGCCGTTTTTCGAAACTAAATTTGTTAACCTTTCTTCATAACTAAAATGTTCCTTTTCTTTAATTAATTTCGTAGTGCGCCTTTGCAGGTGCCCAAAATTGCACAGCATATTCAAGGTGTGGTCTTACCAGTGATTTATAAAGAGGCAAAATTATATTCTCATTCTGAGAATGAATGCCGCTTTTATACATGACAATATCTTACGGACCTTAGCCACTACTGATGACATTGCACATTGTTGCCTAGTGTATGGTCTATATCAAATTCTTCTTGTGTGTTGTTATCCCTAATTCACTACCATTTAGGGTGCAAGTTGCTTGTGCATTCTTTACCCTAAAGTGCATAATTTTGCATTTTTTCTACATTAAATATTATATGTAATTTGAGTGCTCACTCCCTCAATCTATCTAAATCCCTCTGCAGCAAAGCAATAGCATACTCATATTGTATTACTTTACAGAGTTTTTTTGCCATTTGCAAACACTGAAACATGACTTTCAATGCTTATTTATTAATATGCTAAATAGAAGCAGTCCCAGAGCAGAACCTCGAGGGACACCACTTACCACTTTTGTCCAGCTCGAAAACTTACCATTAATAACAACTCTCTGTACTCTATTTTTAAGCCAATGTTCTACCAAGAACAAGAATTTTCATCTAGACAAATTTCTTTTAGTTTGAATACTAACCTATTGTCTGGAACTGTATCAAATGCCTTGGCAAAATCCAAATAGATCACATCCACTGCAACACCCTGATCTATACTTCTACTTACTTTGTCGTAGAATGCAATCAAGTTAGTTTGACATGACCTGTGCTTCATAAAACCATGCTGATTTTTGCTGATAACCACGTTCTTTTCAAGGATATCATCCCTTAATAACCTTTCAAATACTTTCCCAGCCAAAAAAGTTTAGCTCACAGGTCTTTAATTGCAGGGATTTTTAACCATTTTTAATATAGGAACCACATCTGCCTTCCTCCAATCCTTCGGTAAAATTCCTGCAAGAAAAGAATCTTGAAAGATTAAAAACATAGGTCCTTAGCACCAGTGGGTAAATACCTTCAGGTTCTGGAGCTTTGTTTATATTAACTTTATTTAGTTGCTGCAGCACCTTGTCTTAATTCATCCAGTATAAATTATCCGTAATACAGGACAGCATTTTCGTGTGCTCCCAATCAATATGATGTGATTATGTGTGTCCAGCAAAATATGGTGGAAATGGCAACCCTAACTATAGTGTCCCTTTAACTCCTATGTGTGTTATGCATTATGAAAACAATACAAAAAAAGTTGCCTTCACTGCCCCCTTCAAAGATTCCCATGATGCACTGTTTATTGGGTCTGCAGGCAGTCCTATTACATCAGGAAAGTAGTTTATTCTCAAAATCAGTGTCACTCCTTACTGGAATTGCTGAAAGCAACTGCTCTGTATAGGGATAACAGCCATATTACAGAAGCAATCAGTGTAAACCTAGACAGTTCACTGTTTTGTGAACCAAGCTATTTTAAGATCTCAGCAGAGCAGAGCTGAGGTTTATGGCCACTCTCTTTTCTGGGAGGAGAGAGAAAATGCAACTCAAAAGTTGGACAAAGGCATGACAGCTCTGATGGGCAGACTCTGATAAGATTTTTAGCAGAATGGAAAACACACTCACAGAGCTCTAAGCACCATCACCTTTGCAATTATTTTTGCGAAAAGAAGAAAAAAGTCAGTGCAATACTTAAATATTGTATGCATAAATGGATAGATACCGTACGTATCTGGTGCCTTCTCCATCATTGTATCACAGGAATACACCAACGGTCCTTTTACAGATATATTCTTTTTATGATGAGTTTTTTATGATGGAGTCTGAATTAAATAAAGATACAGTAATTTGTGCAACGTGTGCATTCCTATGGACAAAAAAAACAAAAAGAAAAAGAAATCGTTAATATACATGTTACAATTTAAAAAAATAAAGGTTAAAGGAAAGCAGGCTAAACAGTCACTTTGTAGGCTTGTTTTAAATGTAATTATTTGTTTTTATGAGGAGTATGATATAAGTGCAGAGCTAAATCTCCTTTTCAGATGCCAAGGTAATTAATTCACAGAAGAGGTACACTACAGACACCAAAACAACTTTACCTTAAACAAGCAGTTTTCGTTGATAGATCATGACCCTCAAGTCTCATTGCTCAATTCTCTGCCATTAGGAGTTATATAACTTTTGTTTCTGTTGACTGACACAGCCTGCACGGACAATATGGTTTAATTTTCAATCAGATGTTACTTTTTGTTTTTATTTCCTGCTCTGTAAATTGAACTTTAATTACATAGCAAGCCATTAATAGAGCAGAAAAAAAGAAATACTAAATTAAATAAAATGTACAAAAAAGGAAATATACACATTAGATCGCACTTTACAGGAAGTGTTTACGAAGGCTGTGCAAGTTACATGCAAGGAGGTGTGACTGCTACATAAACAAAGTTATATCTCCTAAATGACAGAGAAGTGAGCAGTGAGACTGCAGAGGCATAAGCTATACACCAAAACTGCTTCATTAAGCTAAAGCTGTTTTGGTGACTATAGTGTCCCTTTGAATCAAAAGAATGCCAAAGAAGTGCGAACTACAGATATAATTGACAACAGAGCATGTCCCTGCAGTCTAACCACCATATTCTGTCAATAACCAAGTCTTACCATTTTTAGCTCAGCATTTATACCAGTGTTTACTTTAGGGCTTTCAGGGTGGATTGTAGACCTTATCTCTTTGCTCAGACATGTGAAGAGTTCATAGCTCTGTTAATTACCAGCTAATGTCAACATAGAGCATTATCCCTTCCACCACCTTCTATGGAAGACAGATGAAACCATTAGAGCCTGCAGGGATCACCCCATGAAGAATCCTGTAAGGCATGCAGACCTCATCTGGACAACAGTGGAGCACATTATCGGGACTCTTTATACTACAATGTTATTGAAAGCATTTTATTTTAATTTGTAAAATATATTCACAGGGTTATTCAGGTGAGTATTGTTGGGAATTCAAAGGGAATTTCCAATTCAAGGCTAAAGTAGTTGAACTGGAAGCATTGCTGACTTGGATAATTTTTTCAGTTCAGCTATTTTGGTCTCAAGTTTGAAAGTCACTTTGAATTCCAAACAACTGTACTTTAGCGAATAACACATCAGGTATTTAGTTTATGTGTACATACACATATACACACACATACACATATACACACTGATCAGCCACAACATTAAAACCACCTGCCTAATATTGTGTAGTTCCCCCTTATGATGCCAAAACAGCTCTGAAGCGTTGTGGCATGGACTTCACAAGATCTCTGAATGTGTCTTGTAGGACTTAAAGGATCGTCAGGTAATGTCACAAGTTTTGACGTGGAACCGCCATGGATCAGCTTTGTTGTTCAGGCACATCTCACAGATGTTCAATTGGATTGAGATCTGGGGAATTTGGAGACCAAGGCAACACCTTGAACTCTTTTTCATGTTTCTCAAACCATTCCTGAACAATTTTTGTAGTGTGGCAGGGTGCATTATGTCCTGAAAGAAGCCACTAACATCAGAGAAGACAATTGTCATGTATGAGTGTAAGTGGTCTACAACAATCTCTAGGTAGGTGGTACATGTCAAAGTAACATCTACATGAATGCCAGGATCCAAGGTTTCCCAACATAATATTGCCCAGATCATAACTCTGCCTCCACCGGCCTGCATTCTTCCCATAGTGCATCCTGCTGCCAACTCTTCCCCAGATAAAAGATGCTCACACATCTGGTCATCCATTTGACCTAAAAGAAAACAATTCATCAAACCAGACAACATTCTTCCATTGCTCAATGGTCCAGTTCTGATGCTCAGGTCCCCAGTAAACGTGCTTTTGGCTATGGATAGAAGTCATCATTGGCATTGTGACTGGTCTAGGGCTATGCAGCCCAATACACAACAAACTACGATGCAATGTGTGTTTTTCAGCAATTTGAGCTACAGCAGCTGTTCTCTGCGGTTTGGCCAGACGTGCTAGCATTTGCTTTCCACGTGCATCAATGAGCCTTGGACGCCCTTGCCTGTGACGGTGGTTCATCGGTTGTCCTTCCTCGCACAGCTTCTGGTAGTTACTAATCATTGCATACCCGGAGCAGAACTTGCTGCTTTGATGATATCCCTATTTGGCCCTGGTCAAAGTCAGATATTTTCACTTGTCTATTTTTCCTGGTTCAAACACGTGAAATTCAGGAACTTGAATTTTCACTTGCTGCTTAATATATCCCACTCCTTGACAAGTGCCATTGTAATGATATAATCAATTTTATTCACTTTACCTGTCAGTAGTAGTTTTAATGTTATGGCGGTGGTGTGTGTGTGTGTGTGTGTGTGTGTGTGTGTGTGTTTACCAATATTATTTTTTCAAATATGGTTTGATAGCTTGTAAATGTGTTTTTACTAAATTAGATGTTATATTATGCTCCCTCTGTCCATAATTGACTGGGCACTGCGTGACGTGCAATAAGGGGGCAGATTTTATTGGGAAATCTATTCTGAAGAAAAGAAAAGGTAGTATTATAGGTAGTTCGAAAAGTATCTTTCTTTCCTTAGTATTAGTCTATCCTTAGTATTAAATGTAATTCTAACTAAGGATAGACAGATTAACTTTATTCTTCCCAGTAAACTCTGAGGTAGTGTTTACTAGGCTGAGGAAACATGGAATGGTCACTTTTTTGGAAGTGACAGTTTTGCTTTCAGAATATATTAGACTCCTTTAAAGACATTATAAGCACCCAGACGACTTCAGTTCAATGAAGTAGACTGTATGCAGTGTCCCTGGTGGTTTACCCCCCGCAATGTAAAACATTGCTATTTACAGCAATGTGTACAACACATCTCAGTCAGACTTGGTTCTAGATGTTCAACATCCTCATGCACTGTATGAGGACAAACATTGAACTTAATGCTTCTCTATGAGAAGCATTTGATTGGTGAAGGACAGCGAATTCCACATGCACTATTCACCCACAATATTTCCTCTGCAAGAAGCACCAGATTCTAATTTGATTAATTGGGCAGACTAGATGGGCCGAATGGTTCTTATCTGCCGTCACATTCTATGTTTCTAGGAGAAGATGTCAAGATATCAGTATGCGTGCAACTGAAAAATTAGGTGGATTGGACAGCTGGAACGACTAAGTAAATGGTCAATAGCTTTGATTTTGTTTTTTTAGTCATAAAGGGAGAGGGGGTAGTGCCGAAATGACATTGGGGACCTTTGGGTCCATTGTAGACCTTTTAAATAAAATAAATAAATCATTTGCACACTATAGGTTCCCTTGCAGGACCACTATCTGGTCCCAAAAATACTATAGTTAGTTTACGGAGAAACGTAAGGCGGGGTATAGGGTGTGGGGTTTTTTGTGGCAGGTTCAAGGCAATATTAAGGTGGAGACATACAATTTACCTTTGGACTGACGTTGTGGTATTTCTGCCATCTAGCAACTGCGCCACCATTGTGCAATAGGGGAGGTACGGTTCAGGGTGCATAAACAAAGTGTTTTAATTCCTAAATTTCAGAAAATTTGGAATGCAGGGGTATTATCTATACATCAAAACCACTTACCTATATGACTTTCAGAACTTGTCAATATACCTAAAGAATACCTATAGTAATATTGTGACCAATTTTTGTGCATTTAAAGCCACAGCACTTTCAGGTTTTATCCCATGAGTGTCTATGTGCATTCTATTCTGTCATGGCAAGACTGCACCAATAAAGTCAATGGATCTGATTCTCAGAATCTGCCACTGTAGTTGGGATAGCTAATTACTGGCATTATATTGAAGGCATACTAAGGGTCAGGTGTTCAGTAGAGGGGGAGGGGGCTGAATGTCAGGCAGGTATAGCAGCAGGGGCTGGTTTAAATGGGTTTTCTGCAATAATTAATGGCACAAAAACAGCACAATTTGATTGGCCAGGCAGCAGGCAGGTGAGCTCCACACACTTTATTGCTTATACAGGTGAGTTTGTTTGGTGAGCAGGTTTTAGGTGTGCAGCTTACCTGAGCCAATGTTACTCTGCAGCATGGAGGAGCTTCTAAGGAGGCTGGAGGAAGAGGCAAGGCGGGCCAGCAGCATGTATTGGCTCAGGAACTGGGTTAGCATCCTCCCCATCCTTGGCAGCCTATAGAGACTGTGGTAGGGAAGGGCCAGGGGCTGGACAGTAATCTATTGTAAGGACAGAGCAGAGAGGAAGATGTCATGGAGGCGGGGCCAAACGGAAACGAGGCTTGGAACACAGAGCTAATTGTGGCAACTAGGAAGGGATTTTCATGTTGTCAAGGAAACCAAACAACATAGAAAGAAAAATGATTTCTCACTCTAAAAAAACGATTTTCGACTTCCCTAATCCTGTTTGGCAAGAAAAAGGAGCTCTGCAACAATTAAACCAGTCAGAATATATTGCTGGAGCTTACAGCCTACCATAGCTGTTCACAAGAGCTTTGAAAAGGAAATCAGTGTCACTTCTGAACCTAACTGTGACTGCTTCCCTGGGGCTTTAGGTTTAGCTAGGAGAAATGGTGATGGTGGAATGTGTTTTACAAGGTGTTCAGTCAGGCCCAGCAATGGCTGGAGTGAATAGTAAACATCAGAAATTGGTATCAGAGTCTCATGATAACTTAAATCAAATAGAGTTCATGAAGATAGCTTAAAATAAGCAGTGGTTTGTGAAATGTCTTCCTTTTGCTACTACTTGAATGTTTCTATGAAGGAAAAATGGAACGGTGAATATATTAATTTATTGTCACAGCTCCCTGCTTCTACTGAACCCGTAATAAAACAGGAGAATGATAGATGTAGGCCATCCCATTGTACAGCGTTACAGAATCTGATGGTGATATATAAATAATAATAATAATTCTCATCTAGATCATTTAATAAATGACTGCAAGTGTTCTGCATATTTGCTAGCATGGTACGTGAAAAACACCCTACGGCGAGTGTTGGTTTATTTCAGCATGTAGAATCCATTCTTGATGCTTATAAATATTACAAACAACCCTGCTTAGTTTAATTGTGATGATTTTTCTTTCATTCTTTAAATAGGAAGATTGATTCATTCATGATTTATGCTTCACTTCTTTTGATGATGTAGTTGACAGGATCATTGAATTTGGGAGTAATGTACTGCATGTGAAAGTCAATATAAAAATTGCTTTTTATTTCTTACCAGTTAAACCAGAATATGTTACGATTTCAGTTAGACAGTAAATTTTATTATAAGTGCATGCCATTGGGAATTGGGATGCTTCTTTTATTTTGAATTACTTTAGACTCTTCTGGAATTGGGTTTGAAATACAAAACTGGTTTAGACTACATTGTTCATTATTTGGATGAGTTTTTATTTATTGACCATACAGGAACCAATGTTTTTTTCAGGGCAGCCATCAGAAATCACAATATTTCTTAGAAAAAAACTTTTCTAGCCTCCCCCCACCCCGTAGTCACCAATGTGATTGCATATATTTTGCATAGCGTGACAAAATAGAATGTTTTGAGTTCTTATGGTATACGTTACCCAGACCTCCCTTACGCCAAGGTCACATTTCATGATTGTACTTGTCAGTATTTTTACTATGTGATTATATTTTACTTTGAGTGTGTCACCACACGTTAAAGGGACACTATAGGCACACAGACCACGTGAGCTCATTGAAGTGGTCTGGGTGCACTGTCCCTATCAGTTTAATCCTGCAATTGTAATTATTGCAGTTTTCTGATGCTTGTTTGATGTACGTGTGGAAGCTCAAAGATACCACGTACGCTGTTGTGATTGAGCGAATCCTGTTTTGCTCTCCTTTTGTGAGTATACATCCTTTTTTTATTTTTTTTATTATGGTATCAATACTAAGAGCACCATGTTCTGTTTTATTTTCATTCTATATACTGGAGTAATTTTAATGCTACAATACGGCTTTCTGGAGAAGAACACTTCCAAGTGCTGATCACCACAAGTTATCCACTGACCTTGAAACATCTCTTAACAAAAAAACAGGACTATCAGCATATCCACAGGCAGGAATTGTACCACCCAGATGCACATATCTGGAGCTGATCATAGGCTCCAGAAATTTGTGTTATTTCTCTTATTTATTCTCACCTGCAACTCAAATACTTCACTATATTACATACATTTAGCCTCTTTTCTTCCATATTGCTTCACACTATTCCAATTTGGATTTGAGGATATTCTGAAGGCCCTGCTTCCCTGCACCATCTCTGCTACAGAGGGTATATTCCTGCCTGGAAGGAGCCGGTAGTCCATGAAAACGGAGGAGAAGGACACCCTATAGTGGGACAGGTCTGGATTCCAAGTCATGGACACTCCCTGTTCCCGTTACACTCCTCAATTGGACCAAACAAAATTAAAGATAGACCTCTTCCTGCAAAAGTATGCTCAATCAGCGAAATCCTACCTCAAGGATACTAAACATCTATTGCAAGAACTGGATTCCATTGAGTGGCATAGGGACTATTTCTGGGCTACACTAGATGTGAGTTGCTTATATACAATCATAGACCACAATTTGGGCCTACGAGCTGTTAAAGAAAATCTTGATGAAGATACAACTTTGAATTCAGACTTTACTTAATTTCTATTAGAATCGATTCAGTTCATACTTACACATAACTTTTTTATGTTCAATGAAGAATTTTTCCTACAGATCAAGGGGAGTGCAATGGGCACCAGGTTTGCCCTAAGTTATGCGAACATATTTATGGATTGTTGGGAAGGCTCATCTATTTGGGACAACAACCCATATGGGGCAAGCCTGGTGCTCTGGCGTTGATACTTTGACAATATCCTTGTTATTTGAAAAAGGGTCTGATGAACAGCTACAATATTTTTTGAGTATCTTAATAACAACACTTTCTCATTGGTCCTTCTTTTAGTTCAGCCTTCATCGATTTCTTAGATTTAACTATCTTTCATGTAGACTCCATAGTTAAGACCAAGACATTCTTTAAACCAACAGATATGAACAGCTTGATTGAGTCTATCAGTGGACACCATCCAAGATGGCTCTCGGGAGTTCCGAAGAGCCAATATACTAGACTCAGACGGAACTGTTCAGATCTAAAAACTTATTCCGAACAAGCAGAGATTCTAACTAGAAAATTCCTGGAAAAGGGTTACCAATTTGAATCTCTACAATCAGAGTCAGTGATATCAATAGAGGAGATCATGAGTGTTACCACTCGTTTTGATAGCGCCTTACTTAGGGCAAACATCTATTATATATCTTTAATGGTAATATGTGTATATTGTCCCCAGCCCCAGGTCACGTGATCGTGGGCATGGTGACAAAATTTTAAATGAACTTCCTTAAATCCTTGGTACTGTTCGATGCCTCACCACTTCCCCTGTTGCCCCTCCAAATAGCACCCTGTTTGGTGGTCCAGGGACCGAGAGTGACCTCAAAGAAGTTTTACCAGGCCGCAGCAATTCCGCGACCCTACTTAGAGTTCCAGAATATTTGTAGGTTGCTCCAAGTGGTTGTGAACCGTGTACTAAGTCCTAAGTAACCAGGTAGTCTGTCACAAGCCTGATGTCAATTGTGGGGTAAAACTCCCCAAACAGTGAATCTGGAGCTTGATGAACAGATGGGACTACTAAAAAGTGATGTAATAAATATGAGGCTGATCAGCAAGATGACTGATGACTGACAAACTGCTTTGTGACAATTCAACTGCTTATCACCATAAAACCTATCTTCATTTACTGGCTTACTTTGAGCTGTTTAAAGAATTACTCTCACTGCGTTTTTCTTTCGACTGATAACCTGGCCTTGAACTTTGGAAAGGATAAATTGGATTAAAGGGACACTATAGTCACCAGAACCATTACAGCTTCATGTAGTGGCTCTAGTGTCTACAGCATGTGCTGCACTAGTGTTCAACGTCTCACACATTGCATGGAGATGCTGAGCTTTCCCCATAGAGATGCATTGATTCAATGCATATCTATGGAATCATAGATGATACGGAGCTACACAGGGCCAGCCGTGGCGAGACCAGTGCAGCGTGGGAGAAAAGGTGAGTAAAATCACCTTTTTACTGTACAGATATTGGACTGGTCACCTTAACAGCCACTTTAGTACTATAGTGTCAGGAATACGTTTGTATTCTAGACACTGTAGTGTTCCTTTAACCCTTAATGTTACTGCATGATCTCCCAGCTGACAAGGAAAGGGCTCCTGATTATTCTCTCTCTCATTACCTTTTTACTTTTATGCAGTTATATGGTTATGCCTAAAAATAATCTTTATCCTGCAGTTTATTATGTAAAAATTAAAATAAAGCTTCCTACACCTATATTTAAAACAAGTCTGTCTCTGAGCTGACTATGTCACGTAAGGTTGAATTCTGCCTTGTCCGCAAACACTTTGTGGGTGAGCCCCACATTGAAATGGCAAATGGGTGACCGATGCCAGTTCTTCCTTATGAGCTGGAGACCATCTCACCTCATGTTTACCTTTATGACCATGAGTGGCAGTAATCCCTACATGGGCATTAAGAGAGGCCTTAAAGTTGCCCAAGATAAACTTTTGGATGTAACAGAACCTCTACCTCAGATGTTGATACACCTTGATGAAGACTTTTAACTTTTATGGTGGGACTGGACAGTGGTGAGAACACTATTTAGTTTGACAAATGTGTACTGTGTCCATCATGTAATTGGCTCTTTAATCATTTATAGCCATTTTTCCCCCCAAATTTTGAACAATCTTTTAAACTAATGTTGTATATATATATATATATATATATATATATATATATAAATAAAATATTTGCTTTCTGCTACACTATGCTGTTGTATGATTGTTAGAGAGGAAGATGATCAGTTTATCTGAAGCTAATAAGGGGGCACCTCTTGTGCATTTATTCATAGAGCCTAAATAGTCATCTTTATTATTTTAAAACTTTTTGCACTATGCTGTTATATTCTATATTTGTAACGTGTAGGATGTTGCAAATACTCTGCTGCTACGTTGCCAGTGGAAAGGACGCATGATGGACATCGCGTTCCCAAGAACTAGGCCGGGAACGTGACGCAAGTAAATGAACCACAGATGTAACCACTCGGTGCGGATTTGTTTCCATGCTTTCACTTCTATTTTTGTGGTTTTTCTCCGATTTTCTTGTTGGTCAAATTTATCTTGCCATTAATCAGTTTTGTATATGCTATTATGTATGTTTGGAAATTTACTGGTTCAGATTTCCCTATTTTATTTCTTTTTCAGTCTAATTTTCCGTGTTCGCATTCTCAGGATGAAAGTTGGTTCGTTTGGATTTTCTGGGTGGTTTCCCGAAGTGTTTTCTACATCTTTTGATCCAGGTTTCTGCTTGACGATTGTTCTTTGGAATTATTTGAGCTTTCAGTTCTGTTCACTGTGCCATCAGAGAAAGAGGAGGTTCTTATGTTGGACTCATCTCCTATAACTGCTTTTTTTTGATTGGTTCTTTGTTTCTATGTTAATTTTCCTGCTATTTGGAGTAATGTAAGGAATATTCCGAAAAGACGATTATGCACAAGTCAAGTTTGCTCATGAGCAACAGAACAGGGTTAATTGCGGGTGTGCTCTATGTTACAAGGATATAACTGCATATCATTTATATATGATTATATTATTTTATAATATATTTGGTGACCTGCTTGACAACCCAGGCAGAAATTCCAGCCTTAATTTTTGACCCTGTAACTTTCCAAAACACCCATAAAGCATGTACATACGATATAAGGTGGAGTATATATACACAATAATTCTTCCAGTGATATATGCAATAAAATTATCCTTGTAGGAATGTTCTAAACACGGAGCCAAGGAAAAGGCTCAAAAATGTAGCTCTGTGGGTACTAAAGGGACCCACTTCCTTTTCTTGTTACTGCCTGTGGTATCCAAATATAGGATGTCCTCTCAAGATGTAGAGAAAGTAAAGTGCTTTATTTGAAAGTGCACACAAGTATATAAAATATATAAAAAATCAATAGAAAACTTTACAGTCTTGAAGGTTGGTCCTTATCTAAAGTGCAAAACGCGTTTCGCCTTGTCTAGAGGCTTCCTCAGTTGCTGGCTTATGTTAACAAGTGGTTTCTTTTAAATGTCCTCCCCTTTGGCGGCGTTTTCCGGCATTCGTGAGTGTGTCCCACTTCTGCTTCCGGTTTCGGCCTTTTGCGTTCCATCCGTGGAACGCAAGCGTCATATGACGCACGAGCGTGGTGTAAATGCGTCCCGCTTCCACTTCCGGCCATTTGTGTTCCATTCATGGAATGCAAGGGTCATGTGCTGCTCGAGCGTCATGTGTCACTCCTAAGCATACCTCCAATAATACCCGCACATCCTAAGATAATATATAGAGGAGCTAAGAATTTTAAAAATATTTTAGTAAAAAGCCATTTATCCCCTAAGAAACATAATAATCATATTCAAAATTTGAAGGGATTTTATGGGTGCGGAACATGTAAGATAACTAAAAGTTAAAGAAGACATATAAAAGATTTAGAAGAGTTTACTACTAAAAATCGTACATTTTAACTCATTTGACTTTTATGTAGATATCAACCATTTTATAATAAAATTATGTTTGAAAAAGTTTTTTTTAATAATAAGGATAAGAAAGAAGGGATAGAGGAAGAAGATGAATATCTCCACACATCCTTAAAAGAGAAATCTAAATTTTTCCCGAGACACCTAATCTCTAATGAAATAAAATCATTCAAGATTATGGTAATGAAGGATGTGGAAAAACTTAAGAAAATAAATAAATACCAACACAATTTATCATTAGGAGAAAAGAGAGCTCTTAAAGAAATTAAAAATGATAAAAATTTGATAATAAAACCAGCTGACAAAGGAGGTGGAATAGTGATTCAAAACAAAGAACAATACACCACAGAAGCAGAATGAATACTATCAGACCAGTCTACCTATCAGAGACTTTCACATAATCCCACACAAAAAAATCACTGCGATTTTTAAGGAATATATTAGGAAGGGAAAGCAGTTAGGAATTCTAAATGAAAAAGAAGCAGAATATATGCTAAAAGAAAATCCTAAAATCCCAGTGTTCTACACCTTACCGAAAGTACATAAAAATGTAGAAAATCCACCAGGGAGACCCATTATATCAGGGATTGATTCGGTTTCTACAAGAGTTTCTGAATATATCGACACCTTACTTCAGCCGATAGTCACGAAAAATCGCTCCTATTTAAAAGATACTATCCATTTTTTACAAATTTTAGAAGAGACGAAATGGACAGAGGGACACCAGATGGTTACATGTGATGTAACCTCATTATATAGTATTATTCCACACGATAAAGGAATAACAGCAGTCCAATATTTTTTAGAGAAATCTAATTTTAAGAGAGAACAGGTAGATTTTATTTTAGAAGGAATTTTACTTATTTTAACTAATAATTATTTTTGGTTCGACAATACTTTTTATCTTCAAATTTGTGGTACGGAAATGGGCACCAAGTTCGCCCCCAGCTATGCCAATCTTTTTATGGCATTTTGGGAAGAATTCTCTGTTTTTCAGGGAAATCGATGGGGGGAGAACTTGGTGTCCTATTGCCGTTTTATAGATGATATTTTTTTTATATGGACAGACACTACAGAAGAACTTTGTAACTTCATCTCGTATCTAAATACTAATAATTATGGGATAAATCTGACCAGCCATTACAGTACCCAGCAGATAGAATTCTTAGATATACAAATCAACATTCATGAATCCACCATAATCATGAAAAATTATTTCAAACCAGTAGATGCCAATAGTTATATTGAGAAAACTAGTTGTCACCACAATCCATGGCTGAACAATGCACCTAGAAGCCAATTTTTGAGGATCCGACGAAACTCCAACAGTCTAATTATATTAAAGAAGAGTTTATTGAAAAGGGATATGATAAAGCAACCCTGGAAAAAGAAAGAGAAGAAGTAAGACAACTACAAAGAAAAAATCTATTGAAATATAAACAAAGAACAACTACAAATCAAATGGATGAGGTCCCTTTCATTTGTAATTACAATGGACAAAACAGACAGACACACAAAATAATTAAAAAACATTTGCATTTATTAAGAGACGATCCAATTTTAAATCAGATTTTACCCGCACATCCTAAAATAATATATAGAGGAGCTAAGAATTTTAAAAATATTTTAGTAAAAAGCCATTTATCCCCTAAGAAACATAATAATCATATTCAAAATTTGAAGGGATTTTATGGGTGCGGAACATGCCTTCCTTGTAAGATAACTAAAAGTAAAAGAAGACATATAAAAGATTTAGAAGAGTTTACTACTAAAAAATCGTATATTATAAATGACCATCTTACATGTCACTCTAAAGGAATTATATACATGTTGAAATGCCCATGCAACCTTTTATATATAGGTAGAACGATAAGACCTCTGAAAGTAAAAATTGCTGAGCATATTAGAAATGTTAGAAATGGTCTAGAAACTCATAATGTATCATTACATTTTAAACAAATACACAACCAAAACCCTGAAAATCTATTTTTTTGTGCAATAAAAGAAGTTAAAAGAAATTGGAGAGGGGGTAACTATATCCAGACATTAGGAAAAGAAGAAATGAGTTTTATATTTCAGTTTAAGACTTTAATTCCTTATGGTTTGAATTCAGATTTTGAAGTGTGTCATTTTTAATTATTATATTTTATACATGTCGACCACCCCTTTCTTTTTTTTTTTTTCCTCTTTTCCCAGATTTTAAGTTTAAGTAGTTGATATCTTATTTTATATATCATTCCTAATTTTTATATTCATATTTATTTGTTATCAAGATGTTTTGTATATTATGTGTATTGCTGCTATTTGTTCTTCATATTGATATATCTAATGTAAGAGACTGAAAACCTGATACATTTATTGAGAGGAAAATGACATAATATGCTATATGGAACATGGGGCATATGTTTGTTTTGTGTAAGACTGTGATATGCATCTTTTCCCTCTGGAGTGAGACTAGATTGTGAGAGGACCGGACTTTTGGAGGTATGCTTAGGAGTGACACATGACGCTCGAGCAGCACATGACCCTTGCGTTCCACAAGTGGAACACAAATGGGCGAAACCGGAAGCGGAACGCATTTACACCACGCTCGTGCGTCATATGACGCTTGCGTTCCACGGATGGAACGCAACAGGCCGAAACCGGAAGCGGAAGTGGGACACACTCATGAAGGCCGGAAAACGCCGAAAAAGACCGCCAAAGGGAGGACATTTAAAAGAAACCACTTGTTAACATAAGCCAGCAACTGAGGAAGCCTCTAGACAAGGCGAAACGCGTTTTGCACTTTAGATAAGGACCAACCTTCAAGACTGTAAGGTTTTCTATTGATTTTTATATATTTTATATACTTGTGTGCACTTTCAAATAAAGCAATTTACTTTCTCTACATCTTGAGAGGACATCCAATATTTGGATACCACAGGCAGTAACAAGAAGGAAGTGGGTCCCTTTAGTACCCACAGAGCTACATTTTTTAGCCTTTTCCTTGGCTCCGTGTTTAGAACATTCCTACAAGGATAATTTTATTGCATCTATCACTGGAAGAATTATTGTGTATATATACTCCACCTTATATCGTATGTACATGTCTATTTTTATGTGGGGATAAAGGGAAAACCCACATAAGGTGTTTTGAGTACCGTATTTTTCGCTCCATAAGACGCACTTTTCTTCCCCTCAAAAGTGAGGGGAAATGTCTGTGCGTCTTATGGAGCGAATGTGAAGAATTACTTACCTGTCTTGGAGCGTGGGCCGGCTTCACAGCGCGCTCCGCGGTCCAGGAACTTCTATTTCAGGTTCCGGTTTCCGGCGGGACTGAAAGGAAGTGTGCACACTTCCTTTCAGTCCCGCCGGAAACCGGAACCTGAAATAGAAGTTCCTGGACCGCGGAGCGCGCTGTGAAGCCGGCCCACGCTCCAAGACAGGTAAGTAATTATGGGACAAGGGGAGGGGGAGACACTATGGGACAAGGGGAGGGGAGGAGACACTATGGGACAAGGAGAGGGGGACACTATGGGAGAAAGGGAGGGGAGGAGACACTATGGGACAAGGGGAGGGGAGGAGACACTATGGGACAAGGGGAGGGGAGGAGACACTATGGGACAAGGGGAGGGGAAGGGAGGGGAGGGAGACACTATGGGACAAGGGGAGGGGGGACACTATGGGACAAGGGGAGGGGGGACACTATGGGACAAGGGGAGGGGGAGACACTATGGGAGGGCAGGGGGACACACTATGGGAGGGAAAGTGCACTATGGGACAATGGGAGGGGGGACACTATGGGATCAGAACACTAATGGACAAGGGGAGGAGGGGTTAAAGAACACTATGGGACAGGGTAGGAGGGGTTAACAATCACTATGGGACAGGGTAGGAGGGGTTAACAATCACTATGGGACAGGGTAGGAGGGGTTAACAATCACTATGGGACAGGGTAGGAGGGGTTAACAATCACTATGGGACAGAGGAAAGGGGGGTTAAAGATCATTATGGGACAGGGGAGAAAAAAAAATATTCTGAACAAACTGTCCCATGGTAAGAAACACTATAGAACAGTTTGTTCAGAATATTTTTTTTTCTGGGTTTCCTCCTCTAAAAACTAGGTGCGTCTTATGGTGAGGTGCGTCTTATGGAGCGAAAAATACGGTATTTGTTATTTTATTCGGTGTCACTCATTGGGATATTGTCGCATAGCGATTTCCATAAAGCATGTACATGGAGGATACTGTTATACTTGTGAGACATCGCTGAACAAAAAGGGTTTTAGATCAGTAAAATGTATAATTATGATGACATAATAAAAGTGTGGTTCATATGTGAAAAATGCAAAAACTCATTGGAACACTAACTCACTAACTTTGGGCAGGGTGACCAAGTGGCTACTAAAACAAACTGGACAGGGGAGGGGGGAGGGGTCATAATTATTCTTGTGAAACATCACATTATATAGATATGTGTTTCATTGCATTAAAGGTTAATAGTATTAGAACATTCACAGTTAAAATGTCATCCTGAACTTCTTAAATTACATTTCTTACACTTTTTTTTTTAGATTTTATTCATATTAAATTATGTTTCATATATACATTTTTGATATGCAAGGAAAGTCCTGCTTCTCCTGAACAAAATTATATACAATACGTGTGGGTGCAATAGAAAGTAGGTAATTTATGGTTGAACAAACTTGTAGCTCAAATTCTATTTTTGGGGGGGGGGTTCAGAATTTGTACAATTGCCTCCATTCTCAAGGGGTTAAGAACAGTATGAAACAAACACTTTAAAAGAATAAGGCCTTAGGCTAGCCTACCTGAACTACATTTCCCTACATGCACTGCGCCCAATAACAGCAGCCAATCAGCACAGCGATCTCTTCCTGATGCCATCACAAAGAGAAAAAGGCTTCTCCAGATTGGGAAGGATTAGCAGCAAAACGTTCTTTGATGGGAGGAAGGTTAGTGTGCAAGTCTGTTGTTGTATTTGGTCTTTGTAGTATGTTACTGTGCACTAATAGAATGTTTAAGTGTGCATGTGATGTGTACAGCTACATGATACTCCAGCTAAGTGTCCTAATATGTCATCACAGGGCAGTGAGGAATTCAATTTCTGGATCAGCTGCTTAAACACCTTTTCTTACTGGAGATCACCTGCTGCATTTAACCCCTTCAGTAGCAGACACTGCACTGCTGCCTATAGCAGTTTACACAGCCCATTGCACCTGGTACTCAGGGGGTTAAGGGGACAGCTGATCCTCAGCGAGGAGTGACATGAAGCTGATATACATGTCTCTACAGAGGATATCTGAGAGGGTCATGATTCAAATATACATTATTTAAATACAATTAGGATGATAGGCTCTTGTGTATAGTTCCTTGATATGACATGATGACTTGAATTTTTATTTTTTTGCATTTATTATCATCACTATGTAACTAAGTTATTTACTGGTTGGTCCCAATAGTTTTGCAAATCAGTTCTGTAATTATTGCAATTTTATTTATTGATATGTTTAGATAATGCAGTCTATAGATTTAGCTACAGTATTATCGTAGCTTCTTAAAACCATTCTATAGATTTAGAGACTTTAATAGTTCTACACAAGTGTAGGGCACATATTGGTGATATACTTCAGGGTTTAAGCCCTTTTATTTAACAAGGCTGCATGTCCAGTAATACTTTTTATTGTTCTATGTTTGTTGTAAATCCCATTTAATATTCTAACCTTTCCATATCCTCCCTTAACTTTCTGCACCCTTCAGGATGAGTATGCGGTCTCTGATTCCTGGAAATATGCAGACATCAGAGGTAAGGTGCCATACAAATCACACGCAAATGCTGTTAATAGTTGTATTTTATAGTTATTGTATAAGTGACAAAATATGTAACGTATTAGGAGTTTAGTGTATTACATAGGAACCCTCAATTCATGGGAGGTGGGAATAGAATTATAGTTGATATTTCATTAATTTGGTGTAAGAACAAAAAAATTACACTTAAAAGCATTACAGACTTGATCCATAAGAAACCCATTCAAATTGCGACACAAAAATTTATCACGATGCGATCTCTCACTTAAGTGTGACTTTCAGGAATTTAAAACTTTAGCCCAAAATAGTCAAACGGAACATTTTTTGTCCAGGTTAGATATATATATATATATATTTTTTTAAATTGATAATTTTTATTGTATTTCAGAAAGTAAATCATGTAAAACGGGATACAGAAAAGGAAAAAAAGGGGGGGAGGAGGGGGAGGTGAGGTGAGGGTAACATTGTTCTGAAACAGCCAAACACCAATAAATCTTTAATACCCTGTGACATTGTCTCTAACACCTTTTATTTTCTAAACACAGTCATGAACCACAGTAGTGGTCCCTCAGCCTGGCCAGACAATTTAAAGGGACACTATAGTCACCAGAACAACTACAGCTTATTGAATTTGTTCTGGTGAGTAGAATCATTACCTTCAGGTTTTTTTGCTGTAAACAATGTCTTTTCAGATAAAATGCAGTGTTTACATTACAGCCTAGTGATAAATTCACTGGCCACTCCTCAGATAGAGGTCTTTCCTGGGTTATGGCTGCCTAAAATGCATCCAAACATTCAGTATCTCCTCCCACTAAACTTTCCTCATAGAGATTCATTGATTCAATTCATCTCTATGAGGAGATGCTGACCAGGGCTGTGTTTGAATCATGCTGGCTCTGCCCCTGATCTGCCTCCTTGTCAGTCTCAGCCAATCCTATGGGGAAGCATTGTGATTGGATCAGGCCACCACTTCTGATGATTTCAGCAGACAGCTTGTGTTTCCAAGGCAAACAGCATGCAGATCTACAGCTTCAGGCTTGAATATAGTAAGATTTTGCTATATTTATGGAGGCATGTGGGGCCAAAGGGGGCTAGATGGTGGTTTTAACAAAATAGGGTCAGGAATAAATGTTAGTGATCCTTTAAACTTTTCAGCTCGTTGGAAACCTGTATGTACCGTCTAAGGCTGACTCAGCTAGTTATGGTTTAACAAAAGGTGTAACCTATTTACAGAGATTGGTCAACTAAGTGCAATATAAAATATATGGTATAGTGTACAAATCTATCTGTGCTTACCTATTGTGTTTGGGGTGTATGCCCTTGTTATTGTACTAGCGTGTTAGCAGAATGTTATACCTGCTGTCTCCATGTTAATGAATGCATCTAAGGCGTTGGAGCCTCCAATATGTGTTGCGTGATGTGGGAGGCTGTCTCCGCTTATGGCAGTTCAAGAGGATACTTCTCTCTATATGCTTGCCACAAGATGGTGACCTCTCTCTGTGTAGACCCTGTTTGCCATTGGAGTGCTGCCCACATTTGTGGATATTAAGTCGATCAAATGCTCTGTAGAGGGTATCGTAGATGACTTCCAATTTCTCGCTTACATTGTTACCGCCTCTACCAGTATAAGACGCTAGTTTGCAAATCGGTTTCGAGAAGCCCGGTGTTAACAGATACGTTTCTATAGTTGGTGAGATCTGCGTATCTGTGCTTACTTTTAACAATTTCTCTACCTTTGCCCAACATATTGTTAGCCTTGGGCATGTCCACCAGATGTGTAAGGTGTTACCTGGGACTTCTTGACATCTCCAGCATTTATTGTCTGGTGTATGGTACATTCTGGTTATTTTGTCTGGTGTCAGGTACCACCTGTATAATATTTTCCTTGAGATCTCTAAGTGTGAGGTGCAAGATGACAGGCCTTTAAAAGCTGCCATATCCTTGTGCCATTCTTTTTGAAAGGACCAAACTGGGTCTTGGGGTTCCTCTATGAGTGTGGTGTAGCAGAATAAGAGTGTTTTCTTATGCTTTTGTACGTTTAGGCACATGTGTTCAAACTGGGTCATGTGTGTGGAATTGCCCTCCTGCCCCTTGTGGATTTTCTCTATCCTAAGCATGTGGTGCAGTTGCATATATGAGAATTGGGCGGTGTGTGCAATATGGTATTGATACTTCAAGTCTTGGAAGCTCCTATTAGCACCCTGTTGGGTCACATGGTGAACGTGAGTCACGCTATGCTCTGCCCAAAGTCTCAAGTTAAATGTGGGGTTAAGTAGGAATATGGTTTTAAGTGGAGTAGCTGGGGACCATTTGGTAGGCGAACAAACTCTGTGTCTGTTTGTATTCCATATGGATAGAAACAGTTTGGTAGCAGGTAGAATTTGGCATGGGGAGGGTCTTAACACTATGGATATCCAGAGAAAGTGTGATAAGTGTGGTCTTTCTAAGCCTTGTGATTCCAAGTCCACCCACTGGGGGGGGTGTATAGGCCCGGGAGTGACATGTGAGGATGTTGGCCATATGCGTGGCTCTGTAGTATTCCTTCACGTTGGGGAATCCCAGCCCCCCTTACTGTACTTTGCGAGATAGAAGCCTCCAGGGCACTCTTGGTTTCTTGTTTTGCCAGCTAAACCTCACCAGTGTTGTCCGTAGGGACTTAAGAAACTTTAAAGGGACAGGTATTTGTAGCGTGCGAAATAGGTATAGGATTTTAGGTAGTATTACCATTTTGATTGTCGCACATCTGCCCACCCAAGATATATATTTCCCTTCCCATATCTTTAATCTGTTGTCTTTCTCTATGTGCAGTTTTTGATTGTTCATCTTAAACAAGGAATTTGGTGATTTCGTCAGTTTGATTCCTAAAAGTGAGGTAATATTGTCGCCAGTCGAAATTAAATTCCTGTTTAAGTCTCCCTATTGTACGGTCGTCCATGCCTATATGCATCGCTTGGGTTTTTATGACATTTAGCTTGTAGCAAGATTGTAAGCTGTATTGTTGTAGTTCTTTTTTTAAAGTTGGGGAGGGAAATGTTTGGTTGGGATAGTGTCAAGAGAACATCGTCAACGAATAAATTGAGTTTGTATTCGTTACCACCTATTCGTATGCAGTGAATATTAGGGTTCTGTCTTATAGCTTCTGCTAGTGGTTCTAGTGCAAGTACGTAGAGTAGTGGTGATAGAGGGCAACCCTGCCGCGTGCCATTTGTAATGTTAAAGGGGTGGGACAAGAACCCCGAGGTTGATACTAAAGCTTTGGGAGGCTGTATAAGACCTTAATAGCTGTCAAATACTCTTGCGGGAAGCCAAATTTTGTAATAACTGCTTCTAGAAATTGCCAATTCAGTCTGTTGAACGCTTTTTCAGCGTCTAAGGAAATTAACAGGCTTTGCTCCTGGTCTTTGTCTTGTCGCCCCTGTCCAAAGGCCCACTTGATCGTCGGATACTATTGACGGCAAGATTGTCTTTGATCGAGTGGGTAAGATTATGGCAAATAATTTAGAGTCCGAATTTAATAGCAATATCGGGCGAATGTTCTGACAGTGAGTAGGTTGTTTGCCTGGTTTTGGAAGTGTGATTACTTTTGCAGCTAGGAATTCCGAGGGGGGAAGAACCAGTATGGTGTGGGGCTAAAAGGTGTTTAAATGTCACGTAATATGTGTTAGTGTAACCATCTGGTCCAGGGGCCTTTCCTTTGGGCAGTGATTTGATGCAATCTAAGATTTTGTCCTCTGTAATGGGAGCTGCTAAGGTTTGTTTCTAATTAGATGTCAGTGTCGGTAGGGGGATCTCTGATAAGTAGTAGTGTACTTGAGGCCGTGGGGCATGCAAATTCTGTACATATCTGTGTCTGAAGTAATAGTTTTTGGCTCTGCAGGTTGTATATTTTGACCTTAATTTCCCTATTCCCATTTCAGTGAGAATCCTGGACAATATAACAAGGTCGCCATTTGGAACATCTCATCGTTCACTTAGGTGTTCACTGTAGACATAGAAACTGCTTCACCTCATTGAAGTGGTTATAATGTCTGAAGTCCCCTAGTGCTGTGCTTCCATTTTTATAGCAAATGAGTCACCAGCAGCACATTCTCTATGCGTAATATCTCTGTCTTAGCCATTCTTACAGTAGGGCCTGGCAGTGGGTGTCCAAGGACCCTAACTCTCCGTCCAACTGCTGGAAAATCGTTTTACATGAAAAGGGCCAAGAGTCAGTAAGATGAAATGGTTATAGTGCCTACAGTGTCCCTTTTAAGAAAAGCATGTGTTATCTAACTCCTTGGTGGGTATTATGGAATTCACTAAATTTACTTGCCTCTGAAGCCTTTGTTATCCTTATAGCAGTCCCACAAGGACAAGGGAGTGATCTACTAAGAATCTGAAAGACCAAAAATCACAAAGACTTTACTAATACTTAGTAAAAAATACTTGGTATTGGTAAATAAGGTCGTTTAAATCCTCCCTCCTGCCCCCACACGCTGTGATGCAAAACTGGACTAATAAACTTAAGCCAACTAATCGCACAGTGTGGGAAAGGTTTATAAGGCTTTCCACACCCTGCGAGCTGCGGAATTTTAAAAAAAAATTTTTTTTTACAATTGGGTTATTGTAAAAAAAAATTTTTTTTTAATAGTTTGATGTGACCTTATGGATTTTTTTTGGCCTCTTTTGGAGCTGAAAAAAGATGAAAGACAAAACAAGACATCTAATGGTAAATATTATTTTTTATTTTTTTAGTTTATTGCCCCCCTTACAACTTTTAGGTAGGTTAGTTAGGTGGTTAATTTTTTCATGGGGGAGGGGTCCACTCCCCACTTTTATAATTAGGGCCCCCCTGGTAGGGTGGGGGGGGGGAGCTGAAGGGGAACACTAGGTCCCTCTTTAGTTTAATAGCCCCCACTCTCAGGGCACGGGGGACACTGTCCCCATCCAGTCATTATTTTATTAGGTGCAATGAGATCATAAGCAGTTAGGCCAGAGGCTTCAATCGTAATCAAGCCAGAGTTGGAGAGGCAGGCGTGGTGAGACTAGCATTCTGGGGCAATAAAGATAGATACAACTATTTATTTTACTTAAGGTGGTGGCAGTAATCTAATTTGACATGAAAACACTCTAATATTATGAATACATGTGGCCTGGTGCAACGGTCCTGTCCTTTGTAAGCATGCATTGTAGTGTATTAGAAACTGCAGTGTTTATATGCAGGGTTAAATCCACCTCTAGTGATTGTCTTCCTGACAGCCACTAGAGGTACTTTCGCTGCATTGATAAATAAAAATTGGTCACAAGGTGCAGAAGCAGTAATTTAGTGCTGTTCTGTGTTGAAGCGTGGATGCTTGGGCAGTGCTCATTGCACATGCGCATCAGGTCCCTTCACAGACGTCACGTGGACCATAATAGTTGTCGCAAGAGGAGGAGGAGAGGTTAGCTGCGGTTAGACTAGCAATAACCAGATGTTCTTTTTTTCTGGCATAATGCCAAGAGATTGGTGTAGAGCAGATGTGGTCTTTATTTAAGAAGGGATCAAATCTTCAGCCTGGAAATTACCAGCCTTTGAGCTCTTCATTATTTTATTATAGAGTGTATATTTTCAGTTTTTCCCTTGTTCTATTTATATTGCAATGGCACTTTAGTTCAATAGACAAGAACTATTGTTAACAAGTGATGCAATCCCTTAAGATGATTGCCAGCCCCTCGCTGCCAGGAAATCTCAGTGGTTGTTGGTTTTGGTTGGACTAAGGGCTATTTCAGCAGGAATGCAAAGGTGTTATATGAGTGGAGGACTTGATGGGGAATTGTATTTACTGTTGATTGTACTATTGTATGCTAATGACCATAAATCGTCCTTTCCCAATGTAATAAGATCTGATTTTGACCCGTACATTTAGTGGTATGATTAACTACCATAATCACTGCTGTAATTCAAATCTGAATGCTGATCCGATCACTCTGAGATGAAGAGCTGAGCGCTCCTGATGGCATGGCACTGAGTAATTCGACTCTGCAAAGGCAATAGCGGATGGCTTGAAATTAGCAGGGGAAGCTGGGAAGTAGCGGAGGTATTCAGCCGGAGTACTAGAAGTGTAATTTTTAAATTTTTTGGCTACCTTGACTAGGGAATTAAATGGCAAAAACTTTTTTAAACCCTGCACAGGGTTATTTGCTAAGCTCACTGATTTTAATTTTTTTTTTTTTAGGTGAATTTAATCCAAATGGCAAAAATAGCCAAGTTGAGAGCTTGCAGTGTGATATATGCAGTGGAAAAACAAAGATTATTATTATTATTATTATTATTATTATTGTTTTTATTTATTTTTTTATTTATTTTTTTAAATTTGATTTACTCTATAACTTTGCTATTACTAAACATTCTATGTAGTTTATATGAAATCTCACCCATTTACAGGCCTTGTAGAAATTACCCTACTGTTCCACTGACGAGTTCCAGCTTTTTTAGAGTACATCTTATTTATATGGAGTTGCCTGTTTGTTTTTTTTACCCCATTTGGCCTGCTAATTACTTTCTTTTATTAAAGAAAGAACAAATGTAGTGTTTAAACCAGCAGTCTGGTTGTTACTGAAAAAAATCTTCTTCCGAACCTGTTGGCTCATAACATATGGCTAACATATGTGTCTGTTGCCTGTTCATCTTTTTGCTTTCAAACTTAGTTCTGAGTCAGCCAAGGACATGCTGGAAAGTTTTGGTACAATTTATTTCCAAGCTTTTAACCATCTGTTCCTCAGTTAAACAGAAAATTAAATGAACACTCCAAACCCCACGCTTCAGCTTCTCATCAAGAATGGTCGGTTTCGGTGCTCCTCAATGAGTGGATCACAGCAATTGCTGTGTGTGTGCACCCTGTGTTTCATATGCTTCTTTATAAGACACATTGGATTGGCCAGGAGGTCTTCAATAGTAACGATCTCCCATGGGCAGGTTGCAGCCCTTCCGGATCAGAGGTTAGACAGAGCTGCAGACTTTGTAAGATCTCCTTATATACATTTCTTACTCTTACTGGATCCATTCGTTGAACTTGTGATGACATGACTGGGCCACAAGTGACATACTTTAAGCGGGTCATCTGAGAAAATATGGAATTGACTTAATTCAAGTTTAATGTGTATCTGTCCTACAACAAATTATTATTTGTAAAGTGCCAACAAAGTCTGTAGTGCTGTACAATAGGTGGACTAATGAACATGTATTTGCAACAAGATGAGCTTACGCACAGGAACAGAGGCTGTTGAGGGCCCTGCTCAAACAGGCTTACATTCTTGAGCGAGTGGGGTAAAGTGGTACGAGGTATAGGAAGGATATACTTCACGTATGGGAAGAAGTATATTGCTAGAGCAGTGAAGGGTTCATTTTTTTGGATGATAGTCGCAGGAGAGGAAGCAGGATGGGTTCCAAAGTGCGGGGAGGGAAAGCTATTAAGTTTCATTATTATGCTTTCTTAAATAAGTGAGTTTTTAAGGCAAGTTTGAAAAAACTTAGCTTGGGTGAGAGTCTAACGGAGCAGGTAAGGGAGTTCCAAAGGAATAACAAAGTCATGCTTTTAAAGTTGAGTGCTAACAAATGACAAATATCGTTGACGTCTGTCTACGTAAGCTCCAAAATCGAGGTCTGCAACAAATAGTTTTTTCTACTTTCCCAAAAAGCTGCAGGATATTGCTGTGGTAGATGTATTTGACAGATTACGAACAAACTCGAAAAGACAAATATATAGCATAAATTTGGAATAAAAAAAATAATCCACAAACTTTTGTGCTGCTTTTAGCAAAGCTTTGTAACTTGACTTTAAATCTTCGCTATTTCAGTGTTACCATTTTTAGCCTAGATTGTTTTCGTATTTCTCTTGTACATAAATCTGATGATCTGTATTGTAATTCAATTTATTTAGTATTCTCAATTTCTGGCCATGTAACATTTATTATTACTGTATATTCAGTATTTTACCTACATTTTAATTTGCAGTTCTAAACTTCAAGGACCTCTATAGTGCCAGGAAAACAACACCCTCAGGGTCCCCGTCCCGCCTGGCTCTGGAAAGGGGAAAGGGGTTAAAACTTCATTTTTTCCAGCGCTGGGCGGGGAGCTCTCCTCCTCCGATCCTCCTCTTCTCCTCCCCGTCGGCTGAATGCGCACGCGCGGCAAGAGCTGCGCGCGCATTCAGCCGGTCACATAGGAAAGCATTCATAATGCTTTCCTATGGACGCTTGCGTGCTCTCACTGTGAAAAATCACAGTGAGAAGCACGCAAGCGCCTCTAGCGGCTGTCAATGAGACAGCCACTAGAGGAAATAGGGGAAGGCTTAACCCATTCATAAACATAGCAGTTTCTCTGAAACTGCTATGTTTATGAAAAAATGGGTTAACCCTAGCTGGGCCTGGCACCCAGACCACTTCATTAAGCTGAAGTGGTCTGGGTGCCTAGAGTGGTCCTTTAAGAATTTTTAAAAATAAATAACAAAAATCACTATTAAATTGATACACTAAGCTGGCACTCTCGGTCAATCGCTACCACCCATTGTTGCTCAGACTAATTTTAGTATTAAAACATTAAATGCAATTTAACACTGAACAGAAGGTCAGTGCGATTGACCATAACCATTTCAATGAGATGAAGCGGCTACAATATCTACTGTATCATTTTTTTCTTTCTTTTAAAAGGTATTTTGCTTCAAAGGTATAGGCAAACTGATTTCAAATTTTAAGAAGCCAGTCATAAGTTACTTACCACTTCTAGCTTGGAGGGCCCATGGCACATTTAAGAGGGCTGCATTTTCAATTGCTAGTGGGTAAGTGGAAATTTGAAAGCCTTACCTATCTAAACCTTACTTAAAAGGTTTCCGTTAAGAGTGGAATATGACATGCTCAAATCTCAATTGGGGACTTACAAATAAAGTAACAGTTGACAACAGAACCTCAAATGTTGGGTTAAAATAGCTATTTGGAAAATGTCTTCAGTTATTTTGGTCTAGAATTGCAAATTCCTACTTTTTTGCACCACCATTGTAGTAGTGATTTTAAGTTCCAATATTTAGTAAATGGATACAATTTATTTAGGAAGGTGGCAGAGCTTTTGGTTCTACAATTGTTTTGGGTGCTTTTTAAAGGCTAGTTCTGCTGGAATAAGCTGGTCGGACATTGAAATTGTAAATTACCTCTCTTGTTTGCTACCTTATGATAAAAATTCTAGGGTATCTCTTATGTTACTCCACACTGGTGTATATACATTGTTCTCTCTGTATTCCAGGATTTCATAACTTTTAATGACATTGCAGTGTATTTTTCGGAGGAGGAATGGAGATGTCTAGGGGAAGCAGAGAAGGATCTCTACAAGGATGTGATTATTGACAATTATCAAACCCTTGTGTCAGTAGGTAAGGAGATATTTAAGTATTCATCACTGTGTGATAACATACCCAGTTCATATCTGGAGCTTTTTAATTTTTTTATTATGTGAGCTATTGCAATAATTTCATTATTGGATAAAACCAAGCTTTTGATGTTTTTTTGTTTGTTTTTTTAGAAAAAAGAAATTTGATTAGAAACATAGGTTGATGTGATAAACCACAACAACTATTTTTGACAGACCCTGCTTGTAGTCTTCTCCTGCAGACGAATCTTGATAGCTCTATGAAGCTAAAACAGGACCGTGCTTATTGACGGAGTGCTCTCAGCCAATGAGCACAACTCAGCATCAACAGTACTTTATTATAGACACATTCTGGCTTCTAGTGCAGCAAGACACTGGATGTAGTGCAGGCAACATGTAATATGTCAAACTGGTGGGATGGTGCCAGGCAGTCCTGCACTATAACCCTTACAGCAGGCTGTAGTGGTTATGCTGCTTGAAGTGTTTGTTTCAGCCATATTTCTTTTGGCCTCTTGCTCTTCCAATCTTACAGTTCCCATTTAATAATAATAACCGTTTAAACCTTTCAGATTCATAACCTTGTTTTCGTAGACACCCCTTCCCCTCCCACTCTCTGTAATGCGCACACAATACAACATGCAACTGGGAAACTGTGTAGCGAGCCACAAAGACCCTGCACAGTTCCATTAGATTTGCATTTTTCATAATATTCGGACTAGTATTGTAATACTGATCACAAATTCAGTAGCTGATTACAGTTCTGCTGATATGTGCCCCTTCCATAATGGCCAACAATTCAACTTTCCATCAGTACTGCAGTTAGTACCGAATGGTGTTATATATTCTAGCAAGTCATGATCCAGTGCCCTCTGTGTTGTGGTCTGTAATAGTTAGTGCTAATCATCGTTAGAAATGACCGGCATAATGATGAAAAGTCAATATCTTTCATTCCTAGCTATCATATTTCTATACTGGTTTTCAACTAGCTTCAAAATTGGAAGCTGAGTTTTCTAAAGTGAATGAGTCTAGCAGCTGAGGAGCTGCTATTCTGGAGACACAAACAATAAGGTATTCATACATATGGAAAAATTGGGACATAGACTTTTAGGGTTATTTACTAAAGTGAGAATTTAATTTTTTTCCCCCCTTTTCTTCCTTATTTTTAGTGCACATCTAATTTCACAGATTTTTGATCCTTTATTAAATTAGGCCTCTTGGTTTGGTGAAGAGGAACGAGGAGCCAAAAGACTAAGTTGTTGGACAGATTGGGTGGTGTACTATGTAATGGCAAGATAAGTGTTCTTTAGAAGTCCTGGTAGCATACATGTCTTGTTTATCACATGTATTCCTTTAATTTGTAAGACAATGTGCTGCCAACTATTTTTATAGAATGTTCTTGGTTGCTTTTGGAAGAAAAGTATGTTTCATTATTCTCAAAACTGTTGTAATTATGAAACCTATTGCGCTTTTATTTAACAGGGTTTCTTATTGAAAAACCTGAAATTGTGTTGAAGATTGAACATGGGTATGATCTCTGTGCAACCAATGAGCAGGAACATCTATGGAGATATACAAGCCAAGACATCTGCACAGGTAGAACAAATAATGCAGTATTGTTCCTTGTTCAGTGTATTGCCAGGGTAACTTTTTTATTTTTTATTCTTCTGGTTCTTCTCACCACTGTGATTCCAGGCTAAGGTAGGGGCTGTTTCCTTATGTACAGGGATCTTTTCATTTCTAGTGGCAGGATTGCAGGCCCGCATGTTCTCTGAGACGCGGGAGACCCCAGTGTGAGTGAACGGCGGAGTAGATGCTTCTGTAAGTGGGCCCCAGTGAGAAAAGCAAGGTGGGGCTGCAAGAACGTAGGTTTATACAGCATCAGAGCCGATCAAACTTGGCCTCAAAGCATTCCCTCCACGACAGGCTGTTCGTGCACACATGGCAGAGTGGTAACTGCAACGGTCATTTTGGTCTCACTGCGTGGTCTCAGAGCCGGCAGATGACAAATTCACTCCAGCAGAGAGGTAAGCTTCCCTACCAGTCCATAGGGGGGTGACGGAGCTGTGATAAAGTAGCTGTGAACTGCGCAACCCTGGACAGGAGATTGACCACATCCCCCAATCTCGACACTCGATAAGCCGCTGACTCGGTCGTGGAAATTTCTTGCCAGGGCTTCTTTCTTGAACCAGGAATGTCTGCGTCATTAAAGATTCTGCCTGCTGTAATCTCTAAGCAGCTCACGCTTATTATAAAAGTGTTTTTGAGCAAATGTAACTCGTCTGGCGATCTTTTTATTTATTTTTGTGGTACTGGACTTCTTGAGCTCTGAAACCCTTAATTCATAACACTTTGACCAAGCACGATTAGAAAAAAAATATAGCTGAATTGACAAATTGTCTTGACACGGTGTATCAGTGTAGTTGTGGTGTGTACATATTTTTTGTACATGTGTCAACAATAAGACTTATACAGTACCTTACTCAACATTATGGATGTTATGCATTTTATGTTCTGATCCTTAGCCTTTCTGGGAGTCTTGATGAATCAAACCGTGTGGTTGAGCCTATCTTGTAATATGAAAATGTGACAAGAACATATTAAAATAAAATTATATGGAAAAGACAGTGTTTACAACAAAAAGCCTGAAGGTAATGATTCTACTCACCAGAACAATTTCAGTAAGCTGTAGTTGTTGTTCTGGTGACTATAGTGTCCCTTTAACAAAGGCACTTATGGTTCTCCGGCCTACCTATTTCTTAACCTGTCCCTGGGATCAGAGACAAATGGATTCCAGTAAGAGGTTTTTGGACCTTTTTGCTAGTTCCAGACAGGAAACACAATTCACAATGGAACTAACACACAATACTTTATATACACTCAGGACTAGTCCCTATCCATATTTCACTTATGGTGACACACTAAATTCAGTATAGAAAGCATAATCATATGGGATATAATACAGGTACTCCATATAACACAATACGATATTTATAAAGGAATGTGGAAGACTCTGACAAGGAATGCATCAGCTGCCTGCATAAACTACACTATGCAAATCTACCTGAATATGCACCATAACGAGCCTTGCTATTTAGATAATACACATAACTGTTTCAAGAACTTCACTACCAACAGAAGAAGTACCACAGCCAAATTCACCTAGTTTGTTGAGAGCATCAGCAGGACAGGAGAGCACATAATACATTTAACAAATAATACACACGTTGCACATATAATTGGTACAGGGTGACTTAGACATAAGGTTTTAGTGTATACATCATGCCCATGCAGTTTCACTGCTCAATTCTCTGCCATTTAGAAGGTAAATCACTTTGTTTACGCAGCCTTAGGCACATGTCCCTGTGTGTAACTTACACAATCTCCCCACACATTCCTGTAAAGAGATCTAATGTTTAAACTTCCTTTATTGTACAGTGTGTTTAAATCAGAATTTATTATCTACTGCTCTGTTGATAGCCAGCTATATCCCACAGGAGCCTCCTTGTTGTGTGATTTAGGTTCAATTAACAGAACAGAAGATAAAAATGCTGTCACCTCTGATTTTGACTGTGTGTATAAAATAAACATCTATCAATCTAATCTATCTACACAAAGGAGAGCACTCACTGAATTTGTAGTATTTTTTCAAACTTCTATTTCCCAAATGGTTACATTACATCAACATTTCAGCTCAAACAGCGAATTTTCATCTACCACTGATGAAAGTCTGCTGTTTTGACTGAAACTATGTAATGTAAACATTTGGGAACTAAAAATTTGATAAACACTACAATTCCAGTGAGTGCTTTCCTTTGTGTCGATATAGTGTGTGTGTGTGTGTGTGTGTGTGTGTGTACACACACATTCCTCATTCTCCGGTCCTCTACCAGTGACCTGGGAGCTTGAGGGTTCTGGCAGTATCTTAGCTGTTCCAAGAGCAGCACTCTTCTGTACAGTGATCTCAGACGCCCCACCTGTAATCTGCTAAAGCCGTTCCACCATATCTCCCTCTCTCCCTAGTCCGCGTCAAATGCTTGGGAACCAGAGCACAGTGAAGATAAGTGGGCTACTAGAAAAAAACATTTCCTGGACACGAAGTAAGAACCTAGACCTGCTTGACAACTACTACAACAGCAGACCCAATGAGTGGGAAGATGAAGGTCTCTTTTTCATCCACAGTTCTCACAGATGTTCATGTAGCCCCCTTACACCAAAACAGTTACACAAGGTTTGAACATTGTCAAGGAGAAGCTAGTGTCACTACTAGAATTAGATGGACTGCACAAAACATGAAGAGCAATGAAGCCATGCAATACCAATACTTAGGGTTGCCAATCTGAATCTCTTTTCTTGAATGGCATAACAGATACAAGATACACCAGAGAAGCAGAGGTTAAGAGAAAAAATGCCCTGTTTACCATAGAACCAAGGTGTATTCACAGCTGCAGTGTAACCACATATCCACCAGAGACTGAACAGTACTGGAAGAACATCTGGAAGAAGGAAGGCTCACATAACACCAAGGTCCAGTGGCTACTAGAACTGAAATCAGACTACTGCATGCTTCCAGAATAGGAACCACTCCCCATCACAGTAAGAGATATCCAGCAGCGAGTTGCCAACATGAAGAGTTGGTCAGCCCCAGGACCGACATGATCCACAGCTATTGGATAAAGAAATTAACAATGCTGCAAGAACACCTAGCAGCACAAATGATCCAGCTACTGGCAACAGGCTACCACCTGGACTGGCAACACAAGGCAGAACAATGCTGGTTATGAAGGACTCTTACAAGGGAATAAACCCATCAACATACAGACTGATCACCTGCCTCCACACAACAAGGAAGGTCCTTTCATTTATCATAGCCTCCAATATCGAAGGGCATATGAGTTAGTACAGGAGCAATGCTCAAAAGGGTATTGGAAACAACACCAGAGGATCAAAACTTGGCAGACCAAGTAGTCACATGGGATTCTAAGGCCAGAGAGAGGGAGTAGAAAAAGAGGAGATTCCATGGCAAGACAACAGATGTGACTCACATTACGAAATCCTACTAGTGGTTGGAAATTGCAGGACTGAAAGACTGCACTGGAGCATTAATTATAGTGGCTCAGTCACTCAGCCCACCAGATCAATAGAAGCGAGAGTCTACCACGCCAGGCAAGACCCAAGGTGCAGACTTTGCAAAGAGGCCTCTGAGTCAATCCAGCACATAGTAGTCAGGTGCAAGATGTTGGCAGAGACAGCATACACGGAAAGGCACAACAAAATTACTGGAATTATGTATCTAATTATCTGTGACTCCAAGCTGAGGGAGTGCCTTTAGCAGATGCCTGTCCAGAAGAGGGCAGTTCTAGGAGCCACTAAGATACTGTGCAGAACCCGAAGACTCCAGGCCTCCTGCAGAGGACCTGAGAATGAGGAATACACAAAAAATATATATCACCACAGGAGGGGAGAGAAAATATATATTTTTTCCCTTCCAGGGTAATATGATATTTTATTCATGCACAAAATCCAGCGCACTTACTGTTGGGGCCAAATTCCTTCCTTTGGGGAATCTTACCAGCTCCAGTCACTACTTGCCATGAGTTTGAAGGATTGACAGCGAAGGTGCAAATCAATTTTGAGGTTTATTGATAGAATATTCAGATTATAAAGGTATTTTACCACATTACATCACATCATACAGAATTAGCAAGTATTTAGAATATTTGTCAACAGTTGCTTTTCACTAGGCAGACATTACATTTAACATGGCATTGATAAGAAGGAGGCAAGTTCTCAAATATGAAGGTCAGTTTGACAGCGTTGCATTTTTGTTTGTTTGCTCCCTGAAAGACTTACTGGGAAACTACTGGTACAAGGTTATTTGCGCAAACAAGTTAGTAATAAGATGGAGATATATATCAATTTTTTTTTATTGTTTTTATTTTTTACACTGTCTTTATATAAATGATGGAAATCTACTCAAAACTAGTGGAGGGTTTCCTAGTTATGAGTAGATTTTATATATGCATTGTTTGTAAATGGATTGGTGAACCCTGGTCCAGTTCTGAGCTTTATTCTGTACCCTTCCTCCTACTCCCTCCACCCCACTGGGGCACATGCCATTTACTATAATTTGGAGGTTCTCCTCTGTTTTCACATATTTTTATATAAATGATTATAGAATAATAACCTTTTGCCATTCTATTTACAAATTGTGTAGGGGTTTCTTGGAAGTAGGGATGGAGTTACCTTTCTGGCACTTGTGCTACCTGCACTGCGGGAACATCATTAGGGGAACGCTGTTTTATCTCGGGAGAGGAAATGTAAATTCCTTATTGGTGTGAAAACAGTAGATATCTGAAGCAAAGCAAACAAAATACAAATGCCGTCTTTTCATAAAACTGGAAAATGGTTCCTGAGTACAAAATGGCGGATTGGTTACATGATTTTATGCAATCACTCACTAAACCGCAACTTCAAAGCTCACAAACAAGTTTATTTTGTTTGGTTTTTTTTAAAGAAAAAGACTGACTTAGGCAAAAATAATGGGGATTTAGTTGCAGTATATGATCATACTTTGCGTAAGCCTGTCCGAACACAAATGTACACCATTTCTGCCAGGTCCTATTCTAACAACCTAATGCCTGCTCTTATCAGATTAATCAATTTACTTGGGAAATTCTATCACTTGGGGCTCTCTGCAGCAAGGTTAAATAGGGCACTAGAAGGAAGCATATGTAACATGGAGCTGTGCAAAACCAAAGAAGTTGGCCTGGACTCCTAAATACATTTATATACAATAGGTCAGCACTCTCCTGAACATGCATACATTATAAGGTCTGTGTGTATATGTTATTCATATATGTATGTTTCATATTCTTAACACAAAATCAAGTCACACTTTGTGTACAAACATGTAGCAAATTAAAATCTGAATAGCAAAAATTGAGCTACAGCATCAAAAGCTGTCACCACCTGACATTTTTTCCCCCTCATCTATTTTGGTCTCAAACTTGTTTAGTGGATAACCATGTTACTGTGTCATGTAGACTGGTGAAATGTCAAGTTACATGGAGATTTGGTTTTATGTTTTTCAGGTCACATGACTATCGATGAGCATAATCTAGAAGAAATAAAAAAACTAAATTTGTCCTATTGGACTTGTTATGATAATGTAATCTGCTATAATAACCCAACGAAGAAATGCAAGTCAAATGACTGGTTAGTAGCTGAACCTGAATTGTTTTCCACTTATGGAACACAAAATCCTTCTTTTGTAGAAGAAATTCAACTGCGCCATGCTTCAAATTATGAGGACACCATCCATGAAATAATACAAAACCAGAGACACTTCCAAAATACATCACTTTTTCACCAGGATCGAATTCCTGAGTACAGGGCTATGGCAGCTTACAAAGCAGCAAAACGCCATTCATGCATGGAATGTGGAAAGTGCTTCTTGCAAAGCTCACATCTAAAGTCTCACCAGAAAACACATACAGGAGAGAAGCCATATGCATGTGGTGAATGTGGGGGGCGTTTTGCAGAAAAGGGAACTCTAGTTAAGCACCAAAGAACTCATTCAGGAGAGAGACCTTATCCCTGTCTTGTATGTGGCAAGAGTTTTTCTCAGAACTCTCATCTCTGCATGCACAAGAGAACGCACCTTTTTAAAGAACCATGTTCTGAGTGTGGCAATATTATAAGTAATACAACCAGAATCCATATGACTCCAAGTGAGTGTTCTCAGTGTAGGCAGCGCTCCACAGAAAGACTTGATGCTATCAAACAAAGAAAACTAAAAAAGAGGGAGAAGGTGTATAAGTGTACACAGTGTGATAAATGTTTTACCAGGAGTGCTAACCTGGTTGTGCACCACAGAACCCACACTGGTGAAAAACCTTACATATGCTCTGATTGTGGGAAAACCTTCACTGACCGGTCCAACCTGGTCAGCCACAGAAGAACCCATACTGGGGAAAAGCCATATTTATGCAGTGAATGTGGTAAGACTTTTCCATACCGTTCAGCACTGGTTTTACACAAAAGAACTCACACGGGTGAGAAACCATTTGTATGTAATGAATGCGGGAAGAGTTTTTTCTGTAATTCACGATTGCTTCTCCACCAGAAAGTTCACACGGGTGAAAGGCCTTATGCTTGTAATGAATGCGGTAAAAGCTTCTCCTGTAGCTCAACGCTGGTCAAGCATCAAATTATACACACTGGAGAGAGACCATACTCATGTCTTGAATGTGGTAAGTCTTTCATTCGAGGGTCTCATCTAACTATCCACCAGAGGACTCACACCGGTGAGAAACCATACAATTGCCCAGATTGTGGAAAAGGCTTCACTGATAAATCAAATCTTTCAAGCCACCAGAGAACTCACAAAGGAGAGAGACATTATGTGTGCAAAGAATGTAATAAGAGATTTACACAGAGCTCAACATTGCTCAAACACCTACAAACTCACACTGGAGAGAAGCCTTATGCCTGCACAGAATGTGGGAAACTGTTCACACGTAGCTCTAATCTTATTATCCATCTAAGGGTCCATACGGGGGAAAGGCCATATAAGTGCAATGTTTGTGGTAGAAGCTTTTCCCATAGCTCGCATCTCGTTAAACATAAAAAAATTCACAAATAAAGGACTGTGTTCAGTGTGTGACTCAAAATATGCAAATTATTATGTAATCTTAAACTAAAAGTAAAATATATCAAACTTACCCAAAGGTGGTAGTTATTGCAACACAATAAAAAAATGTGTATATACCTGAATATTCTCCGACATTTACGCGAAACCTAGTTAAAAGATACTTTTATATTTTTGCTAATGAACATAGGGTTGTGTGTGTGTGTGTGTGTGTGTGGTTTTTTTTTTTGTGTTTTTTTTTTTATATCTGTACCCAGCATTTCTCCTCCTATTAAGTAATAACTAAATATAAATATTCTACTTAAAGGGACACTTTAGGCCCCCAGACCACTTTATCTCATTTAAGTGGTCTGGGTGCAATGCCCCTGTAAGTGTAACTCGGCAACTGAAATTATTGCAGTTATTGATAAACTGCAAAAATTACATTGCAGGGTTAACTCCACCTCTATGCAAAAAATAGGGGATGATCTGCTAAACCAATAACAAACAAAAAGACATAGCGTATAAATGTGTATATGGATAAACTGTAAGTGCTGCGTTCACAAATGGCCACTCACACTTTCACTGAAGTAAAATTGCCTTAAGTATAAAATCCTTCCAGGGATTCACTCTTCAATCTGTATTCAAATCACCATGGGTTGGCTGGAGTATATGTACTCAAGAGAGATAAAATAAAAGTTGTAGTGCACAATCAGGTATGTAATAAAAAAAGATTTCATCACTTACATCAAGGTTAAAAACAATGGGTGTAGTATCTCTGAGTCACCACCAGGGGTCCTACACATTTCGTCCGTCTGCAGGACTTTCTCAGGGACTTTGGCAGTGTGCAATGACAAGTTGCAACGCATATTGGAACGCATACGTCACCGTATTAGACCTCCCCATAGGAAAGCATTGAAAATCATTTTCAATGCTTTCCTATGGGGATTTTAGCGATGCTGGAGGTCCTCACATAGCGTGAGGACGTCCAGCGAAGCTATAGCACAGATAATCTGTGCTATAATCCAGGAAGTGCCCTCTAGTGGCTGTCTAGTAAACAGCCGCTAGAGGAGGAGTTAACCCTGCAAGGTAATTATTGCAGTTTATAAAAACTGCAATAATTACACTTGCAGGGTTAAGGGTAGTTGGAGTTGGCACCCAGACCATTCCAATGGGCAGAAGTGGTCTGGGTGCCTGGAGTGTCCCTTTAAGGAAATTTTACTTCAGTGAAAGTGTGAGTGGTCATTTGTGAACGCAGCACTTACAGTTTATCCATATACATAGTTATACGCTATGTCTTTTTGTTTGTTATTGGTTTAGCGCAGGGGTAGGCAACCTACGGCACTAGTGCCATGTACGGCACTCGAGGTTCCTTTGCACGGCACTCAAGGCTGCTAGAACCAAACAGCCTGGCCTATCAGGAGTCCCAGTATCTGCTAATACGAAGAGGTGGTGAAGGACAATCCTCAATTTATGCATTGAAGCACGTAGAGGAAGTTATCTCAGAGCACTTCATTCCAGAACTTGTGAATGAGAATCCACACAGTAGTAGAGCAGCTCGCAGGTTGTTGTTGCAGCTCCTGTCCTTGACCTGTACCTGGCTGGCCTGTTCCCCTCTGGAACCTAGGGAAGCCACCCACACTGCTAGATGTACACAGAAATGTAGAAAGACCCTCCCCTCATACAAATAATATGGACAGCCCACACACAAACATACACACAATCTGCACAAACATACACACAATCTGCACAAACGCAACACCACTAACAATCCACATACATGCACACAACCCCACATGCAGCCTCTCACATGCTATACCCCAAACAGCCCCCACACATACACACACTACCAAACACACAATGTGACATATCCATCCACACACACACAATTCCATAAGCTGCCGCCATACACAGCCCACATTCATATGTATCATACACAATCTACTCATGAACATATACAATATAATAGCTCATATACGCACAAATACAACGATACAAAGCAATTGCAGTATAAATAACACAAGCAGAATACGGCAGCATACACACCTCAATTTAAAAAAAAAAAAAAAATAGGACCGGCACGCTAAGGGACATCACAATCCTATATCAGCACAGTGCTGCTAAAAGGTTGCCTACCCCTGGTTTAGCAGATCATCCCCAATTTTTTGCATATATTTCGTGGAAGACAGGAGGAAGTCTTTGGGGATACCATTGAAAGCTTCACCTTGCACAGGGAAGTTTTTGTCTGCTTGTACCTTATTGGGCACTAATTGCACTTTTGGTTTGTGTACTCATATATTTGTGTTTTTCTTAACGCCACCTCTAGTGGCTGTCTACAAGACAGCCAAAAGAGGGGCTTCTGGGTTATTAGGCGACTTTTAGTCACCTAATTAACACTGGACATCCTCACATTTTGCATGATGACATCAAACATCAGCTAAAACACCATAGGAAAAGCATTGGTCCTAATGAGCGTGCGGTGCTTGCTGCGCATGCAAATTAGGAGGAGAAGCAAATGTGGAGACTGACCCAGCGCTGAGGGACATCGACGCTGGATTCAGGTAAGTGATAGAAGGGTTTTTAACCCTTGTTGCATCCCAAACCACTGGGACACATATATGTCTTAATTTTGGGACATGTTGAGGTGGTGATTGTTGATAGTGAGTGTTGGAAACCTTCTCCTGAAATGAATTCTCTATCCAAACCCTGCAGTTATTATCCTCAAGGCTTTTTTTTACTAAAGTAGATGTTTTCTCTGTAGTTAATGTTCTGATATTCTCCAGGCTCCTAGTGGAGTTTACTGATTTACTTTACTGTTGTGGTTTCTTTTTTTTTATTTTGTTTTTTAATTTTTTGGGGAGCGAGGGGGGTTTGGTTGTCTGGGATTATGTCAGTGGCTAAATAGGCTGACCTGAATGCCTTAGTCACAGATCTGTTTTTGAAGGAGAAATACAATGTGTATTATATGTAGCCTATAAGGGCTTCTTCTCTCAAGGTAAGAAGAGAATATAAAAATATACCTTATATAATTTTTTTATTTTTTTTATGAAAGTACTTTGCATTGCGTGTTTTTTTTACATTTATTTTTTAGTAGCAATATTACTTCCTAAGTAGAAAGTAGGTTTGCGCTCCCCCATTGAATCGTTTTTTTCTTTTCTTTTTTTACGGTTGCATTCTCAGAATCAAGTGTCAGTTTACAATTACTTTTCCCTCAATACCCTTTGTACAGCGCTACGGAATCTGATGGCGCTATATATATAATAAAATAATAATAATAATACACTCCGTTTTACACAACCATGTATTTAAAAAAAAAAAAAAAAAGCTGTTTGTAATTTGACAAATTTATTTATATTAAATAACAAAGCTTACTGACATCAATGGCTTATCTTCCCATGTAGAATATGTACTGTAATACATTTTTGGCATCAATATACTTGGGAAGATATAACTTGGTGACTTGTTTGCAATCCAATAAATTTGTCAGATGTATAGATATTGGAGCAATGGATGCAAAACAAATGAAAGGAATCAATTTTAAACTTTTGAGTGTAAGTAATTTCCAAGGTACTAAATGGCATTTCAGAGAGAATCTTTGTCAAGGCTCTGATAAGATGCCAAGTGGGTTATAAGCTGAATCCATGAACAATAACACTTTTGGAGAATGTGCTTGTGAGCATGGGTTGGGTTTTTTTTTTCTTCAAATGGAAACATTGCTCAGACCTTTGTATTATATCACTAGCAGATTTATTTTCTAAAGTGAGACTTGAAAGTGAAAGTGAAAGGCCAGAGTTGCAATTTTGAAATCCTAGCTGACTTAGAGAATTTTTCCAGTTTGGCTTTTCTGAACTTCTCAATATAGCAGCTTCCTCTTGTTGTGAGATGGTCGTTTTCACTTATCTCAAGTGACTCCCAGACATCCTCTGGATGAGATTCTTTTCAACTCCAAGTTGAAGTTCAATAGCCTTAACGTTTTGACTGTGGAGGTGGGAAACGCTACAAAGCAATTAGTCTCCCATCTTGCAATCACTGGTATAACACTAGTTTTGTCTTCCATAGCTCTCTGGACTTTGGACTACTTTTACACTATATTCAATTTAAATTGTCAGTGTGAGTCTTCAAAGCTAAGAGCCCTTAACTGCATTTCTGATTCTTTGGTACTATGATCGCTTTAAATATATTCTCTCCACAAGCTGCATACTATAACCGTGTTTAAATAAATGTCATAAATTATATAAATTATCTCTCAATTGTGTGTTTATGTGTGGGTAAGAGGCATGCGTGGATCTTGTGCTAGGGCTGAAGAACAGGTATTTCTGTAAAATGAATACATTGCTCATTATGGAAGATGTGAATAGGAGAAATAGACTCTAATATGGTCCTAGCATTTAGGAATATAATTTGAAATGGTAAAAGGCTTGCCTCGACAACTGGATATTTTGACTTGCCAATTAATGAGGGCTTTATTGATAACTGTTTGTTTTTTTTCTATCTCAAAAGAAGATAGCTTGTATAGACTGGCCCACATTAAAGGACCACTCTAGGCACCCAGACCACTTCAGCTTAATGAAGTGGTCTGGGTGCCTGGTCCAGCTAGGGTTAACCCATTTTTTAATAAACATAGCAGTTTCAGAGAAACTGCTATGTTTATTAATGGGTTAAGCCTTCCCCTATTCCCTCTAGTGGCTGTCTCATTGACAGCCACTAGAGGCGCTTGCGTGCTTCTCACTGTGATTTTCACAGTGAGAGCACGCCAGCGTCCATAGGAAAGCATTGTAAATGCTTTCCTATGAGACCGGCTGAATCGCGCGCAGCTCTTGCCGCGCGTGCGCATTCAACCGGCGGAGGCAAGGAGGAGGAGAGGAGGCGGGAGCTCCCCGCCCAGCGCTGGAAAAAGGTAAGTTTTTACCCCTTTCCCACTTCCAGAGCCGGGCGGGAGGGGGTCCCTGAGGGTGGGGGCACCCTCAGGGCACTATAGTGCCAGGAAAATGAGTATGTTTTCCTGGCACTATAGTGGTCCTTTAACAAACTGGGAGAAATATTAATTAATGGGCTGCCACCATACAGCATTGTCAATTATCCAACGGGCTGAGGTCAATTAAAATGTTATTCCTATTTATTTATTTATTTCATGTATTTCACTGAAATTCCAACCTAGTTGAAAGATATACAGAGACAAAGATTTTGTGTCAGTATTTTTCCTAAGGTTGACAAAAAGGTGGAGATATCTTTCTGTCAAGCTTATGATTTCCCCATAGACTTCAATGCTGTACTATCGCGCATACGTAAGTACAGTGCAGACGTCTGCTCCTGGCAGCTGAAGCACCAGGGACTGTGGAAGAGTGAACGGAAGAGGATGGCGGCGCCTACAAGGGATAGGTTCCCAGTGATGTCACCATTCAGTGGTCTTTGCAAATTATGCAAACCCCACAGATGGTGACAAAGCTGCTTTTAATCCTGGGATTTAGCATTTATTTACAAATAAACACAACTATGGTAAAATGTACCATTTTATTTGGAATTCAGTAGCATCAGATTAGGGTTGATCTGGCAGAATGATGCATTGCAGCTGCACTTCTTGCCAGTGAGCACAGTGCTCCATTACGGTCCTCTTTTTATTACTGGCTCTGCGTATATGCTATAAAAAGGTGCATGTTTGCTGTGCCAGTTAGGAAAAAGAGCAATAAGGGAGTTTTGCATTTGGAGATAACGCAACATGAAGTCAATCTTTGCTTTCAGTTGTCCACAAGTTCTGAGGTCAACAAAGAAGTCACAGATAGGCCAGACCATCATGATGTCTTTTTTGAGATGTTGGGATAAATGGTAACATTTAGCTCCCCCGCCATGCATGTGGAAACTGCAAAGTGAAGGAATAGTTTTATATAGTGACTGCTCCAGTCCCATGCTTCCAATCTACAAGTGCAAGATGGACCAGCCAGTAGAGGCAGCTGAATGACCTAACTGTAATGGCTAGTCTATTTTCTCTAGTCAGTCTGTTCATGTATGATTACCAAAATGTGTTTTGTAATTTTTTTTTAAAGTTTGTTTAGTTGTTGATTCTTCTTCAATAACTCGAATTAAGAAATATATAACCTACTCATAACTAAAAGGGGTTTTTTTTCTTCCTCTTATAGTCTGACTTTTAACACATTAGCCCCTCCCACTGATATACTGACTTCCATGCTATGTTACTAGGAAGGGCATATACATCATAGAGCCTATGAGTATAGCATGACATTAGCAGCATTGGGAAGTAGTGCCTTGTTAAGCAGTACGCATTTTCACCATACTGAGGGATAGGACACTGATTGGCTTATTGGCTAACTGTAAACAACACCAATAGGGAACCCATTGAAACTTTTGCAAGCTGTTTTTGATGTACGCCCACTGAAAAAAAAATAATAATAATTTGATGCCTGCTTTCATTGTAGGTATATTTACTGTGACAGTGTTGTGTTTTTTGTTTTTACATTTGAGCATTATAAATAAGTTAATTTGCTGTATTCAGACAGCAGGACTCAAAATTTCCACTAGGTATTAGCTAGTGAAACGTAATCCCTGGTGAGTGTGCCATGGTCCCTCCAGGCTTGCTATAGCAAATAAATGTAAAGGTCTGATTAATAGCATAGGACTTTATATTATAATCCCTACAGACTATAAACATTCTGTCCTCAGTCAGTGTTCCCCGAAAGAGCTTGATAGAGAGCTAAACTCATTTTTACAGACGAGAAGGATGATGTCAATCCAGGGTTTATTTGCACATCATCAACCCAGTGTAATACATGAAAGATTAAAACCGAAATACACAAATACAACATCATATAATTCGATGCGTAAAGTTACTAAGACAATGGAACAAATGACATGCAAATGAACGAGGCAGTATAATAACAGGTTGTATCCTGACTTGTTAATTACCACATTCAGGTGACATTAAGAAGAGATGTAGCCGAGAATATAAACTGGAATTTACAGACAATGCTATCTAGGAGCAAATACATATTAAGACAGGTAACAGTGCCCAGGTTCAGTTATGACAGCATGTGGAACAATATGGTTCCTGCATGGGGCAGAGATAACAGTTGCTATAGAGACTAGAACCATAGGCAAAAGAGTACACACTGGAAAGTGCCACTAGGTGTCTCCAAAAATGGCTTAACTGGAGCCAGAACAGTCATGGAATTTATGAATTGATGCAATCCTTTATACTAAGATTTGAATTATAAATCGAATATGTAATCAGAAAGGCTTAAAATTATGTGTTTAGAATTTTCGTAAGAGATCTCTTACAGCAGGCTTCGAGGCTTTTCATCCATTTTCTGTGATGTTCAATTCACCCAGGAAATAGCCCGAGCAGCCATCAATCAAGGAATGAAACAGAAGTCCATGGCCAGCTTCTGGTTCAGTGCATTGGATTAGTTGCAGCTAGTAGATGTTTACAAAAACCAGGTGTGTAGGCCCATTATCTGAATAAATAGGATTATGCTAAAGTTAGCTTATTTTTTTGGTCAGCTTATTCTTTGCAGGCCTAAATTATATTCATATTCACTATGCACTGGCCCATGAAGTACCTCTAGCATCCATCTGAGGAGTGGCTAGTGGAGGTATCCCTAGGCTGTAATGTAAACACTGCATTTTCTCTGTGTGAAGGGACTGATTATACTCGGCTGAACACATACAATAAGCTGTTATTGTTCTGGTCAGGGGCGGACTGAGAGCCTTTGGGGCCCCCGGGCAAAATTAGATCCCAGGCCCTTTGAAGGCCAAATATATGTGCATTTTAATAAATGTTAAATATAATTCATAATACGGCATTCCTTTGGATGTGTGTATTGTGAAGACCTGTGTATCAATGCATGTTTGTATTTGAGTCTGTGTGAATGCACTTGTGCATGTCTGGATGACTACATGTGCTTTTTTGTATATAGTGTCTGTGTGAATGCATATGTGACAGGTGACAGAGTGTGTGAGGGAGAAGGTGACAGGTGGAAGAGTGTGGGAGGTTGTGACGGGTGGCAGAGTGAGGGGGTACCTGGTGGCAGAGTGAGGGAGGGGTTGAGTGGTGGCAGAGTGAGGGGGAGACACAGTGAGTGGGGGTGACTGGTGACAGAGTGAGGGAGTGGGTGACTAGTGACAGAGGGAAGGAGAGGGGGAGACTAGTGACAGAGGGAGGGAATGGGAGACTAGTGACAGAGTGAGGGAATGGGAGACTAGTGGCAGAGTGAGGGAGGGAAGGGGTGACTAGTGACAGAGTGAGGGGATGACTGGTGACAGAGTGAGGGGGGGGTGACTGTCACTAGTCACCCCATCCCTCTCTCTGTCACTAGTTACTCCCTCCCTAACTCTGTCACTGTGTCACCCGCTCCCTCACTCTGTCACTAGTCACCCCCTTACTCTGTCACTGTGTTACCCCTCCCTCTGTCACTAGTCACCCCCTCCCTCACTCTGTCACTAATCACCCCCTCTCTCCCTAGTCACCCCCTTCTTCACTCAGTCACTAGTCACCCCATCCTTCTCTCTGTCACTAGTCACCCCATCCCTCTCTCTGTCACTAGTCACCCATCCCTCTCTCTGTCACTAGTCACCCATCCCTCTCTCTGTCACTAGTCACTCCCTCCCTAACTCTGTCATTGTGAAGGAAGGAAGGGGTGACTGGTGACAGAGTGAGGGAAGGGATGACTAGTGGCAGAGTGAGGGAAGGAAGGGATGACTGGTGACAGAGTGAGAGAGGGGGTGACTAATGACAGAGTGAGAGAGGGTGTGACTAGTGACAGAGTGAGAGAGGGGGTGACTAGTGAGAGAGGGGGTGACTGTCACTAGTCACCCCATCCCTCTCTCTGTCACTAGTCACTCCCTCCCTAACTCTGTCACTGTGTCACCCCGTCCCTCACTCTGTCACTAGTCACCCCCTCTCTCACTATGTCACTAGTCACCCCCTCCCTCACTATGTCACCCACTCCCTCTCTCTGTCACTAGTCACCCCCTCCCTCACTCTGTCACTAAGGACAGAGGGGTGATTAGTGACAGAGTGAGGGAGGGGGTGACACAGTGACAGAGTTAGGAGGGAGTGATTAGTGACAGAGAGAGGGATGGGGTGACTAGTGACAGTCACCCCCTCCCTCACTTTGTCACTAGTCACCCCCTTCCCTCTCTCTGTCACTCCCTCACTCTGTCACTAGTGTGAGGGGGTTACTAGTGACAGAGTGAGGGAAGGGGTGACTAGTGGCAGAGTGAGGGAAGGAAGGGGTGACTAGTGACAGAGTGAGGAAGGTGGTGACTGTTACTAGTCACCACCTCCCTCTGTCACTACTCCCTCCCTCCTTCTGTCACTACTCCCTCCCTTCTTCTGTCACTAGTCACCCCCTCCCTCACTCTGTCACCAGTCATCCCCTCCCTCACTCTGTCACCAGTCATCCCCTTCCCTCACTCTGTCACCCCCTCACTCTAGTGACAGAGTGAGTGACTAGTGACAGAGTGAGAGAGAGGGTGACTAGTGACAGAGTGAGGAAGGGGGTGACACAGAGACAGAGTTAGGGAGGGGGTGACTAGTGAAAGAGTGAAGGAGGTGGTGACTGTCACTAGTCACCCCCTCCCTCTCTCTGTCACTAGTGACACCCTCCCTCACTCTGTCACTAGTCACCCCTCCCTCACTGTCACTAGTCACCCCCTCCCTCACTCTGTCACTAGTCACCCCCTCCCTCACTGTCACTAGTCACCCCCTCCCTCTCTCTGTCACTATTCACCCCCTCCCTCTCTCTGTCACTATTCACCCCCTCCCTCTCTCTGTCACTAGTCACCCCCTCCCTCACTCTTTCACTAGAGTGAGGGGGTGACTAGTGGCAGAGTGAGGGAAGGAAGGGGTGACTAGTGACAGAGTGAGGGAGGTGATGACTGTTACTAGTCACCACCTCCCTCTGTCACTACTCCCTCCCTCCTTCTGTCACTACTCCCTCCCTTCTTCTGTCACTAGTCACCCCCTCACTCACTCTGTCACCAGTCATCCCCTCCCTCACTCTGTCACCCCCTCACTCTAGTGACAGAGTGAGGGAGGGGGTGACTAGTGACAGAGTGAGAGAGAGGGTGACTAGTGACAGAGAGAGGGAGGGGGTGACTAGTGACAGAGTGAAGGAGGTGGTGACTGTCACTAGTCACCCCCTCCCTCTCTCTGTCACTAGTGACACCCTCCCTCTCTCTGTCACTAGTCACCCCCTCCCTCACTGTCACTAGTCACCCCCTCCCTCTCTGTCACTAGTGACACCCTCCCTCACTCTGTCACTAGTCACCCCCTCCCTCACTGTCACTAGTCACCCCCTCCCTCTCTCTGTCACTAGTCACCCCCTCCCTCACTCTTTCACTAGAGTGAGGGGGTGACTAGTGACAGAGTGAGGGGGGTGACTAGTGACAGAGTGAGGGATGGAGTGGGTGACCAGTGACAGAGGGAGGGGGTGACACAGTGAGGGAGGTGGTGACTAGTGACAGAGTGAGGGAGGTGGTGACTGTCACTAGTCACTAGTCACCACCTCCCTCCCTCTGTCGCTAGTCACCCCTCCCTCTGTCACTAGTCACCCCCTTCCTCACTCTGTCACTAGTCACCCCTTCCCTCCCTAACGCTGTCAACTAGTCACCACTTCCCTCCCTCACTCTGTCACTAGTCACACCCTCCCTCACTGTCACTAGAGTGAGGGGGTGACTAGTGACAGAGTGAGGGAGGTGGTGAATGTCATTAGTCACCACCTCCCTCTGTCACTACTCCATCCCTCCTTCTGTCACTAGTCACCCCCTAACTCACTCTGTCACCAGTCATCCCCTCACTCTAGTGACAGAGTGAGGGAGGGTGTGAGTAGTGACAGAGTGAGGGAGGGTGTGAGTAGTGACAGAGTGAGGGAGAGGGTGACTAGTGACAGAGAGGGGGGTGACTAGTGACAGTGAGGGGGGGTGACTGGTGACAGTGAGGGGGGGTGACTAGTGACAGTGAGGGGGATGACTAGTGACAGTGGGGGGGTGACTAGTGACAGTGAGGGGGTGACAGAGTGGGGGGGTGACTAGTGACAGTGGGGGGTGACTAGTGACAGTGGGGGGGTGACTGGTGACAGTGAGGGGGGTGACTGGTGATAGTGAGGGGGGGGGAAGGGGGTGGTTGGTGCCTACCTGCATCTCTGCTCCCTCTTCTCTCCCCGCCTGCTGCTCCTTCTCCATGCTGGGCTCTGTGTGAGAGGAGTAAACAGGAAGTGAGGTCACTTCCTGGTGCCTCTCCCATCACACAGAGCCGCATGGGAGAGGAAGCCGGAGACCTGGCAGAGAGGAGCTGAAGCTGCCAGGTCTCCATGGGGTGGGGGGTGGGTGACTAGCAAAACGGTAGGTTGTGGGGCCCCGCGCTGCATCAGGGGCCCCACAACCTATCAATTAAAAAGTTTTATTTTATTATTTTGCCGTTCCAGCTGGAGAGATCTCTGATCTCTCCAGCTGGAGCATGGCTGTGCAGCCGGGCCCCTGACTGCCTCGGGCCCTCGGTCCATGACCGATGTGCCCGAGTGGTCAGTCCGCCCCTGGTTCTGGTGACTATAGTGCCCCATATTCCGGCCTTCCAGATGTTGCTGAACTACAACTCCCATGATTCTCAGCCTATCTATTTCATTCATAGAATCATGGGAGTTGTAGTTCAGCAACATCTGGAGGGCCGGAGTTTGGGGAAGCCTGCTATAAAGGAACACTGTAGTGTCAGGAATATAAAAAATTATTCTTGACACTATATTCCTGGTATGGCTTGCCTCGCTTTGAAAAGGTGATTTTGCTCACCTATTCTCCCACACCAATCTCACTGCAGCTGGTCCACAGCACTGGACCAGGAAGCACCTCTAGTGGCCACCTGACTGCCGGCCACTAGAGGTGTAACTACTACCAGCAATGTAAACACTTCTTTTTCTCTGAAAAGGCAGTGTTCACATGAAAAGGTTTGCAGGGACATACTATAGACATACTATAGATACCAGAATCACTACATTAAGCTGTAGTGGTTCTGGTGACTATAGTGTCTCTTTAATATGTGATCCTGACCATGTGTGTGTGTGTCTAAATCTGTGACACACATATGTTTTGTTTGTGTCTGGGGATGTGTGAGTACTCCTTAGTACTTATTTCCGAGAGAGTATGACTGGAGGATTCAGTCAGTGGTTTTGCATGGGGCTCCAACATTTTTGATGGCAGCCCTGTTGCTATAGGTTGCATCATGAAAACATGTTGCTGCTGCCCAAAGTGTCCTTTATGTCCTTTATACATGAGTGCAATTACTCTATATGTTGAATAGGAAGTCTAGTCTTTTAGCAATTGGTTCAATTATCCCTCTGTCCCCATTTCTTGAAACATTAATGAGTTCTGGCGTGTTATTTCCATCCTTATGGATTTGAATTGCAATATAGCACTGAGTTTGAGATATTGGAATAGCTCCTGGCTGATAAAGCTGTATTTAAGGCCTTTTTCCAGGGTTATTTCAAATGCTTTAATTCTTCGGGTGTAGGACCATTAGGTATCTGCAGTTATATGGAGATGTTCTGAAGTTGAGACATTGTGATATATATACACACACATACACCTCAATTGCGCATTTTCACCATACCGAGGGATAGGACACTGATTGGCTGATTTGCTAACTGTAAACAACACCAATAGGGAACCCATTGAATTAATAATGGTAACTGTTATTTATTTTGGTCAGGTGGCTGCAGGTCCTGGACAGGACAAAAATTAAATCCAGGCATTTTAAAATCAGAGCAGCCCAGGGAGAGTTGTTGTGTTATCACAGTGAGCATGTTAATTCAATAATAGTCCAGGGCAAAACCTGTGCAGAGCTCCTACATGACAACAGACCAAATAAATAAATGGGAAAGGCCCTGTGTTTGTTTTGCACAGTGTGAGAGCATTGAGAATATTTATAATGAAAAACTATTCTGATAAAAACACAATACAAAAAATGACAGTTTCAAAACTAAATAATTAAAGGGACACTATAGTCACCAGAACAAATACAGCTTATTGAATTTGTTTTGTTGAGTAGAATCATTACCTTCAGGCTTTTTGCTGTAAACGCTGTCTTTTCAGAGAAAATGCAGTGTTTACATTACAGCCTAGTGATAACTTCACTGGCCACTCCTCAGATAGCTGTTAGAGATCCTTCCTGGGTCATGGCTGCCTAAAATGCATCCAAACATTCGGTGTGTCTCCTCCCTCTGCATGCAGACACTGAACTTTCCTCATAGAGATTCATTGATTCAATTAATCTCTATGAGGAGATGCTGATTGGCCAAGGCTGTGTTTGAATTGTGCTGGCTCTGCCCCTGATCTGCCTCTTTGTCAATCTCAGCCAATCCTATGGGGAAGCATTGTGATTGGATCAGGCTACCACTTCTGCTGATGTCAGCAGGCAGTGGGCAGGTCTAAAGGAAACAGGGACAAAGCCTGCAGCTCCAGACTTGAATACAAGTAAGATTTTACTATTTTCAGGGAGACATGAGGGGACCAGGATTGCTAGATGGTGGTTTTAACCCTTTAGGGTGAGGAATACACCTTTGTTCCTGACCCTATAGTGCTCCTTTAAAGTGTTAGTGCTTTGATGTATACACTGACAATGCATTTCACATTTTAATTTTTCTCTGAGGTTGTGCTTTTGTAGAGACCAACATTTATACAAAATACAGATTAAGGAACTGTTTTTTAATGGGACACTGTAGGCACCCAGACCAATTCAGCTAACTGAAGTGGTTTGGGTGCACTGTTCCTTTTGCACTTAGTGCTGCAATGTAAAAGATTGCAGTTCCATAGAAACTGCAATGTTTACATTGCAGCTCTAAGTCTGCCATCAAACCTCTGGTTCGGTATCTGATGCTCTGCATGAGGACTCCAGCATAAGATAGTAAAGCATTGATTCAATGCCATAGGCGTGCGCAGCCTATTGCATTAGGGTGTGCACCCTAAAGCACAAACACACGCCGCGCGCGCGTGTGTATATATATATATATATATATATATATATATATATATATATATATATATATATATACACACACACACACATATATATACGTATATATATTCACAGAAACACACACTCACACTCACAGAAACACACACACACACACACACTCACACACTCACTGACACACACACTCACAGACACACACTGACACACACACTGACACATACTCACACACTCACTGACACACACTCACAGACACATACTCACACACTCACAGACACATACTCACAGACACACTCACAGACACACACTGACACACTCACAGACACACACTGACACACTCACAGACACACTCACAGACACACACACACACACACTGACACACACTGACACATACTCACTGACACACACTGACACATACTCACACACACACACACTGACACACACACACACACTCACTCACTGACACACACTCACAGACACACACTGACACAAACTCACACACTCACAGACACACACACACACACAAATTATTATATTTGAATTTTTTTTTTTTAAATGTCCACCCAGCCTCCTACCTGGAGTGCTGGTGGACTTGTCCCTGGGGTCCAGTGGGGGCGGGCGCCTCTCTGCAGGTCAGCGCGCGGCGAGGGAGCTCTCTGCTCTCTGCTCCCTCTCGCCGCGCGGGCTGTCTGCTGGAGCTGGGAGCCGGAATATGACGTCATATTCCGGCTCCCGGCATCAGCGCGCGGCGAGAGGGAGCAGAGAGCAGAGCGCTCCCTCGCCGCGGCTGAGCTGCAGGGTGGGGGGGAATCATCACCTCTTGCCCTCCCATGACAGTGGCAAGAGGTGAAACAGGGGGCACTGAGTGCCTGCAGGAACAGCGTTCCTGCTCAAAAGAGTGCAGGAACGCTGTTCCTGCAGGACTCAAACCATAGGGGTGCGCACGGGGATTAGGGTGTGCCCAGGCACACCCGGCACACCCCGTGCGCACGCCTATGTTCAATGCTCGCCTATGGGGAGGTCTAATGCCCGCGCGGCATTTGTCGTAGGAGGGGACAGAGTGTCGACCCAGCGCCGAGAGACATTGGCGCTGGGAAAAGGTAAGTGAATAAAACGTTTTTAAACCCTTTATTTACGGGGGGGAGGGGATGGAAGGGAGGGGGAAGGCATGGGGAGCGATAGTGCCAGGAATACAGCTTTGTATTCCTGGCACTACTGTATCCCTTTAATCTGTATTTTAGTATACATTTTGGTCTCTACAGCAGCATCACTTCTGAGAAATGCATGTTCTGGGCATGCCACCCCCCCAAATATACATTTTTCCTATACTTGTTAGTGGAAAGATACAGCTCTCAGCCCTTGTGGGAATCAACAATTAAAGTGGTTAATTTGATTGCAGGTACATCAAATCAGGTGATAATCAAATAATATAAAGCCAGTTGCTGTCTTGAAACTGGACAGCAGGTAATTAAAGAGCCACTTCACTACCCCAAAAAATAAATAAATCACTATTTAGTGGATACATCCCAATGAACGCATGAATGCTTTTGATTATGCATTTTTTCATTGGGGGTAAAATAACTTCCAAAAGCTACAGATATCTTGTCTGCTGCCTTTGCAAGCCTTCTCCCACTGACCAAGCCAAGATTTTCTGTGGCTGTCCAATAACAGACTTCCCAATGCAGCTCAAAGAGAAGTCTTTGCGAGGAAGGCTTTGAGCAACTTCTGCACTGAGTGCTAACCAAACCAGGAAGTAACAGGAAAGCTTGTCTGATTGACAGCCAAGGGGTGTAACAAGGTTAATTTATAAAACTGCCAATTTCCATTGAAATCTGCATTTTATGTAACATACAAAAAAGAGGACACACTCTTCACAAATAAAGCTCCATAGCACACTAAAGTTCTTTAGTGGTTCTGGAGATTCCTTTTAAGAAGAACAGTAAAGTAACCTGCAGGTTTATTAAAAGAAAATCACTACATGAAATGAGGATGACACCCAAGTGAACAGGGAGACAATGTATTCAAATAAAAGAGGGGTGCAGGAGTACCTGCATGACTCGGTAACTATTACAAATTAATTGTGTTAGTAGTTAAGAATAATTTGAGGCAAAATAGCAAAATGTTTCTTTATTTTAGTGTAAAATTGTAAGCTAATAAGTAAGCAGACAGCATTACCTGCTTTTGTTACAAGAGTTGCATCTATTTCCATTGTGACCTCTAACTATCGGTCTTTTTCGAGACGATAAAATATTTTCAGAGTTCATCTATTACCATATTAAATTGTTTGATCTCCCTGTATGATATTACACATTATCAGTATTTCACCCTGTGCCCCCATCCGTTCCATGTCCTAATGCACGTTACGATCCGTGCTCTTGTGTATAATATAAAATTGAAGCCTCAATTATCCAGATTGTACTGTTACTGGGCTATTGATCAGATGATATAGATCAGAGAGATAAATTGCATTATCGCCAAACTGGCATGAGAAGAAATCCATTTTACATTTGGAAAAAGGAAGTCGTTTCTATTACCGTAAATGGAAATTAAAAAGCACTTTATGTAAATGACTTAACCCTTTCAATGCTGTGTGCCCCAAACATGTTAAACATCATCTGTCGACTCTGAGTAGATGGTACGTTCCTCTCAACAAAATATTCTATTCCTTATTTCTTCTGTCATATTTTTTGTTGAATTTTTTTTGCTTTCCTTTCCTTTCTTCTTCCTCCTTATTTACAGTATTTTGTGTCCATGCAAAGGAGTACCTATGCAGAAGATATGAGCCCCAGAGGATCGGAGGGGTCGGTTTGTGTTTTTTTTAGTCTTCTCCCACTTGGTTTATGCTGGGCACGTACAGAAAATATGGGCATCATATACTGAAAAAGGGTCAAAGTATGAAAATAAAATAGCAACACTGAAATAACTCATTTTAAATACACTCAATGAGTGCCACTTTGTTTTACTTTATCATTTAACCCATTAAGGACACAAGTTCTGGAATAAAAGGGAATCATGACGGAATATTTCCGTCATGTGTCCTTAAGGGGTTAATAGTGTGCATGTGTAATAATGGAGTGAGACTTGAGAAGGAGACAGATGTAATTTGCTACCATGAGTTTACATCTGTACCCAGTGTCATATATAATAATGGATATAATAAATATTTCAATTTATTTAGCAATTACGTACCCTTTGTTGGTAGTGAAGGTTCCAGACAAGATTGGATATTGTGATGTATCGGTGGTTGGGCTGTGTATGAGTGTATGAGTGTATGTATTGTGATGTATGGGCATTGGGCAGTTGGGCTGTTGTTGGCTGTGAATAATGCACTTCCTTTCTTTTGGTTCTTTACTTCCTGTTCCAGTTGGTGGAATGTTCGAGGGATTTGAAATGGCGGCTGCAGAAACCCTGTGTAACAAGGCTGCAATATGAAGATGCTGTTATATATGTATTAATAAAGTGAGTACTTCGTTATACAGGAATTGACTGATTTGTACAAAACATCACAGATATTATATGTTTGTAATTATTTTAGGGTCGCACAGGCTGAAGTGCAGTCTTTCGGTTGCCACTTAAAGGAACAAACATGTATTCCTGACCCTATAGTGCTAAACCCACCATTTAGGTGGCTTGCCCCTACTTAGCCCCCTCAAAAAGTAATAAAACGTACTTTATTTCCAGTGCCGTGCGGGTCCGCGGGAGCTGGCCCCGTCCCCGATCCACCTCCTTGATGGCATCATCAGAATTGCTGATTTTTAGCCAATCCAATGCTTTCCCATAGGGAAAGTATTGGATTGGCTAAATTCGGCAGGGATGGGGGCGGGGCCAAATGCCATTTTGGCCAGTCAGCACCTCCTCATCATTAAAAGGGGCGGGCGCATAGTGGCCTGAGTCTCTGAGGCTGAGTGGAGCCTCCCCGGCGTGGGAGTGGTGGTTTGACCGATCCCGGCATCGGCAGATTGGCAGACCAATAAGGTAAGTGGAAGAGGGCAGTGTTTGCATTAAAATGCATGCATATAATGATTATACTCACCAGAACAACTACATTAAGCTGTAGTTGTTCTGGTGACTATAGTGTCCCTTTAGTTCAGTCAAAAATATCTTTGGTGGTGACAAGATAATAGGACAAATTATTCATCAAAAATACCCGGGCACTTCATAAAATGTTGTAACTAGTTGCTAAAGGATTACTATTTGAATAATCTCAATGCACACTCATTTAGCAAGCTCCTGCAGAGGTTTGAATGCTTAATGTTCTATGAGAAATGTAATACTTTTAATATACCATTAGGGGGAGACACTACACTGTCTTATTTTAAGTCACCAAGCCTTACATAGAAGTTAAAATGAAAAGAAGTGGCTGCAATACCTTATTTAAATTATCCTATATGATTAATTTAAACTAGTGATGTGAAGGAATAGCACACATTATAGTACTGGTGCAAACCTACAGTTTGTATTCTCAGTAAGCTCCCCGATATAGAGGCTTTTTTCAATGTGGGCATTTTAGAAAGATTCCAGTTATTAGACACAAATTAACACACATAAAACATGAACTGCTGTATCCAGTTTTAGTGATTAGTCCCTAGTTTTGAAATTCAGTTTAGTCCCACAATTCATGAAGACTCCCTTCTTAAAACAGTACTGTCTGGGGATTTGTGTAACCCAAAAGCTAACAAAAATTAGCTGTAAATTCTTTTAGCAGATATTCTTTATTTACATTTCATAGTGGGCATGTTATGAAGATTCCATTAACACATGCAATGCCATACGTGCAGGTATATGGCACTATTGAAGGAATGCCTGGCAGTGAATTGTAGAGCATTTCTTTGTTGAATGACGTGAGTCCACCTGAATCATAACGAGGAGGCAAAGTCGCTGTGAACACAGAAGTACTGCAAAGGTATTTGTTTACCTCCCTTTACAGCAGATCTACCCCTCAATATGCCCCAATAGCTATTGCTAGAAGAACGTCACTTTTAGAGAAGTGACAGTTCCATTTTTAGAATTTATGTTAAATAAAACGCCCCTCGTTGTAGGAACATAACATTGCTGTATGTATTGCAAGTCAAGATCCATATTGTATAATGCAATACTCAGATATCATTGTCTCACTACTAACAAAATGGGAAGGCATGTAAGTTGGAAGCAAATTAATATTCTGAATGGTCTTAAAATGCAAGGGGACAGGACAGGTTAAGGTCAAGTCAATGGATGCGTAAGAGTAGGAGGGAGTAAAACAGAAGAAGTAATGAGATTAGATACTTTAGGCTGAAAGGTCATTGTAAAGATGTCAACTGGGGTCAGGAATTGAATTTAACTATGGCTAGATTTATGTATCTAGCAGTAGGAGTTTATTAATTCCATTATATTACATATTATTATTTTATTATTTATATAGCACCAGCAAATTCTGTAGCGCTGTACAATGGGTGGACTAACAGACACGTAATTGTAACCAGACAAATGGGTGCACAGGAACAGGGGTTGAGGGCCCTGCTCATTGAGCTTACATATATAACACTACGCACAATGTTCCTTTTGCATGAACAATAATAAGTAATGACATGGTCTGTGATATTATTATTGGTCATTATATAGCGCCAGCTTATTCCGCAGCGCTTTACAATAAAAGGGGAGTTTAACAAATGAGACAATAACAAAATGTTACAGGAACAATAGGTAAATGAGGACCCTCCTCAAACAAGCTTACAGTCTAAAAGAGGTGGGGTATAAAAACACAATAGGAAGGGTATTGCGGGAGACATCAAATGGACATGGTGGTAAAGTAGCAGAACTGGAGGTGAGAGTGGAGAGTGGCCCTATAGAAAAGAGCAAGAGGAAGGTTTGAGAGATAGAAGTTACTCTTGGAGGCCATAAGCAATCCTGAAAAGATGGGTTTTGAGGGACTTCTTAAAGGACTGAAGACAATGGGAGAGTCTGACAGGGGTAGACAGGCTGTTCCAAAGGAAAGGAGCTGCCAGTGAGAAGTCTTGCAGGCGTGAATTTGCAGTAAGGGTGTGAGCAGTAGAAACATAGAATGTGTCGGCAGATAAGAACCATTCTGCCCATCTAGTCTGCCCAATTTTCTAAATACTTTCATTAGTCCCTGGCCTTATCTTATAGTTCGGATAGCCTTATACCTATCCCACGCATGCTTAAACTCCTTTACTGTGTTAACCTCTACCACTTCAGCTGGAAGGCTATTCCATGCATCCACTACCCTCTCAGTAAAGTAATACTTCCTGATATTATTTTCGAACCTTTGTCCCTCTAATTTAAGACTGTGCCCTCTTGTTGACAGGAGAAGGTCACCAGTAGAGCGGAGAGACTGAGAGAGGGCATACCTATGAATCCATGAAGAAATGTAAATGGCTAGAGTTGGTTAGAACTTTATAGGTAATGGTTAGTATTTTAAATTGACACCTGTAGGGTACAGAAAGTCAGTGTAAGGATCGACAGAGAGGTGAGGTGTGAGAGGAGCGACAGGAGAGAAAGATCAGCCTGGCAGAAGCATTCACCACAGATTGTAGAGGGGCATTATGGCTTCTGGGGAGACCAACTAGGAGAGAATTACAGTAATCCATGCAAGAGATTACTAGAGTATGAACAAACTCCTTGGCAGCATCTTGCGTAATAAAAGGGGCGTATGCGGGCAATGTTTTTAAGGTGGAACAAACAGGTTTTTAGCAACAGACTAGACATGAGGCACAAAGGTGAGACCAGGATTAAAAATGACACCAAGACAGAGAGCTTGTAAGGATGGGGTGCAGAAGGTACCGTCAACCTGCAGGGACAATGAAAGAGGAGGATCAGTGTTATGAGGAGGAAAAATAAAAAACTCAGTTTTAGGGAGATTGAGTTATAAAAATATCTGATTAGTTGATGAAGTGAATCTATTTGTCTTTTCTGCAATATTATGTTACCTTTATTGTCTGAGAAACACTTTTTTCATAATCATACCTTGATATTTTTTAAAAACAGACGCAATTAGAGACAAATCAACGTAAAAAGAGATATGTCAAGGTGAAGAAAATAAAGGGATAACATCTCCCTACAGAGATGGTTGGTACAACAGTAATCTTTAATTAAAAATCTCACTGAGTATCTAGTATCACAGGCACCATAACCCAGACACCTTTAAGACAGCTTTTCATGTGTGTATATGAGAGGGGGGAGGAAGGCCACCGGGCACTAGCACACAAAAGTGATGGCTGTGGGAGGCAGGGGATACATTGAGATGTCTGTAGGCACAGTATGCAGGAGTGAGACAGCAGGCAAGTTTGCATATTGCACTGAATGGATTTGTGCATGGGCCAGTGGCCAGTCATCTTTGTGTTCTTCAGGCCAAGAATGGCCCCTTGGGACAATTGGGGCCACCTATGCTTACAGATAATATTCAGCATGTATGATGTGTTACTGGATATGTTTACAAATGACTGCAGGATGAGGCGAGACAGTGGTTGTCATGACATTTATATTACAATCTGGATGTTAATTATGCCAATTGTGTTGTCAGATACAGTCTGTGTCAGCACAGATTTCTGTGAATGCTCTGTCACTCTGCACAGCTGACACCTCATATTGATGGAGGTTGCAGGGATGTATGATATACCACCTCATGACTCCAACATCCCCCGTTTGTACTTGCTCCCAAGGTCAAAAGTTGTCATTCCTTGCTTGTGAGTGTAGCTGTATTAATTACAAAAAAAAAAAACCTGGGCAAGAAGGCAGAAATTATCAGAAGTGGAAAAAACAAAAATGAATGAAAGGGTAAAGGGGTATGCAGGGGTAGATTCCGAGTACGGTAGTCAGCTATCATCCCGTAAACAATCCCCCCCCCCCTTGCTTAAGTAATAATTAAACATCTATCTCTTAATTAATTAATTTCCCCTTTTAGTACTTATTTATTTTTTATTATGTATATAACCTGGCCGTACAGGCTTGGACCAAGGTCCCTGGAGTCCATGAGAGGATTCAGCTGGGGATCTTCACGTTGGGCCCTATCCCACAAACCCCTCCTCATTATCAGGGGGCACCCCCATTTTCCTTTTTCCCTTCTTTTTATTTTATCTCATTTTATCCTTTCCGATACCTTATGGGAGATATACACGCTACAGTCCTTACACACAGACTAAGCTGTAGATCCACAACCCCCCGACACACAGCACCCCTACCCCCCACACAGCACAGCACTCCTCCCCCCCACACAGAACTCCTCACACACACAGCACCCCTCAGACACACTGCACCCCTCTAGCAGAGGGAGAGATCTAGGAAGCAGCTCTCCTGTCCTCCCGCGAGCAATCTGTGTGGAGTGTTTCCGCGCGTTACCATGGCAACGCTCCACACAGCATCGTGCGGGAGGACAGGACAACTGCTTCCTAGACACATACTTACCACCACCGGACCACCGGGGGAGGGGGGAAAATAAAGATTTAATTCCCCCACACACAGCACCTCTACCCCCCACACACAGCACCCCTACCCTCCCCACACACAGCACTCCTCAAACACACACAGCACCCCTCAGACACACACAGCACTCCACACCCTTACACACAAACACATACACTGCACCCCTCAATGCAGTATGTGTGTGTATTCAGCAGTCTGTGTGTGTATTCAGCGAACTGTGTGTGTGGATTCAGCGGACTGGGTGTGTGTGTGTGTGGGTACTTGGCATTCTATGTGTGACTGTATTCAGCAGTGTGTGTATTCAGCAGTTTATATATTCAGCAGTCAGTGTGTGTATTCAGCAGTGTGTGTATTCAGGGGACTGTGTGTGTGTATTCAGCAGTGTGTGTATCCAGGGGACTGTGTGTGTGTATTCAGCAGACTGTGTGTGTGTATTCAGCGTACTGTGTGTATGTTTGTGTGTGTGTATTCAGCGGACAGTGTGTATGTATTTAGCAGTCTATGTGTGTATTTAGCAGTCTGTGTGTGTGTATGTATTAAGCAGTCGGTGTGTGAATGTGTTCAGCAGTCTATGTGTATGTATTTGTTGGAGATACTAATAAATATAAGCTTAATTTTATCCATGTTTATCATTATTTAAAATTTGTATCATTGTACTCTCTGTTGTTGTCTTCTTCTTTTAAAACAAAAGATGTTAATTAGTTCGGACAACTGTACAAGTTGTTTTTTCTAAACTTAAACCTTCGTATTCAGGTTTAATTGCTGTGTTGGCACTTTGAGGAAAAAAAAGTTGTCATATTGCGGTTTGGGCACTTGGGCTCAAAAAGGATCGCCATCACTGGCTTAGACACTGGGTAATTTAGTGTATTGCTTTAGTTCTTAGTATTTTACTTTTTTTTGGGTTCGTTTATGCATTACAAAATTGAGACACTGTTATTTTTAAGATCGGTAACTACACCCATGCATTTGCGACCAACCTCAATGCATTGTCATACTGCAATATGATTGTATCCCATAATATACTGTAATATGTTCGCATTTCTAACTGCAAATGTATGCAAATTGATGTGATCTTATATTTTACTTTTACTGGTTCGATTGCGCATAACAACAATAAGACACTGTTATTTTTAAGTTCTGTAACTACACCCATGCATTCGCTACCAACCTCAATGCATTGTCATACTGCAATATTATTGTATACCATTATATTCTGCAATATGTTCGCATTTGTAACTGCAAATTGATGTAAATAAAAGTACTAAAAAACATTAAAAATTGTATTGGGGAAATGTATACTTGAAACATGCGCTTGACAATTTATACACTTCAGTACTCCAATTGTAGAGCATAATTTTGACTGACAGTGAAAAAATGTGATAGCTAAAGAAAGCTCGCATGCATTAGTGAATGTAAAATCTGTGAAAGGATTCCATTGGTGGATTGGATCCTGTACAAATAAAGATACTTTGTCAACTCCACCAATGAAGTCCAAATTATGGCAGAAAGCATTATGAATAGATTTTAGTTGACTTTATAAAGCAAGAGAAATACTGACCAGAAGTGGATTGCCCTAGTCAAGACCAGAGGTTATTAAAAGAGAACTTTGCATTGCAGTTGTATTATCCAGATGTATATAACAAGTGATATCAGTATCCAGTATCGAAATGCTGAAACTGATACTTTGGAAATGAATGGCTTTTCTTGTGTAGATTTTGTAATGTTCATTGGTCCATATTTGCATTACTTTAACCCCTACACCAGGCTTCCCCAAACTCCGGCCCTCCAGATGTTGCTGAACTACAACTCCCATGATTCTCAGCCTATTTAGTTCATTCATAAAATCATGGGAGTTGTAGTTCAGCAACATCTGGATGGCCGGAGTTTGAGGAAGCCTGCCCTAGATAGTCCTACTTCAGGCATGTAAATTGTGGATCGCCATATATATCAGGGGGCAACATTTTTCATTTTGAAAAACTTTATTCCAGATGTTTGTTTCTATTCATAATATTGTAATGGATCATATTCAAGGTAACCGGCAGTACTTGATGAAATCTCCAGCTCAGAGAGTGCTATGTTGCCAATGTTTGCATCCCTCGAGGACTTCCACAAAGACAACTACATTTTGACTCAAAATATAAACACATAAAAAAAGCATTTGGGAAATCCCTTGGGAAATGTTTTATAATTTTGGCACAGAAGGTATTTGTGATCTATATTTCCTATGATACATGGCACATGCATTTAGAGGATCTCTGAAAAGGTAATTCACTAGCATTGTAGGACTAAATTTATCATCAATGACCTGTTGCATATATAGTCAATACATTAATTGTCACGGCGATTTTTTTCTTGACACGTGTCCTATTTCAGATCCACTTAAATTCCATTGTATACATGAATAAAGTGAAATTAATTATCCATTCCATATGGCATGTATAAATGGAAATTAATTATCCATTCCAGATAGATATGATTATTATTATTGCTTTATTGATTATACATTTCCTCTTTCAAATACGTAAAGTATGGTATTTTGGCTGATGATCAGTGATTTGCAGGACCCTCTGGTACTGAATGAGTAAAAATATGTCTTTGAACACAAACCCTCGGAACACTGGTCTGAATTACCATTTAAACCCGCAAAGCTAGGGAGATACTTGAGGTTGTTTTTGTGTATAGTTCAGTTATCTCTATATTTTGTTTCCATTGTGGTTTGATGTTTGATCCTCTGACCACTAACAGCTGTAATATGATAATAGTTAAATGTAGCCATAGTCCTTCACTGCCTGTCGGAGCTGTGAGTAATGATTTAGTATCGGTGTTTAGAACTTTTAAGTACATATTTAATGTTTTATGTTGTTTCTCTCATTCGCTAAACTGTGATTTGGCAGAAATTTGGCAAAGAAATGCAAATTTCAGGAAAAGAAACACCCAAAAAGGTATCAGCATTTTTGGCTTTACATTCAGTAGACCACCACCACTCCTTCCATTTACAATACTCAATGCTAAATCGTGAGCATCTAATAGAAGTGAAACTTGATCCATCAGCCTATGTGATGTAGCAAAACTTATTATTATTATTATTATTATTATTTATGCCTGTGTAAATATTCATAGTCAGTTTCCCTTCTTAAATCATAAATAATCAGTGCATAGTACAGAAACAATAGTATAGATAATTTCTACTTTAAAAGTTCAGATCCCATTGATGTGGTAGTATCTATGTATATCCAGGGGTGGGGAACGTTTGGCCCTCCAGATGTTCTGGACTACATCTACCTAGATGCTTTGCCAGCATTATGGCTGTAAGAGCATTATGGGAGATGTAGTCCAAAACATCTGGAGGGCCGAAAGTTCCCCACCCCTGATCCATACAATCTATTATAGTATACAACCATTTCATATGCAACTTCTACCACAAGCCTGACAGATAGCAAACAAACTCTCTTGTTGGTTAATGTGTCATTGTTTTCTTGCTGAAATGAAAATATATCTGTTTAGAGCTAAAGAAGTAGCAGCAGTTATAAACTCAGATCACTCTAACACAGTGGTTCCCAAACATTTTAGATTCAAGGCGCCCTTAATATTTCAGTAATTTTCCAAGGCACTCCAAGTCAAAATTTCTAGTTTGTATATCTGTACAGTGCTGCGGCATTTACTGGCGCCATAGTTTAATGTACAGTGTTGGTGTTTGAAGGGGTGCTTGCAGGGCTCGAGTCCTGCAGGAACGCATGGGAACGGCGTTCCTGCACTTTTTCCAAAGCAGGAACGCCGTTCCCGTTACCTGTCCTGCAGGACCGGCCCTGCTACCTGGAGATTGCCTGGTGGTCCAGTGGAGGGAACCAGCCGCTGCACACAGGAGCCATCACAGGCTGTGTTCCTTCTCCAGCTATAACTCTCGCGAGACCCGCGGCTGTTACCATGGCAACGCTCCGCACATGCGAGTCTCGCGAGTTAGAGCTGGAGAGGGAACACAGCGTGTGATGGCTCCTGTGTGCAGCGGCTGGTTCCCTCCACTGGACCACCAGGCGATCTCCCCCCTCCATGACAAGGTAAGAAGCAGGGAGGGGGGAATAAAATAAAAATTATACATAAAGTAAAAAAATGCTTCCCCCATCACACATCATCCAGCACACACACACACATCATCCAGCACACACACACACATCATCCAGCACTCAGACACACATCATCCAGCACACACACACATCATCCAGCACTCACACACATCATCCAGCACACACACACATCATCCTGCACTCACACACACATCATCCAGCACACGCACTCACACACACACTCATCCAAGCACACACACACACACATCATCCAGCACTCCACACACACATCATCCAGCACACACACACACACCATCATCCAGCACACACACATCATCCAGCACTCACAAGCACACACACACACATCATCAGCACCCACACACACATCATCCAGCACACACACACACATCAGCACACACACACACATCATCCAACACACACACACGCACATCCAGCGCACACACACACATCATCAGCACTTTTTACACACATCATCCAGCACTCACACACACATCATCCAGCACACACACACACATTATCCAGCACACACACACACACATCATCCACATCTATAACTCTCGCGAGACCCGCGGCTGTTACCGTGGCAACGCTCCGCACAGGCGAATCTCACGAGTTAGAGCTGGAGAGGGAACACAGCGTGTGATGGCTCCTGTGTGCAGCGGCTGGTTCCCTCCACCGGACCACCAGGCGATCTCCCCCCTCCATGACAAGGTAAGAAGCAGGGAGGGGGGAATAAAATAAAAATTATACATAAAGTAAAAAAATGCTTCCCCCCATCACACATCATCCAGCACACACACACACATCATCCAGCACACACACACACACATCATCCAGCACTCAGACACACATCATCCAGCACACACACACATCATCCAGCACTCACACACATCATCCAGCACACACACACATCATCCTGCACTCACACACACATCATCCAGCACACGCACTCACACACACATCATCCAGCACACACACACACATCATCCACAACTCACACACACATCATCCAGCACAGACACACACATCATCCAGCACTCACACACACACATCATCCAGCACTCACACACACATCATCCAGCGCACACACATACATCACATCCAGCACTCCCACACACACACATCATCCAGCACACACACACACACACATCATCCAGCACTCCACACACACATCATCAGCACACACACACACATCATCCAGGCACTCACACACACACACACATCATCCAGCACTCACACACACATCATCCAACACTCACACACACATCATCCAACACTCACACACACATCATCCAACACTCACACACACATCATCCAGCACACACACCCATCATCCAGCACACACACATCATCCAGCACTCACACACCCATCATCCAGCACTCACACACCCATCATCCAGCACTCACACACCCATCATCCAGCACACACACACCCAACATCCAGCACATACACACCCATCATCCAGCACACACACACACACACACACATCATCCAGCACTCACTCACACATCATCCAGCACTCACTCACACATCATCCAGCACTCACACACACATCATCCAGCACTCACACAAACACCCATCATCCAGCACACACACACACACACACACACATCTAATCCAGCACTCACACATCCATGTACTCACACACACATCATCCAGCACCGCACACACACATCATCCAGCACTCACACATCATCCAAGCACTCTTTTACACACACACATCATCCAGCACTCACACACACATCATCCAGCAATCACACACACGTCATCCAGCGCGCACACACACGTCATCCAGCACACGCACACACTGCATTCATTAAACACACTCTTCACTCACTACAAACACACTACATTCACTATACACTCACTACAAACACACTACATTCACTATACTCCCTCTGCATTCACTATACACACTCTGCATTCATTATACACATTCTTCACTCACTACACACTACATTCACTATACACACTCTGCATTCACTACAAACACACTACATACACTGCATTCATTGTACACACTCTGAACTCCCTACAAACACACTAAATTCATTATACACAATTTGCACTTACTACAAACACACTACATTCATTATACACACTCTGCACTCATTACAAACACACTACATTCACTATACACACTCTGCATTCATTATACACACTCTGCACTCACTACAAAAACACTACATTCCCTATACACACTGCATTCACTATACACACTGCACTCAATACAAACACACTACATTTATTATACACACTGCACTCACTACAAATACACTACATTTATTATACACACCGCACTCACTACAAATACACTACATTCATTATACATACTCTGCACTCACTAAAAACACACTGCATTACTTATACACACTCTGCACTCACTACAAATACACTATGATTATTATTCACACTGCCCTCACTACAAACACACTACATTTATTATTCATACTCTGCATTCACTACAAACACACTACATTCATTATACACACTGCACTCACTACAAACACACTACATTCACTATACACACTCTGCATTCATTATACACACTCTGCACTCACTACAAAAACACTACATTCACTATACACACTGCATTCACTATACACACACTGCACTCACTACAAACACACTACATTTATTATACACACTGCACTCACTACAAATACACTACATTTATTATACACACTGCACTCACTGCAAATACACTGCACTCACTACAAATACACTACATTCATTATACACACTCTGCACTCACTAAAACACACTGCATTCATTATACACACTCTGCACTCACTACAAATACACTACAATTATTATTCACACTCACTACAAATACACTACAATTATTATTCACACTGCACTCACTACAAACACACTACATTTATTATTCATACTCTGCATTCACTACAAACACACTACATTCATTATACACACCCTGCACTGCACTATATGCATAGGAGTGTAATTTTTTTTATTTTTTTAAGGGGGGGGGAGGTGGGAATCTTGGGTGAGTTCCCACACTTTTTTCCCCAGGACTTGACCCCTGGGTGCTTGTATATAGTTATTGTGTTTTAATATAGGGGTGTGTGTGTATGTAATGTTTGCATTTGAATGGAGGGGGTTCTCTGAATGTAATGTTCACTTTTAAATGTGGATGTACATTTGTGTGAAGTATTTGTGTTTGAGTGCAGGGGTGTGTATGAAATATGTGAGTTAGATTGCAGGAGTGTGTTTGTATGTTGTGCTGGTGTTTGACTGCTTGGACGTATGCACATACACTACCACATTTATACATACACAGATATTCAGGCACATTAACACACAGATGCATATACACCCTGTTCCAAATTATTATGCAAATTCTATTTAAGTGTCACAAAGATTAAATATTTTGTTTTTCAGTTTAACTCATGGATGGCATTGTGTCTCAGGGATCTTTTGATCACTGAAAACAATCTCGCACACCTGTGATAATTAGATTGCCAGGTGAGCCCAATTTAAGGAAAAACTACTAAAGGAGGGTGTTCCACATTATTAAGCAGTGCACCATTTTCATGCAATATGGGGAAGAAAAAGGATCTCTCTGCTGACGAAAAGAGTGAAATAGTTCAATGACTTGGATGAGGTAGGAAAAAATTAGATATTTCCCGAAAACTTAAGTGTGGTCATCGCACTATTAAGAGATTTGTGGCTGATTCAGAGCACAGACGGGTTTGTGCAGATAAAGGCACATTGAGGAAGATTTCTGCCAGATCCATGCATCGGATCAAGAGAGCAGCTGCTAAAATACCATTACATAGCAGCAAACAGATATTTGAAATTGCTGGTGCCTCTGGAGTCCCACGGACATAAAGGTGTAGAGTCCTGCAGAGTCTTGCAACTGTGCATAAACCTAAAAATCTATTCGGCCATCACTAACCAATGCTCACAAGCAGAAACGGCTGCATTGGGCAGAAAAATACATGAAGACTAATTTTCAAACAGTACTGATCACTGATGAGTGCCGTGCAGCCCTGGATGGTCCAGATGGATGGAGTAGTGGATGGTTGGTGGACGGCCACCCTGTTCCAACAAGGCTGCGACGTCAGCAAGGCGGTGGTGGAGTCATGTTTTGGGCCGGAATCATGGGAAGTGAGCTGGTCGGCCTCTTTAGGGTACACGAAGGTGTAAAGATGACCTCTGCAAAATACGTGGAGTTTCTGACTGACCACTTTCTTCCCTGGTACAGAAGGAAGAACTATGCTTTCCGTAATAAAATCATCTTTATGCATGACAATGCACCATCTCAAGTAGGCATGTGCATGGGGAAATTTTCGGTTCGGCATTCCGAAATTCGGGACTTCGGCAATTCGGCACTTCAACACTTTGGAACTTCGGCACTTAAGCACTTCAGAACTTCAGAACTTCGGCACTTTGGAAATTCTGCAACTTCGGCACTTCGACACTTTGGAATTTCGGAACTTCAGCATCTCGGAATTTCGGGACTTCTCTTGCTGCCACTTAGTAGATAACTCTGTGTAATGAGTCAAATTACACAGCGTGGGAAAATCCCAAAGAACTTTCCCATGCTATGTAAAATGACACAGAGCACTCTGATTGGTGGATTTCAAGCCAACCAATCAGAGTGCTGTGACAGGTGAATGTAGAGACTTACCTGTCAGTCTCTTCATTTATCTGTCAGAGCACTCTGATAGGATGGCTTAAACCCACCAATCAGAGTGCTCTAAGCCTATTTGCAGGGTGGGGCAAGACTTTATAAGCCTTCCCCCACCCTGCAGAGCTTAGTCTGCACGGAGCCCTCCATGGGTGAAGATGGATTATTATTATTTTTTTTTTTTAATTCTTTATTTTTGTTGTGCATGGGTTTACAGCAGTGCTTGTATAGCCACAACAGCTTCCACAAGCGCATTATTATTTGAACATAGGTAAGTTATGCGTTAAAACTTGCACATTTTTACATTTAATGAGTTGTATGAACAAGCTAAGTTAAGTAATCTCCTATATGAGATTTGTGTGGCAAACCTAGCCACTTGGACAATAACTAGAGACTGTGCCTTTAAGGGTTGCCAATAGGTCGGACGAGATATGCGCTTTACACTTATGTAGATGTTAATGTATTTTCCGTATTGCCTGTAATGCTGTTTCCGCCGAATGCAAATGGCGGTTTTGTATGGGGATTCTCTTTCGTTTCACGAACGGCACTTTAGAAAGCCGTTCGTGAACCGAACGCGATACCCCCTAATAGCCCACACACTTAGAGGCGTGTGGCGCTAGTTAACCGATTATTAGAGGCTCTCCTGGGTGGCCGTCGTTCGATTACCGACCATGCGGCGGTCGGCCATCTTGGATCCCTTGTTCTTCAGCGGGGCCGTGTCGTCGAACGCATAGCATTACCAATAGTTATTCGACGGCACGAACACCGCTGAGCCTCCAGGACGTTCGGGAGTTTCAGGACCAGGTTCACTAAAAGTAATCGGTTCTTTTCGTGTGTTTTGAAAGAAATATGTTTTCTGTGCGGTGTTCGGTTATTTTAGCTGGGATCTGAGCGGCAATCTCACGAATGATGCGCCCAGTGTAATTGCCAACCCAAATTCGGGTTTTCATGACTAGCCGTCGTGTGGTTTAAAAACATAAACTGAAGCATTAATGCTAAACGTTGAACACATTTTAAACAGTAGGGCTTTGTTGGGGTGTTCGGCTGTCTTGTCGAGTTGCGTTTAAGTATTTAGTGTTCAGTCCTGCTAAGGCTCCATTTCCCCTGATGTGGCGGCTCTCGGTGTGAATATGGCCGTGTTCACTGGGTCCCAGGCTTTGGATGGTTTGTCTTGTGTTCTTACGGTCTGGCCTGCTATGCCTAGTGATGCAAGGAAAGAGGGTATATCTGCCCCTGCTTCTAGTGTGTGGACAGTCCCGTTATGCGTAGCATACAGCGTTCCAGGGGGGCCCCATCTGTATGTTACCCCAGCTGTTCTGAGTTGGGAAGTGATCGGTGCCAATGATTTGCGCCATTGCAGTGTGGCTCGTGTGAGGTCCTGGTAGAAGGTTAGAGAGGCGCCTTCAAAGGACAGCGGTGTTTTACCCTTCAGGGCTAGCATAATCTGGGCCTTATCCTGAGAGGTGGCGCAGCGGAGTATGACGTCTTGCATTTGGCCTGGTTTTGCCGTGGGTGAGCCTGGTAGTCGAAATGTTCCTTCAATGGTTAATTTCCTGGTCACTGGGTGAGGTAAGATGGTCGCCATCAATCGCCTGGCATAGTGTGGTAGTTCATCTGCGCTAATGTTAGCAGGGACTCCCCTTATCTTAACATGGTTGCGGCGTAGTCTGTCTTCAAAGGCCGTCAGCCTGAGCGACAAGGTTGATTGGTGCACTTGGAGCTGAGTAACTGTGTCTTTAATTGTGGTCAAGTCAGAGTTAATGCTGCCGATGTTTGTTTCAGCTTGTTACTCGGCCTGTGACTGCCTGTATGTCTGCTTTTATTTGCTGGAGGTCTGCAGCCCAGACCTTGTGTATGTCTGCCAGCAGTGCCTTTAAATCAGCTTTGGTAGTGGGAGCTGTGCCATCATAGGGCTCTTGGGATGGGGCCTGATCTGTCTGCAGGGCTTGTGTGATCCCTACCTCATCACTCTGCCTCGTGGCTTCAATGTGTGTAGGCTGCAGTACCTCTGTGGAGGGTGTTTTGCCCGGCGCCGGTCGTTGCAGCATGGTGCCAATATCCCTGCACTCTGCCGCTGTGTGTGTGGTTTTTGGGACCGACGTCCCATTGCTGGCATTTGATGTGGGGATGAGGTGTCTGGGAGTTGCAGGCTGTGTCCCACTCTGCCGATTGCGAGTAGGTCGTCCAGGCTGTAGGCTGGCGTTGCGCAGTAGGCCCCAGACCTGCGTTTTATTTTTGCCTGTCTGGGCGGCTGGAAGAACGGCATCGATGGATGCAGGAACTCTCGGTGAGGTAGGTCGGCCGGGTTGCGTCGCCTTATGGGGTAGGATGCCCGCGATTTTTGGTGGGTTTTAGGCGAATTGCGGGGAGCTGGCTGAGATGGCGTCTACCCTCGTTGGCCGCAAGCTCCGCCCCCTCGGATTATTATTTTTTTTGCACTTGT